ATATCATTGAATAAAACTTTAATTTCCATAATATCGTCTTCATTGAATATCACAAAAATTTGAAACCCTCATAAATACTATTGTGAAAATGTAAAATAGATTCCGCGACCAAAAACTAGAATCAACATGAGTCGAAAAATAGCTACGGCTTCTTCAAGTGATTCTCCTGGAGATGATGTATTATATTATTATTAATAATATTATTATATTATTCTTACACCGTGATACATTCTATCGCCCTGTAGATCCTTAACGAATCCTCGGCTCGCTTATACTGGCCCACTCAAATATTAATTCGTATTCAGGAGACTTTTCATTACGGTCCAGGCAGCACGAAAATCTGTTCGATGATTACCCGATTGATTCTCTGTCCCTCTACTACCCTCCACGGTACATATTTTTTTATTTAGTGCTAATCATCGGATCCTTTTTTTCATTTTTATTGTGCATTGTCAAACCGAGTAGCACGTTTATAAAAACAATGAACCTGTTTACATGCTTTTGATTCATGGGCAGTGTCGCCAAAGTGCAGCAGCAGCATTTAGTTTGTACACAAAAGTCCATCACTGACCCACTGAATCTTGGCATTATGAAAGGTCATACAGGGTGGTACTGGTATTGTACCAGTATTTGGTATTGTTCCAGTATTCCACCTGATGAATGTACAGGGTGCGCCTCTTAAAATAGAACCCCCCCTTAACTCTTTTGTTTTCGGAGATATGAAAAAATGTTGAATAAAAAAGTTGTTTGAACCGACCCAAACTTTTATTTCGGGAAGTTGTTTCATATACAGGGGTCATTCATTTTCCAGAAAGGACATCAACTTTGATTTTTTTCAATGGAACATCCTATATATTTTTCAACGAGTCGATAGAGCTTTTTTTTCTGATTCCAAAAATATATATGAGTTGCATATTCGGATGAAAAATAATTCTTTCTGGAAAAACAAATGACCCTGTATATGAAAAAAATTCACGAAATAAAAGTTTGGGTCGTTTCAAACAACTTTTTCATTTAACATTTTTTCATATCTCCGAAAACGAGTTAAGGGGGGGTTCCATTTTAAGAGGCGCACCCTGTACTGTGTTAGCAAAATATGTCGTGTGATTAAGAATGTCGTGGAAATCTTATCGTTGGTGAAGTTTTTACATATGAAGAAATAGAATGGGGAAGATTATAAAGAATACCTACGTGATGAAAACAATGTATGCTCTTGAGATTTTTTCAGAATAGCTCTCGTCAAATTACTAATTATTTATTTATTTATTTATTGAAAATGTTACTTCCAGTCAGAATCAAGTTCTGGTATAAGGAAGTATAGTTAACAATAATACCTAAAACTATACAATTATAATAAACTGATGAATAATAAAATATTTGAAAACATTAATTATTAAATTTTGACAAATCATTTCATATTGGTGAGCAAAAATCAATTTGAATATGAATCAAAAGTTGGAAAAAAAAAGTCATCTATTTCGTTCAGAAATGATAAATTTTTTAAGATGGTATTTGAATTTTATTGTATTTCTGCAATTTTTTATATTATCTGGTAATTTGTTATATTCCAAGAGAGCAGCGTGGGTGAATCTTTTTTGGCCTATAGAAGTATTAGCGATATCAAGATGAAATAAACCATGTTGTCTAGTTTGATAATTATGAATTTCATTGTTTCGTGTTAAAATAAAATTAGATTTCAATTTTTTATTTATGATATTGTATGTAATTTTTAGTCTTTCGATTTTGAACATTTCTTCTAATGAGAATGATTCAGTTATTTTATATAATTGATTTGTTGGTGTATCATATGGTAAACGATACAGTACTTTCAATGTCTTTTTATATAATGCAGATATTTTATTAAAATTGTTTTTTGAACAATATCCCCAAACATTTATCAAATAGTTAATACGACTGAGTATATGAGAATATAGAATTATATTTGCAACTTTTTTATTCAGCTTGGGACATCTTCTCAGGGCTCCAATAATAGGAGATATTTTTTTCTTCAAAACATTTATATGTTTGTCCCACTTCAATTTATCATCAAACCAAATCCCAAGATACTTTTTTTCATTAGTTTGTTTCAAAGATTCATTTTTAATTCTGAGATTTAAATTTATATTTTGTTTATTTTTTTGTTGAAAAATCATATATTCAGTTTTATCAGTATTTATTGATAAGAGGTTTGAATGCAGCCAATTTTCAAATTTCATCAAGTCTCTGTTTATTATATTTTCTAAAATGATAGGATTTTTATTTTCATATAAAAGTACCGTATCGTCTGCATAAATAGTGTAATTACATTCTGTATCAATTTTCGTGATATTTTGAATATATAATAAATATAAAATTGGTCCTAAAACAGATCCTTGAGGGACACCTTTAGTCATCGGTAGTCTATGAGACTCTGAGTTGGTAGATTTGGTACTGATTGTCCTATTTTGAAGATACGAATCTAAAAGGTTCCTTATCATGCCTCTGAGTCCCATTGATTCTAAATTTTCCAAAAGTGTTATGTGGTCTACTGTATCGAAAGCTTTCTTGAGATCAACAAAAATTGCTATCACATAATTTCCGGTATCAAGTCCTTTTTGTATTGCTTGTATTACTTGTAATATTGCCGCTTGTGTGCCACTATTTTCTTGAAAACCAAATTGATTTATGTCAAAGCTATATTTTCTATTTATGAAATCTACAATGCGTTTTTTAAGAATCTTCTCAACAATTTTGGAAAAAACGCTCAATAAGGCGATTGGTCTATAATTTTCTGGATCTTGAGTATCTCCACTTTTGTAAATTGGTCTTAATGAAGCATGCTTTAATTCTTGTGGAAATATACCACTGGTAAAACATTTATTGATTAATTTTGATAATGGATTGGCCAAAATATTTTTTAGTTCGAATATATCTTTAGTTATTAAACCTTCGGGATCTGAGCATGTTTTCTTTAAAGACTGAATTATTTCAATAACTTCCATTTCATCAGTGGGAAACAAAATCATTGTGGAGTTGTTATAATCAGGACTAATATTTTTACGTTGAATGTTATTATAGTATGTGATTATTTCTTTTGCTATTTTTTCACCAATACTTGAAAAGTGATTATTCACTAATGAAAGTAAGTATTCGAAAAATGTCCTGCTAGATCTGAGCTCTCGTGGTATTACCCCCGAAAATGTTATGCCAGTCATTGGAAAGCAATCTGTATGCTTTATTTCAACATTACTATGGTAACCAACAAATTTTTCATCCACATGAGCATGTAGACGTAAAATTGATAAGTGAGAATTTTCTGGCACATGACAGCTATCATAATTATAATTAGCCAGTCTCCCAAATAATATTGACAACATTCTTTATTTACTTACTTTGAAAGTTGGAAATATTATAACAGTTTATTGAGGTGTACTTTCTATACAGGGTGATTCAAAAGTAAGCGGCATCCTTTCAGAGGCGTATTCCTTGCTTGAAAATAAGGCAAAAAGTTCCTATTGATAAGGATCCGAAAATGCTTCCTAAGGGAGCTACGGCCCTTTGAATAGGACACCTCAAAGACGGTTTTTTCTCTATAACTTTAAAATCCTTCACAACAAATTTTTAAAAATTGGTGTACGGCATAAACATTCGATGGTAAATAGGACTCCGTATTCGAAATTTCAGAATTTCATTCAGGGGCGTCACATGCGGGAGAGGGTAAGTGTAAAAATATCCCTTCTTCTCCGGATATTCAGGTTACTGTGATTTCGTTTGGAAATTATTTCGAATACGGAGTCCTATTTACCATCGAATGTTTATGCCGTACACCAATTTTTAAAAATTTGTTGTGAAGGATTTTAAAGTTATAGAGAAAAAACCGTCTTTGAGGTGTCCTATTCAAAGGGCCGTAGCTCCCTTAGGAAGCATTTTCGGATCCTTATCAATAGGAACTTTTTGCCTTATTTTCATGCAAGGAATACGCCTCTGAAAGGATGCCGCTTACTTTTGAATCACCCTGTATAACATAAAAAGACCACAACTCCAATAATTAATCATAAGAACCTGAAACATTATTCTAATGAATACCTACGTAATTTCTGATACTATATACCTACAGAAACATTTTTCATTGTTTTCTAACAAGTGGTATTATTTTGACTATTATAACTGTAACTAATATTAAAAACAATTATTATAAATAATACTTTTTGCACCTGTTGGTGATTCTTGCCGTGGTTCAATTTTATCAGTCATTGTATTTGAATTCAAACTGTTTTTCAGAGAATGGTCGCCCCTCATGGCACCAATTATATTTTCATGATGACCCACATCCATCTGAAGAAACGGTTTGATACAATGGGCGTTACAGTAACCTGTAAACTTCATGAGTTTTTGCTCTTGAACGCCATTTTTTCACCAAGTTTGATATCGCTGTAGCTCTCGCAGAGTGATTTGTAATTTTTACCTTCTTCACATCAACTTCTATTTTACGAGCGGATCGTATTTTTACCGATAGGTCAATACCATTCGAAGGGGTCACAAACAATCTATCTACTTTCTCGACTCGTGATAATTTTCAAAAAATTCATTCAAAAAATTTCCGGTAATTATTCATTCCCTAGGGAGATTATAAGTGATAAATCGTGCGGAAAAGTAAAATCGTACGGAAAAGTACAACTTTCAAAGCGAAAAATTGTGCGGAAAAGTTTCTAGGAAAGATTTTCTTTATTATGAGTTGTGCACTATGTTTTGTATAAACGGGTACATATTTTGAAATTACGCATTACCTACTATGAGATCCATTATGTATGAGCTGGCTAAACTCGCCTTAAAATCTGAAACATCCTGTATTATATTACGAGTAGGAAAATAGGTATCAATTATTATCAAACTCAAACATAATGGAATTACCGGTAATCGAAGTGGTATAATTATCGCATCAGGGCATGTTAAACTCATTATAACAGCTTGACAGCGATCAATTTGAATTGTGAATTCTGAGATTTCGAATTCAATCAGTGTGCTTAACCACACTCATTTGTTTATTCTAAGAAACGAGATCATCGCAAATCGCATCACTATGTGAGCTGTGAGATCACGATTCTTCATACACAACGAACGATTCTATAAAAAAATTGAACGTCTTTTGAGGCTGACTCGATGTTATGAGAAAAACAATACACAATACCTTGCATAACGTTTTAATTTTTTGTTCTGTTCGCCGATTGATTTTACAGCTACTTTCTGAATATACAACAGAAATAAGATTGAAGCGTATAAAATAGGATGGACAGAGTGTTTTGTATTATTTCTAGTGTGACTTTCAATTGAAGATAGTGATTCTGAGATGTTTTTTGCGGTGATATCGGTTCTGGTTATTTTTGGAAGTGTTATATCGGCATGTGAGTATATCCTTTTTTTTTTTTTTGATCCTATAAAACAGAGTGGAACAGTGTTGTAGAAGTTTCATCCAGGATCTAAATGGGATGGAAACTCAAAAGCTGATGAAGTTATTCAGAATATTATCATGAAGTTCTCTGGGTAAAACTGCATTTAGCATGCGATGGTTTTTTTTTTCTAAAATTTTTTTTGGTACTTACGTATTTTTGTCTGAAAAACACGAATTTGATAATGGAAATGTGAACAAACCACTATTCATCCAGATATTTCACGAAAAAGTTCTAAATTTCACCTTCTTTTCCGCCTGTCTTCTGGATTGAATTTAAAACAATTTACCCTTCTTTTTTCATCATTGGACAATTTATATATATCACAATGTAAGACACATTTTTTTCTATTATTGAGTCAACTAGAAATATGATTTTCTTGTGATTTATCCATATTTAGTGAAAAGAAGGAAGAATATCATTTGAAATAATGGCGTGTGTAATGTCATTCCAAAGCAATCTATTGACATTTGACATCTCGTAAGTACCAAAAAAAAATTTCGAAAAAGAAACCATCGCATGCTAAATGCAGTTTTACCGTTCTCTGATATTGCCCGTTTGAGCTCTATTTATTTTCTTTGAAATGTTCAATAAAAATATTTTGTGACCATTATGTAAGATTTGAGTTTTCAACCGATTCAGTTTCTTTTGTTCCGTCAAAAATGATAGCAGAAGGTCTATAATTCCAATTTTTTTGTGATTTTTTTATCTTGAGAATTGCGAAAGATCATTAGCATTTTTTTTCGAGAAGATTCGACTGCTTAATAGATTAAGCATCCTTCAACTAGGTTTTTCGCAAATTTTCATTGAAACATTGTGATTTGCAACAAAGTTATTACAACTTTTTAATTTTCTTAACATACCATTTATTTCAGGCCAATTCTGGCCAACGGCCACTGTTGGGAATCATTGGGGTTTCTGGTAGACATTCAATCAATCAATCAATCAATCAACCCTATATTATTCCCAAGAAACAACATTTGTTTATAGCTGGTAACATGGTGTATATATAAAAAAATATATATAAATAAATATATATGACGAAATGAAATAAGACTCAGACTCAAGAAGAAATCTTTTTTTGAGTTCAACTGAAAATGATTCTTAATAATTCCATTGTGAAAGATGGTTTTTTTACCAATATCTGATTAGATTTTCTTGGCAGAAAAATTATCTGCTTGTCTAGTTGTATGATTGTGGTGATTACTATTAATTTGTAAAACCAAATTTGAATGCTTTTGACAATGTTTAACTGAATGAATTGATAATTTTATTTTGAAGAGTTTTGAAAGGCTTCATAATTGATAGTTTTGTTGAACCCCATACAGAAATCAAATATTATATATATATACATTAGAATTCATAAGACAAGTTAATCCTAAATTTTTTTCGATGAGTTTAAATAGGCGTACTATTTATGATTGGTAGGTAGTAAAACTTCTACCTATTTTTTCTACAAACGTCAAAAAATGACAAGGTTCGCGCATTGATAATAAATTGCGAAGTGACACATTTTTTCAGTTTCCTACGTTACCATGATACCTTGCACAAAACAATGCGCGAAGTACCTATTTCGCGCATTGTTATGTAAAATATATGAGATATTTATATTTCAACTTAATGGTTCTCAATCGAGCAAGCATCCACGAAATCATTTATTTCTAAATGTTCAACAATAACTTTGTTTTATCTCTTGGAGCGCACGAAAGAAAATTTATATTATGTTCGTGGAACATTGTACATACCAAGGGAGGATAGGGGGAGGCCTTTAAAGCCAGTTCAACACTATTTTTTATATCGAGCTGAGCATATCTTCACTTCAGAACTATATTTTCTGACGTTTGTAGAAAAAATTTTGTTTGCAACTCGAGCGCGAAATACTTTGGTCATCTCGACTATTTTTTTAACTCGGCGACGCCTCGTTAAAAAAATCAGATCTCGATCACCAAAGGAGCATTTCGCGCTCTAGATACAAAAATAACTATTTGCTACAAAAACGTCAAAAATGACAAGGTTCGCGCATTCAATTCAATTCAATTTTATTGCCATTCTAGTTACAAAATTTACAAGTTATACAAAAATTCATGTTACAAAATTAACAAAATACATGTTATTCCGATTGCTGGTTTATAGCAGCATCTGGTTCAGGGTCGGAATTGGCCTAGGCAAATATGCCTGTATTGCTTGTCCAACCCTTCACATATGCTTTCGAATTTGCAATCACGTGTGTAGTAAGGGCGAGCGTATGATACAATTATTAAATAATATACTTCGCTTACTGCATATACATATAAACTATATGGGATTTTTGTATTCTTTATGGTCCTGAATCAAGCAAAGATTCAAGAAATCATTCACTCCTAGACGTTTAACAATAATTAAGGCATTTTAAGCCAGTTCAACACTATTTTTTATATTAACCTAAGCATATTACTCATTTTAAATACAATATTTTTTGACGTTTGTAGGAAAATCTATATTTGTTGGACTATATTTCACTATCTCAACGTTTTCCGGACAACCCTTATTGTATTTCAGTTTCTCATTTGAGACTATTTAATTGAAATTAATACTTTCAACCAAGTTTCATCACGGAGCAAGAATTATTCAAAACGAGAAGATATTACTCACATCCTGTATACATGATATGTTTGTTTGGTTCAAATTAATTCAATCAATTCATTTACCTGAATTAATTGCGATCAAAAAATACATCTAAAGTGATTCTCTGTTAATTGCGAAATGATGTATAGGTCTTAACTAGGTAATTGGTGTTAAATCATCAACAAATTTACACACAATCACTGAGCGAGTCATCTCTCAATACAGGTAGAAATGATTCAAGGTTGAAAAGTCTAGAGGAAATTCCGGATACAAATTTGAATGAGAAAAAAAACAAAAACAACTATCTGATTTTATTGACTGACTGAATTGAAATCAAGCTATATCGAGGCTATATTTACTAGGTGATTCAACGCAATCGTTTATATGGGGTGGTCAAGTCTTGATAACTCATAGTGACTTATACCGGGGGTAACAGAACAGGATCATGGTACAACAAACCATTTTGACGAACTTAATTTGCTGATAAATCAAGAAAGTTGACATTTTTGACAGGATTCAATTTTTTTAGCATTACACAATACACACGTCGTTATGAGTACATCAGACTCGATTAGAATAGTCATGGCAAACTCAGATGGAAAATCAAAAATGAAATTGAAATCAATATTATAAGGTATCATTGGCTTCAGAAAACAATGCAGAATTCGAAAATGCAATGATATACAGGGTGCGTGTGCATTTGAAAATCAAAAGTTATTATCACTTCCGGCGAATCCGGATATATAAACTTATTTATCTAAAAACATGACGTTCATCAAGTTGATTGGTCATTCCAAATTTCAATCACATCTCCAAAACTAAAGTAGAAACAGCGGTGTCAAGTACATTCAGGAACTCTAGCAAAAAGTAGCCTATCAATACAAACAATCAAATATTTATATCAGTGATGATTGAAAATACAAAATTATTTTCAATTTCAATGACTTCGATTTCAAGTTTGAACGAAATGTCATATGATTCCTAATTTAGTTCATAAGGGTATTTTTCCACATTACTGGATCTTTGATATTCAATTTACAATGCTCTTCTTCTTTGCATGAAACTATACAGAGAAGTGCACAAAACACGGCAGGATTGTTACTTTTGAATTATTCTAGTAGGGTTTTGAAAATTGGTGGCTAGCAAGTATACCAAATTGCTCATTAAGTGATGAAACAAATTTTCTTCTATCACTACTTATTCCAGTTTCACCGGAATCGACCCCAACCTTTGATTTTTAAATGCGACACCCTGTATTGTATTCCATAATCGGTTAGGGATTATCATGACGAATTCAACGATACCGGGTTTGATAGGGTTATTTCAAACGATTACTAAGATATTCGCGTTCGAAGTTTCCATATGCTCAATATGGGTGTGACTTCGCAATATCAAAACTTCTTTCTCTGTCACACGCATTGCGCATATGGAAACTTACAACGCGAATATCGGCGTAATCGTTTGAAATAATCCTATCAAACCCGGTATCGATGAATTCGTTATGACAATCCCTAACCGATTATGGAATACAATACAGGGTGTCCCATTTAAAATTCAAAAGTTGGGGTCGTTTCCAGTAAAACCGGAAGTGATAGAACAAAAATTGTTTTGTCAGTTAATGAGCAATTTGGTATACTCGCTGCCCACCAATTTTCAAAACCCTATATCTCGAATAATTCAAAAGTTACAGTCCAGGCCGTTTTTTATGCACTTCTCTGTATACAATGTTACATTTATAATGTAATATAATATTGTGAAATGTTTCAACTGCAGGTTATAAAATAGATTGAGAAAAAATAACTCGAAAGGAACTATTCATAGGGATATGACTTCTATACAACCGTATCTAAGCGTAAACGGTACAATTTTGTTTTTTAATGTTTGTTGTGTGAGTGATTATAAAACAGTTCCATAAAAGTATCTTCATAAAACAAAGATCTCCTATCGGCGTTGAACAATAATTATAGAATTATTCAATTCCTTAAGCGAGGTCTACTTTGCAATTCGGGCTCAGTGTATTCAATACCGAGTGCTACAAAAAATGTACTTACTTACATATATTTTGTTTCAAATAAAAAAAACTATCAAATTGCAGTTCCCGGTGAATACGTTCCCAAATCATACTATCTGATCGACAACGAGGGCCACCAATCAGAAGCCGTACCTATAAGGACGAAAAGGGACCTAATGAGGCCGCTGTTGCGCTCGAGAAGAGGCGGGGGAAGTGGGGCCAATTCTCAGGCAAGCGCCGGCGCCCACTCGTCTTCCGGAGGCAGCGGAGGGGGGCAGTACCCATCCGGGGGTGGGGGGCAGTACCCATATGGGGGTGGGGAGCAGTACGGATATGGAGGTATGACTTTAACTTTATCTCAGGGTATAACATGAAGTTATAATCATGTTGTAGCCATCTAGTGGGAAAGCTCTAAGGTAGGATCCAGAGATCGCGACACACTGTATGGCGCTGCCATCTATAGGCGATTCATGCTAAGGAGTACTCCCTCTACCGTTGTCTAATATAACTAACGTATGGGCCATTGATTGCTTTGTTTACATTAGTTTGCGTGTATTTTGTATGAGAAGTAGTTGTGTTTTAATTGTCTATAATTTTGTTTGAGAACTTCTATAAACGTTTAAAAACATGGGTCATCATTGTTGTGTACCTCATTGTTCATCTTGATCAAAAAAATCCCGAGTATAGCATTCATCCCTCTCAAAAATCAGGACAGTCTAAATTTGTATTTGAAACTAATAATTTGGGAAACAAGGAAGTGATCGGTAGGAGAAAGGTGTGGATTCATAACTTGAAGATTGGAAAAAGTGTAAAGTGTCTGAACATAATGAGATATTGTTCTTTACACTTCACTGAAAATTTACTCATACCTATAGGTATATTTTCAAATGTATGTCTATTATGAATATAATACCTACTTCTTGAGGTGGTGGTAAAAGAACAAACAAATTTCAAACTGATTATATCTTTACTCATGAACAGTAGAATTTTTAAACAGTAAAGAATGTTATCAATCAGGGTTTCGATGATTATGTTGTAAAAAGTCAAGTAGAAACTGTTTACCTAAATTCACCTTCCAAAGAACACTTTATTCCCAAAAAGTTTGTTGGATTTCGTTTTAAAAATATCATGCACTATCAGGGGAATATCCCAGCTATATATTCGAATTGGGAATCAACATTCCACACAGGTTTTCATGAGAATTCTTGTTCAATAATGATAAAAACTTACAGCCTATGCATGTTGGTATATATGAAGTTCAACTAGAGGTAGGGACGTTATCTAATGTTGAACAGAGATAATATAGTCCTCAATCAAAATACAGTAGACCGCTGGAAAATACAAAGTTCGAAAATAGACAAATAACAAAGCTGGACGTTTGATAACTCAAAACGAAATGAACATAAACACCATTACCAAACAATGTAAACAATCCGCCAATGGCCCATAGAGTAGTACCGACATTCGCCGTTCTGGCGCTACGATCTTAATCTCAGTCGCCTATAGTCACACGTTCAGGCCCTCACGTCTATACGCTACAGAGTGGTACTACAAGTAAAGCACTCTGCTGACAGATGGCACTACCTGACATACTTGAGTGGATTTATCCACCGACCTGTTCAAATGCTAGATCTCATAACTAAGAGATTCAGGATGAACAGAGTTGTCCCAGTTGCCCTGGTGGGTCGAAACAGTACTGTCTCGCTCCTGCTGACAACCAAACACCCTGTACAACAATCTATATGGTCAAAGTTATTCCTTTAATTGAATGGCAAAAGGTGTCGCCGTGATTCACTTTTATATCAAAATCAACAATGTGTATCGCCGTATAGTTTTTTGCACTGTTCAGACTTATTGTAAAATTTCCTTCGAAGTAAAAGATAAAGCTTTTTTTAAAGGTTTTGAGAGTGATCATTGATGATATACAATCTATGAAATATTCGTTTGCCTGGTGTTAGGTAAGTGATCTGCCTGGAATTTGACTCTGTTAATCTAGTTATCATCCTAAACAATTTGAGTAATGATGATTAATTCTTTTAGTTTGTTCGATATACTCGATATTGTAGCCATCCGTTTATTATACGAGAATTATACCCAGATTTCTTATACACACACTGGCACAATTAGGGGAACGGGCAAAATTTACACTAAGTTTGATGTCAATTTTCTTTCGAACCGATCGCTCGATTCAATTTTTTTTAAACGAATTGTAGCTTCATTCTTCACGAATACATCTGAGAAATAATTACCTTCAAACGATGAGTCTTTCTATCATATACAGGGGTGTAAAGAAAGTACGGATTTTTCAGTATTTTTTGAGACATCCTGTGGACTGAACCACTGATAATTGGAACGATTTCTCAACTTCAAATTGAAGCCCAATCTATTCCAAATATTTTCGTTTTCTATTCATCTTGATATCTCAATTATTCAAGAAAATACAGAGTTTCAAAGGAAAGGTGGATATTGGTATCAATTTTACCACCTCGAAACTCAAATTGGATCTGAAAATGTGTCGTTTCTTGACTAACCTAACCTAACCATGACTAAACCTCTGCCATAGGAGAAAGAAGCAGTAAAATCAAATTGTTCATTTTGTTCACCTCGGCGATATAGTCTTTCCCTGCCCTCTATCGAATTGATGCAGATGCGGCTCTCATATGTTAAAAGAACATTGGCCCACTGGCCATTTTCAATTAATGCTACAGCCCTCGCCACATCAGTAGGAGTCAAATCTCTCATGTTGAATTTTCATCAATCAAATTCATGAATTGTGAATCGCTTGACTTTGACAATAATTAATGACATAAACAAAATAGCCAACGTTGGTTAACAAAAATAGCATTTCACCAAAAGAACATTGGAGCAACTTTTATCACCCCTGCATATTCATGAGAGTATTCGTATATGTGTCTTTAAACAGTAAACCAATATGTAAAACTGTGAAAAATTCTCATCTTGAAATAAAAATCCTCACAGAAACCAGTTGAAAAACGACACGTTCTCCCCAGTTCGAGTTTCGAGGTGGTAGAATTAATACCAATATCCAGCTCTTCTTTGAAACTCTGTATTTTCTTGGATAATTGGGATATCAAGATGAATGAAAAACGAAAATATTCGGGATAGATTGGGCTATAATTTGGTCAATTATCAGTGGTTCACTCCACAGGATGTCTTAAAGAATACCGAAAAATCCGTACTTTCTTTACACCCCTGTATATGATATAAAGATGAATCGTTTGGAGGTGGTTATTCCTCAGATGTATTCGTGGAGAATGGAGCTACAATTCGTGAAAAACAAATTTGAATCGAGTGATCGCTTCGAGAGAAAATTGATGTCAAAGTTAGTGTAAATTTTACCCGTTCCCCTAATTGTGCCAGTGTGTGTATATCTGCGAGAACCATTAAATCACCCTGTTACAATATGAACAGATTTCATAAAATTTAATATAAATAATAATAAAATATCATCATTTCCAGATTACAATCCGGCCATAATGTTCCCGGACTTCGCCGAATTCGCGCAAAACTTTCCCGCTGCCTTCGGCCCCCCGAGCGGTGGGGGCGGTGGGAGCAGAGCGGGAGGCGCCCACTCCTTCGCCAGCTCCCATTCCAGCAGCTCGTCGGGCGGGGGTGGTCACGGGGGGCGGTCTCCCGGCAGCGCGGGGGGGTTGGGGGGCGGTCACGATGTCGGCTATAAGGGGTGAGTGGGATATTAGTTTTTTTTTTTAATTTTAATTGACTCGGCCGTTACTTGATGGACATCCATGGCAAATGTAAAAACTTCACGATAAGATTTCCACAAAATTCTCAAACACACGACATGTTTCGCTAACACAGTAGCTTCGTCAGGTGATATACTGGTACAATGAACTAAACTAACCTTGGCTTGCCTAACTTTTATATATTCTACTTTCCCAACCTGAAGGATTAGTTACCTGTGGACAGGTACCATAAACCTCATTTTCGGAAATTAGGCACAATATCTACATTGAAATACGGTATACCGGATTAACTTGAAAGAGTTGTTAGCAAATACATATCATTACTTACTAAGAAAACAAATTCAACAGTGGTGAACTATAGAGCAGTTCAGCTACCGTTGAGAGAGAAAAAAAATGTCTTCCCATCTGTCCTTGTCTTCAGTATTCCAACATGAAATAATGAAAATCTTATGTTGCCAACACTGGAAATGAGAAGAAATGGAGAAGAAGACCGTTCTAACCTTCTTTTATATCGAGGTTAATATGATATTCTTCTCCATTTTTTCCCATTTCCAATGATGCCAACATAATATTTTCATTATTTTATGTTGGAACACTGAAGACAAGGACAGATGCGGAAGACATTTTTTTTTCTCTCTCAACGGTAGCTGAACTGCTCTATTGAGGTCGAATTGATCATTGAGTAAAATGTAAAAATTTTTGAGTTTGTTGATTTCTAATGATTCAAAATGATTGAGTTTCAGTCCTTTATTTCCTACGTGTAGAATTTCAAAATTATCATCAAAACTGAGATTTAAGGGGGTTGTCATGAATAGCGGGATTTTGAAATATTTTATTTTAGCACTTGGGATCTTGAAAATATGAATAGGGGGGTTTTTGGGGATGTTGATTATGAATCTGATGAAAAAAGTTATTTAAAATGAGTCCTTATATCCTATTCCCAAATAAAGGCCTTATATTGTACCCCTCAACATCGCACGCCAATGATGAATGAAACTGTTCATTCTGTCAAATACTTCCTCATTCTAACATACAATCCCTCTACAAAAATTCCAAGAGAATCGCACCATTAATAACTGAGATAAGTATCAGGGTGTATTCATGAAAAACGGGACACACTGTATATTCTAGGAATATCCAGTGCTGTCTGGGTTATGATAGAGTCCCTTGATGGAAATTGACGTTAAAGTCATCTTAACAGGGTACGGACAGATCCTCGTCACCTCTCACTCTAAAGTGTTTGTGAAACAGTTATATAGTTCCATCCTTATTCAATTCTGGGATAAACACTAGATCCGTTGATTGAGGTATTCTAGATCTTTGACATTCGTTGTTTTATAGGTTATATTGAGGTCATTGGCGTATCATACGTAATTTCCATATGGAATTCCTGATTCAACTATACCAAGATATAGATGAACAATCCTCTAGTTTTTGAGTTTACTACTAATACTACTCCAGCATAATCTTTGCGAGGTAGGGAACATATAAATTGTACTGAAAGCTTAATATATATTTCACCAAAAGAGACTGTTCTTAGACTGTATACTAGGGTTGACTGAATTAACTGAATGAATTCTGATTTCAAGCTGAGCAGTAGTTTATCTATGAGCTGAATAAGCTGAGCCTTATGATTGAGAAATGCTGGAAACTTCGATGTGGGTATCTAAACTACTGTACTCATGTCATGTGTGCTAAATATATTTTCGGAAATCCAACTCGGAGAAGAATTTATGGAGTGACTAATATCACACTATGTATAAAACTTCGTCTAGGACAAAGAGTAGTCTGATAAAAAGTGATACGTAAAATGTGCAGGAAAATAAAGAATAGAATATACTTCACCCCCATGTTATAAATATGATTTTTCCGTCTCCCTTGAATAAAAAGTCATTTTCAAATAATTTATTGGTGAAGTTAACACGCAAAGAAGTAGGTATACAGAATAACTTATAGGCACGTTATTATAACTCTTGTATCCTCCATATTTTCAATTTGTGGTAGAGTAATAATTATATGAAACCCCAGATACCCTCCAATCGGATTATAATTACAAAACTCGTTGTTCGCCATATGATCTTCCTCAACAAGTAAATACCCTGTACATACCTATTATTGAAATTTTGAAGGATTTTCTGTAGCGCCCATGGATGTGACGTGGCAGGAATGTCAGGAATATGCCAGTAGACAAAACTAAAGTCTCTAGATCATTAAAAAAGATTGCAGCTAATATGCTGTCCGTACCCATTCCGTATTTCCATCAAGGGGCCCTAGGTTATGACAAATTTGTGTATTTTTTTAGACCTATTCTCTTCAGTCGTATCGGAGAAGACCAAGGGACCGGTGTGGACGTTTCTGGGTCAGCCCAAGGACCACGTGGTGCATTCAGTTCCTCTTCTTCAGCCATTGACAGCACCGGTAAAATCAAATACTCGGTACAGTCGGGAAAATATTAATCAAAATATAGTCTCTGCCAATACTGTAGAATTTTAGTTTATTTGCCATAATTTTTCTCAGATACTGCTACATGCCATCTTATAATCTACATTTACTATATACACGAAAACAATGTATAAGGTAAACGTCCCAATTATCGACACCTTAAGGAGTTTTCGCTAAATCATATAGCAATAAAAATTTAGATAATATAGTTACAGTTTCAAAAATTTGACTGTAGATTGTTATGATATTGATTATTGCTGTAGAATGTTTGAATTTCAGATACTAATACGTGATTTATTTAAAAAAAATAAAATAGTTGAGAAAGTTTATTTGACCCAATTATCGACATGGGAAAATTTGTATGGTACCAAATATCGACACATGTGAGTACGTTATACTGACACTTGAGAAAGTTGTTTCAAAGTTAGTATTTACTTGAGTAAATAACTTGCAATTTACTTGAATAATTATTAATAAGTTACGAAATTATAATCTCAGTGGCGTAGCTTTAACATATTTATTAAAAAAACATAATAACCCAATGAACAGAAATTTAAAATGGTTGTTAATTAGCTAAAAACTACTCGAATAATCACTGAATCCCATATTTCTGGTATCTGGTAGAGCCCCCGTTTATTATTAATCTTTGGTTCCGGAATGTTTTCGAGAATCTCGTCTACATCATACCAAAGAATATCATCCCTTCGGGGCCATTTCCAATTGAGCCCATTCTTTTCAATGTGTGAAACTTCGTATTCGAACTCTTCCTTCTCTTTGCAAGCATGTATACCGATAATGTATTTCTCCTGCATTCATAGATTTTGATGTTCTTTTCAATTCTTTACTATTGATGTATTGGCTGGAGCACAGATTAACAAACCTGAGGATGGCATATTTTCTATGTTATCATTTTTTTTTTGACTCCGTCTGTAACTATTTTATTTTTACCTTTATTCGAGGAATTTTAAACTTTTTTATTTTGCAATTCTTCCTTTTCAGCCTTTCTCTCTTTCCTCTTTCCTCTTTCTTTGGTTTTTTCCTTTATCTCTAGGTCCAGGTTTTTCTTCAATTCTTTTCGTCTGAAATATTCCTGCCAATTTTTGGAAGATGCCACCGCCGGAACTTTCTCTACAATTCTCTGAAAATTTTACTAGCCTGAGCAGTAGGCATTCCATTTTTAACAGCACTGACAGCTAGTTCCATGTCTTCAGCTGAATATTGAAATCTTTTCGCGTTGTTCATCTTGAATTTCTATAGAAAAGAAAAAGTACCAGTTATCGACATTACTTGGTACCAAACATCGACACACATAATAAAGCAACTCTCATTCTTCAATACATCGAAAAAATGGGTGTCGATAACTGGTACAGCATTAATTCAATATAATTTACTTCGAATTCTGCAGACCAAATAATACTGATATTTATCTACATTTCAATATGAAGTGAGAAAGAGAAAGCTACATTGTACCATTTATCGACACCTATGTCGATATATGGTACAAAGTCTAAAACTGAATGTACCAGTTATCGACAGTAGAAAATAATGAATGTAAACTGATTTTATGCCAAATTATTGTCAAAAAATACAAATTTCAGACTCTATATATATATTAACTACCATCTCCACTAAGTAACTGAAACATTTCAAACTGAAACTGGTATAATGAACTCACTTGTTTCCTAGCACTTTTCACAACGATCTGCACCAGTTCACATGTGGCGCCAGAATGACGTGATTGAAATATTCACAGAATTAATGTTTTCTGCATGACCGACTGAAGCTTTTTTGGTGAGGTAGGAAACACCTACTTGTATCTTATTATGTTTCGACAATAGATGTAGCGAGCATCAGGTTCTTATTTTTTTGATTTCAAGTGCAGAAGTGTCGATGATTGGGACAGTGTCGATGATTGGGACTTTTGCCTTACCTCTTTGAGTGGGTCGAAATGGAATGATTTTGACTTTGAAAGTACATCAAATTGCTTGAACTTGAACAAAACACATTCTATAGTAGAAACTGATGTTTCAACTTTTGAATGTTTACACGAAAAATATGCTAACTATGCAATAAATGCGAAACTCTGGAATATCAAAAGTTGTAAAAATGCGAAATTTCACGTATTTTAATCTATAGAGGAAGCAAATTTATCAATAAACGTTTAATTCCTCTAAGTAGGTACCTACATATACATATATAACATCTTTTTTAGCAGAAACATACCTATGACCCCATGTAGAAAAAAAAAGAAATAAAGAATATAAAATATGTCTTGATTTGGTTTCAATCTCACTGCAACAAAAAAATATGTTTGGAATTATTTCCATTTGTGGTAAGTAAATTTTAATACTGTGAAATTAGTACAGGGTGTCCCAAAGTTGTCGGTTCTCGGAAATTGAAGGAATTTCATTGGTTCTCAGAATAGGCATGTATCAATCACTCGAAAATTTGCCTTTACAGGGTGTCCCAAAATTGTGGGGGGGACACATCTACCACGTGTAATACAAGTCAAAATAAGTTGATCGGACCCAATTTATTTATATAACAAAATGTACCGTAGTCCGTGAGACGAGTTCAAAGTTCACATAAAAAAACACAATTTTGTACACTGTTCGGAAATGAGTAAAACAAATTTGATGAAATTTGACAAAGTGCATTTCAGAGGATTTACCCTCCTTTCGGTAATCAAAGAAACCCAGAAGAAATTGCATAGAAGAGTTGGAATAAAACCACCCTCATTCCCTCTGACATTTTTCTTTAGCGAACATTGTTAGGGGTGGTAATACGGTTCTCAAATTGTCTGAACAAGATGACTAATCGATCAATTAACTTCATTTTATTACACCTGTGATAGTTCTCCGCATAGTTCTGAAGAAAAAGAATGTTTTCTTAAATAATGCTAACAAATATTCCTATCATTTGAAATCATTATAATGAAAAATTTAGGCCAGAACGCTTTTTTTAATCAATAATGTTCAATATGACGCCAACCTTCATTAAAACGAAATGTCAATTCGTTTGTTTCCACTGCCAAATAATTTTGTATTACGAATTTACCAAACTTTTACTAGGAATATCTGTTAGCATTATTTAAAAGAAGTCATTTTTTTCCTATCGGAACAATGCGGGATAAAAAAAATTCACACCAGTAACAAAATGAAGATATATTTATTCAGTCACCTCGCTTAAAAAATGTGAGAACCCTATTTACCACCCCTAAGAATGTTCTTAAGAAAATGTCAGAGGGTGATTTCTTGAAATCTGTCGAAACGGCCCTGTTCACTTTGTTTTCATTGGTTCACATTTGTTTTTTGTTTGTGCTTATTATTGGTCATTGGTCACATCATCAAAACAAACCGCTCAGAAGTGTTCAAGTGTTTGCCGCATATATCTATCTCTATAGGTAACGTTGATGCCGACAAAGGTGGATATATGTATGGTGAAATAGCTCCCTCTTACAAAACCCTAGAAATTTTTGTAGACCTCTGGCCTACTTGATTATGTCGAATTCTATCACCGTAGTAAGGCCGCGCAAAACTAACGCTAGATGGCGCTGTTCCCGAAGTGAACAACCTTGAAGTGAACTTGCTACACAATGGTTGTTTTGCTTTGTTGTTTACATTTACGTATATCAATTCGTAATTTGAAAGCATTGAGAAAAAGTGATTGATCTAATGAAAAAGACGTGAAATTTTCATTATATCTGTGAAGTATATGTGGCACGATGTTCCCTACGCCATCTACAGTCAATCCGGTGCGGCCTTGCTACGGTGTTTCGCGGTCTACACGTTTTGGAAGAAAACAATTGACAAGTGGTTACACCAGTCTATTTTCATCATGATGCCGACGTAGGGAAAAAAATAATACGACAATATGGCTACTTATTTCAAATTTTCCATCCTTCCGACCTTGATTTAGTTTTGCGATTAGTGAAAAAAATGGTATGGAGCGTTACCTATATTCTGAAAATTTCGATATGATTATAATTTCCTGATTATTGATTGATTTATTTATATTGATAGGTCATTATGTCAAAAAAAATTATCCAAGTGAGATTTGGTGTTGAGCCCGCAATAGTGTCTTCTTTCGTTGCGCTCGGTAGATTGTAATTGTGTAGTTCGCTCAGGTATTTTAGAACCTGTGTTAGTGAAATTTTTTGTATGTGGACAATTTTTATTCCTCTTTGACCTTTTCCAGTCGTCTTTCGGGACAGCCAGAATGGTCGAGACTGGTTGACCTGAAATGAACAAACGCTTTTCATCGAGTTACATCAATAATGACTTCACTCACCTTTTCCCATCTTGAAAAAGTGAGAATTTCAAATTCGAATTATGACAATTGTGTAAAAATGACACACAAAAATTTCAGAAGTGGATCACAGCAGGAAGCCGTCTTTTGTCATTGTCTGCTATGCTAAACATGGAGAAAAAATCTAGTGAGCTGTAGTATCCAGCTCACTAGATATTTTTAGCAGACTGCCGACAAGCGTGTACATTACAGTGACTGCATTTGAATTAATCACTCACAAGCGACCGATGTCCGATTACCACGCTTACCATCGGTTATCATTCTCGCATGGTTCAAGTTCCTCATTGTTGTAGTGTCATGTATTTTCCCGAGAAATATAGTTTCTTGAAAGAAAAATTGTGACAGCGTCAGCTAACAGCGGAAGCCACCAGCCAGTCCTGTCACGATCCACTCAATACCGAAAGATGACAAGATGCTTGCTAACTCGAGATGGGCAAATAAGTACGGGTAGTATCGATAGAAACTACTAGTTGTCGATATATATTCCAACAATCTCAACTCTACGTCTACGTTTTTGAGTGAACGGCTGGCGGTGGGAGAATCTTCTTCTTCTTCTTTGAACTTTCCAGTTTCCACGTCGTGACGTGTCTTTTCGTGTCAAATTTATGGCATTCGTGGCACTTGCGGTATTTTTGATTGAATTCTTATTCTTTCAAATGTATTGATGTAGATTAGTGGTGTCGTGTCGTAGATCGTAGCAGTTGTTGTGGAGGCAATTGAATCGGTAACATACGGTAGCTAGGCTACATTTCTTAGAAAAGAATACAAACTAACAAAAAAATGGTAAAACCTGTAAGAAAATCTCCAAACAAGAACCCACCAATATTGAGCCATGAATTCATCATCCAAAATCATGCAGATATCGTGTCATGTATTGCCATGGTTTTCGTTGTTGGCCTTATGGTACATGTAAGTACTTAAAAATTTGTTCTCCATTATAAACTCAGGAGCTTATATAGGTACTATAATTATTCATCTGGTTTAGGCAACATCACCAATAGCATCAATCTTCATCACTCTGCAACATAATGTAACACTAGCTGGTGAGTTGCCCCTTTATGGACCAGGAATCAAAGACTGGGCCTGTGTATTCTTCTACACTCTCATCTGTATTGTCATTCATGCCATTATCCAGGAATACATATTGGATGTAAGTACTGCCACTACATTCACTTTTCAATTCTGCATATTGTGTGATTTAATATTTTAGAAAGTTTCCAAAAAGTTGCATCTCTCCAAATCCAAGCTGGCTGTTTTCTCCACTAGTGGCCAGCTTGCCTTTTTCTACCTCATCTCTTCAGGCTGGGGCATAGATTTGATTTTCAAGGAGCAATACTTGACTGACATTGCTCGCATCTGGTCTGACTATCCTGCCCCTATGACCTTTTTGCTAAAGCTGTATATCATTGTGCAGCTGGCTTACAGTCTGCATGAAATACCTGAACTGTATTTCCAGAGGATAAAAAAAGAGGAGTGGACTTCCAAGGCTGTGCAAAGTATTGCAGCCACTGTTGCTGTATATGTACCATATTTTTTGAGGTGATTGAGGAATTTTTTATGCTTTCTGGGGACTAAATTGGCAATTTAAAACTGTTGTTTTTTAGTTTCAACCGATTACTGGTGTGCCTTTTGGTGCTCCATCATATTTCTGAGCTCTTCTATCATGGATCCCTGCTTATACAGACTGTTGATAAAGAAGAAAAATTCACTAAGTGTAAGTATCCCTTTTATTATTATAATTATCTATTCCTTTTTTTTTTTTCATAATACATCTGAGAATATTCATTTTCAATACATCAAAGTATTTGATATTATTTGTTATAATACTGAAACATGAATTACCAATAAGAACTCATTCCTAATTCTATAGATAGATCATTATTTAAAATTTGTTCTCAGAAAATACCTGTGTGTGAAGAAGATTCTTCTAATATGGAAAATTTTCAAGTGAATTAATATGCAGGGTGAAATTTAATTGTGAGCTGAGAATAAATAATATGGTTGTTTAGCTCATTTTAGGGAAAAAAGTTCATAAAAACATAATATGCTCTAAACCAATCAACTTTCAAGCTATAGGGTGTGAAAATTTTAAGAAAAAAATCATTTTCTTATAACTTCAATACTGTTCCAGATATTTTCATGGAATTTATGTTTTTTCAATAAAAAGGCTGATGGTACATTGAATGGTTCATGAAATATTATTTGGTAATTTTGCACTTATCATGTGATGGGTTTTTTCTGAATTTTTTTTCCCTACTTATGTATTTTTGTCTGAAAAACGCGAATTTGATAATGAAAATGTGAACAAACCATTATTTCAAGATATTTCACTATAAAGTTACAAATTTCACCTTCTTTTCTGCCTGTCTTCTAGATCGCATTTAAAACAATTGGCCCTTATTTTTCCATCATTGGACAATTTATATATATCACAATGTATGACACATTTTTTTCTATTATATGAGTCAACTAGAAATATGATTTTCTTGTGATTTATCCATATTTAGTGAAAAGAAGGAAGAATATAATTTAAAATAATGGCGTGTGCAATGTCATTCAATAGGCATTCCAGAACACGTGACTTTTGACAAATTTCTAATGGCCGCCTGTAGGCACACAAGTATTTTTTGTTGATTTACGTAGCAGCAGTATAATCTTTGCTAGATATATCAAATAATAATAATGGTTGTTTTGAATAAAAGTGGATATTTATTATCCTTGGACTGCTATAACAAAGATATTGTGACACGAAAGTATGTGTGCCTACAGTCGGCCATATTGATTTATGATTTAGGTGGTTTGACAGCATCTTGGATAGGTCAATTGATTAAATGGCCGTCATCTGGTAAGCTTGTTCACTAAATATGAAAAACTCTCAAAAAAATCATATTTCCTGTTGAATTTTCCTTATAAAAATGTGTTTTTGAAGTACATCATGAGTATTTGAAGTGTTCAATGACAAAATAAGAAGAGCAAGTAGCTGTAAATGCATCCAACACAAAGGGAAAAAGAAGGCAAAATTTCTAACTTTTTCTTGAAATATCTCTACAGTGTGTCCCACTTACCATGCTCACCATGGGTATCTTTTTAACGGTGAGAGATACGAGGTCGGTTAAATGACACCAAATGTGGAGTTCGTCAATGCCAACTATAATGTGAAGAAATATTTTGATAAAATCTATTCGTTTTTGTTTTATACGCAAAAAACATAAATTTTTTATCATTTTCATGTCTCCTCCATAACTTCTTTATTTATGAAAATATTCAAATAGGAATTTCACATTCTCATGGCAGTTTTTCAAAGTGATTTCGAAAAAAATATGAAATTCATACCAACTCTTCTAGAATTTGAGATATCAGCACCAACTTTAGTTTTTCAAATGTAGGTCACAGCTCACTATGACTTAGTTACAAATAACTTTTCTTTCTCTCACAGATGATATGTCGCAGTAATAGTTTTGTGTTGATAACAACGGAGTTATCGTCATTTATAAAAAAACTAAAAATTATTTGGAAGCCGACATCTTGAATTTATAAATTTTAACAAAAAAATCATGATCTCCGACCTCAAAAACCCCCACTTACCAATTTTGAATGGAATCGGACCAAATCTTGTCCGCCATCTTGGAGCAGCCATTTTTTTTAATTTCAACAAAAATTCCATAACTCCGATTAACTAGAAATTTGGCAGGTGTTCATAATTTCGGTGAAAATACATTATGGAATTTTTGTTGAAATAAAAAAAATGGCTGCTCCAAGATGGCGGTCAAGATTTGGTCCGATTCCATTCAGAATTGGTAAGTGAGGGTTTTTGAGGTCGGAGAACATGATTTTTTGTTAAAATTCATAAATCCAAGATGTCGGCTTCCAAATAATTTTTAGTTTTTTTATAAATGACGATAACTCCGTTGTTATCAACACAAAACTATTACTGCGACATATCATCTGTGAGAGAAAAAAAAGTGATTTGTAACTAAGTCATAGTGAGCTGTAACCTACATTTGAAAAACTAAAGTTGGTGCTGATATCAGTGATATCTCAAATTCTAGAAGAGTTGGTATAAATTTCATATTTTTTTCGAAATCACTTTGAAAAACTGCCATGAGAATGTGAAATTCCTATTTGAATATTTTCATAAATGAAGAAGTTACGGAGGAGACATGAAAATGATCAAAATCTGTTTTTTGCGTATAAAACAAAAACGAATAGATTTTATCAAAATATTTTTCCACATTATAGTTGGCCCTGACAAACTTCACATTTGGTGTCATTTGACCGACCTCGTATCTCTCACCGTTAAAAAGATACCCATGGTGAGCATGGTAAGTGGGACACACTGTATAAATAGTGGTTTGTTCACATTTTCATTATCAAATTCGTGTTTTTCAGACAAAATACGTGAGTACCAAAAAAAATTTCCAAAAAAACCCATATATTTGAAAAATAGTTTATTTTTCTATCTTAAATTAATGACAGAAGAATATGCTTCCGGTGAAATATAAACAATTTTTAGTTAATATAAAGATCAAAAATAATATTTTCAACCACTAATTCACTTATAGAAATAATTTCATATGAAACCCATAATTTTCCTTTCATGACCTCAATGTAAATTATTCAATATCCAAAAATCTTATGATGGTATAGGAACAATATGTAATATTAGTGAGGAATTGAGCTTTTCCATAGGGACAAAAAGGGTTTCAAATGCATTACAAATCCTCGCACGCCTTGGTAGCATTGTCTTGGCCATTTTGACTCTATGGTATGGTCTTGCCTTGGGAGAGCAGCAAAGTCTGGACATCCCAGCTGGGTATTTCAACACTCCTCTCGTACGCATTGTCCTTTTGGCTGGAATTCTTCTGCTCCAATTGTAAGAAAAACAGTTTTATTTGCCGTTCATTTTCTCTGTAATGTGAATCTTTCGATTCAGGTACCTTACTTTTAATGTGATCAAGATGGAACTGGAGAGGTCCCGTGAAAGCAAGGCTGCTATTGCAGCACCCAAGGGAAAGGTTCAAAAGAAAGAGAAATCCAAGAAGAGTGAGTATCTTGGTTTGTGGATTGATGAAAAATTGAAATGGGACAAGCATATAGAGGTTCTAATACAAAAAAAATCTCCAATCATTGGAGCTTTGCGAAGATAGGACATCTTGACAAAAAAGTCATAAACATAGTACTTCATTCTCATATACTCAGTCGTATTACCTATATGATGAACGTTTGGGGATCTTGTTCAAAAAATTATTTCAGTAAAATATCTGCACTTTATAAGAAAGCACTGAAAGTATTGTAGCCTCTCATTTGATATTCCAACAAATGATCTGTATGCGATAACAGAAAAATGTTCATTGGATGAATTATATAAAATAGATTCTCTTAAAGTTTCATATAATATAATAAACAATAATCTGTAATCCAATTTTGTTTTGGTAAGAAACTCAGAAATTCATGGTCATCACAGGAGACAATTAAACTTATTTCATCTTGATTCTGCTACTTCTATAATTGGCCAAAAAAAAATTACTCATGCTGCTCTAGCTGAATTTGATAAATTACCACATAATATAAAAAATTGGAAACATATTTCAAAATTTGAAATTGAATTAAAAAAACACATGATTTCATTACGAAATGGATAAAATTGATACTTTGCCATCTACTGATTAGTCCCTGTGGCTATTTTTATGACTTGATCGATTTAGCATTTTTAGATTTTTATTGTTGTTGTTGTCACCTTATATTATTTTATTATTGTTGTTTGTAATCAACTTCCTCATACCAGAATTTTATTTCTGACTGGAAGCTAGTTTTTCAATAAACAATAAACAATTCACTTCAGGGTGGAATTATGGAATAATTGGTTTCTTGTTTTTAGGCAAAAAAAGTGAAGAGTCTGACTTGCCTGAAGTTGACCAAAACACCAATAAAGCTTTGAGGAAGCAGAAGGTGAAATAAACAATTTTTTGAATTCATTTTTTCTTCCTAAGAAACTCATTTTTCGAGTTTTGTGTCTAATTTTTGCCTCTCTTGTAAATTGTATCATATCATTATGATTCCTATCATAAGTGGATAAAATGTTTTGTTAGTTTTTCAACATGTTTTGAAAATCAATTTTTTTGTTAAGCATCATTGACTCATTCCATTTATTTTGTTATTCAAAAAATCCCTCCATTTATATACATCTATTATTTTTTCATTAAACTATTAAATAAAGAAAAAGAGTGCATTTATTCTACATACACTAACCATAGGTGATAGTTTCGAGTGAATCATCAATTTTTTTCTCACAACAACTAAAAGAAATATACAAGGTGTCCCATAAGTCATGGATCAAAAGAAGTGGGGTAGTAAGGTGGTCAGTTATTGACTAACCATAATATGTGATTATCCAATTATTATTGTTGATGGTTCAAAAGTTTATTTTTTTTTCTTTCCTCAAAAAAAAATTAATTACAATAAAACTAACATTTGTGATTTTTTCTTTGACAAATTTCATCCCCATGATGTACCATCTCCCAGATATAAATTTTATGGCCTGTGTTTTACTTCCTATCAATTGAGAAACATGTTTTTCATAAGTTTTGTTGAATGAAATATTTAATTCAGTTGATTTTTCAATGCTGCTGGCAGATTTGAAAACTACCCCGCAAAGATATACAGGGTGGCATTGAAATGTGCAAATATTTCATACCATGAGTAAGCTGGACGTAAGTATATACTATCAAGTGGTACAATTAAAAAAATATATAGGGATCAAAATAAAATTTGAGGTTGAAGGGGTCTTACCAAAGTTCCACACTGTAGCCATTCTGATGTCACCTCTGCTCAAATCATCTTGTGGAAGGCACAATCACACGGATTTCAATCATTTGAATTGTTTCAAAGTAGCATACTTAACTTTTTTCTCGTTTTTTGTTAATTTTTCGGGATGAAATTTCTTGTTAATTAGAAGAACTAGGAAAAATCTGATATCATGGAAATATTCCTCAGTTAGACTGTATCATATGGATGTGCTGATTAAATGTACTTATTTCAAAAACACCTTGTATATTACTTCTTATCAATTACCTGAGAAAAATTTTGTTTTCCTTGAGTTTTGTCATGAAATAAAATATTTAAGTTGATTTTTAAATGCTGCTGGCAGATTTAGAAACTACCATACAAAGATAACCAATTATAAGAAAAATTTGCCATTTAATACAGATTCTGAAGTGGTATAACATATAGGGTTATTCAAAACAGCCTTTTTGTAATTTTTTTTCAAGTGAGTCCTGTTTTTCAGAAAAATTGAATAACTTTTGAACCATCAACAATTGGAAAACCACATATTATATACAGTTAGTTTGATTGCAAATGACCCCCCTTCTATTGTTCCATGACTTATGGGATTACCTGTACATAAACAGTAAAATGGTACATTGTTTGAGGATACATCATCCAATTTTTTTCTGCAACTAAATTAATAATTGATGTCTAACTAATGCAATATAAGTGAAGTAACTAGCATTTTGATTTACTTGATCACATCAGTAGCAGTCCTATCAGTTGTCAGCTCAGTCATTATTAGTTCCTAGGAGTTAAACTTCAACTTTATCATGTCAGTTAGAGTAACATCCACATCCACTGTTATGGATTTTATGATTGACTCAATAGCATAACAATTTAGAAATATTTATTGTAAACTAGCAGTTAAATACTGTACAAATAATCTGGGAATATTCTTAGGATCAGGTGCATGCATTTTTGTATAAGTAATATACTGTCTTCTGGTATTCATTAATTGAGAGACACTAATGTTTGTCACATCAACACTCAGGTCTTCATATCCTGGTAAGGACACCTCACCACTTGTTCCACTATTTTTAACTTTAATAAGTTCCTCAACAATATTTTTTGTCACCTGATCTAAGTCATACAGGAAATTTGTTGATTTCAGAGGTGGGTTTTGTGTAGACATGTTGGGTTTCGGGAGATTTTTTTTGAATAAACAGGCATATATTCCATTCAAGTCCAGCTCCTGTTCTGGAAATATCATAAACAGTGGTGAGTCCCATCTGTTTTTACCATCTGGTTCTTCGAATCTCATTACAAGTGCATCAAAAGTAGCTTTGTCATATTTCTCTATTTCTTTTTCCCTATTTTCATTGAAAGTTGCTGCTTGTTCTCTATTAATTTCTGTGTGAACTGTACACTGAGTGCATTTATTGGCTTTTGTTCCACAGAATAATTCATATCTGTAACCTTTGATGTAATTCAATGCATCTAATATCACAATATTCGTAGGAGATATTAATTTCAATACTTCTGATTTCAGTAAGCCCCTGATATGTTTTTCCTTGTTTGCATCTGCATAGAAACTGTTTTTGTCAAATCCAGCTTTGATAATTTGGTCATATTCGCTAATTACATGTACTTCCTTGCCTTGTTCTTCGAAAAAAGCTTTCAATTCGAGACTCCTGGTCGTTTTCCCACTACAAGGAATTCCTGTTATAACTATAAAAGGCATTTTTCAATTTTTCCTTTCTCAAACTTAAAACGTCAAAACATTTAGTTGAGGTTATGTGCGATATAGGTTATAGGTCGCGTGCAAGAAATGTCAGATGACCGACCCTGGAGGCAAAACATATTTGTTTACAAGTGATCGAAATAGTTTTCCACAATTATTTTGGCATATGAATCGTATTTTTCCGCTATTCATCAATTTGCTAATGCCATCACATTGTGCTGTTGTAAAATGCACAAAAACTGCAGCGGAAGATGAAGAAATCCGGATGATACACTATGATTCAAAAGTAAGTACCTACTATAGTCACTCACATAGTTTTCATTTTTGAAATTTGGTTATTTCTCTGATTTCTCATCGGAATTCCTTCTGCAGTAGGATCAGCTAATAGAAATATACCTGAAATTTCTAGAATAATGCAAGAAGATTGGTTTCATGCAATCAATCGGTAGGACTGGTCTGACCTGACATGCTGACGATCGTGTGTGTAGACATTTTCAATCTATTAGCAGCATTAACTTGTATTGCAGAAGTGGCAGAAGGCAGAAAGAATTCTAATAAGGAATGACAACATTTCATAATGCTAACTATGTGAGATTACTATTTACCTGAAAAGTCATATTCCCTAGTCTCGTGCTGCATTTTTTGTGCATTGTACAACAGCAATATGCGAAGGCATGCTTGAATTAATGAATAACGCAAGAAACACGATTCGTATGCCAAAATATTGTGAAAAACTATTTCAACCTTTTGATTCCTCTGTAACCAAATGAAAAAGTGAGGTTGTGTTTCAATAATTCACAGAAGTGAGAAGAATGAGGTTGTGTTTCAATATTTTGCCTCCAGGGTCGGTCTTCGTGCACGCGACCTATGACGTGTCCTCTTTCTTCTTTTTTTAAATCTGCTTGCACCCTTGCACCTACTGGGCTATCCGGCAAATATTTGATATCTGTGTTGACTTGACAGGTGACCCAACAAGAGATAATAATATTAATTTAATTAATAACAAAATCTTGTGTTTATTGTTATTTCTGATAATTTCAGGTAATTGAGAATCTGATATGAAATGGTTGACCCAAATTTCGAACAAGCCCTCATAGGGCTTGGTAAAAAACAAGACAGCAAAACTGTTCTGAAAATATTGGTACACATCAGAAGGGAAGTGGAGTGGCCCAAAAATATAGAAAACATCACAAAACTGCGAGAAAAAGGATGTTTGAAACACCTGGTAGGCATTTTACAAATGCCACAAAAACACATTTTGGATGTGTGCCTGAGCATTTTAGGAAACTGCATCATGGATAAAGGCTGTGCCAGAGAAACTGTGAGGAACACTTTTTTTTTTGCTCACCCTATAATAAAGCTTCAATGTGTATTCAAATCTGTATTCTAGATTGAAATTTCTGCTTTTCAGATTGGTACCTACAACATTTTGTCCCCTTTGAACCATTTGCTCAGGCATTTCCCTAAAGAAGACAGTATCAATGGCAGGATTTTCAGAATATTGGGGAATATGTGCCACCACAGGGACCAATGGGCCAACATAATATTAGACAGGAAGCCTCACATTGTTATGCACATTGTGGGGTTCATCAAAAGTTATTCCAAAGATGATATTCCTACTGAGGAAAAGTTTTCTGAAGCTAGTGCAATAATGGCCATCAGAACTTTGAGGTACTTGTAATACCCATTATGAAGATTATAGATTATGTTTTAATATTTATTTTCTAGGCTTCTTTTGAATAGTCAGACAGTAATGCCTTTAATTAAAAGCTATGGGGTTCTGAAGACTGTTGGCAGCCTCTTGATAAAACTCTCTGCTGGATGGCAAGAAAGTAAGGCTAATGAAGGTGTGCTGAACAACATCATCAGACTTTTATATGACTATTCTCGTTATCATTGTTACAATTCCATTTTGGAGATGAGGAACACTGAGAGGGGAGACTCCCTGATACATTTGTTCAATGTGCTACTGTTGTCTCCAAAGAAGATTGTCAAGATCATCATGAACTTCATCAAGATCAGTCAGTTGAAGTCAGAATTGCCAGTGCCAGAAATCTGTGATAAATTCATTGAGGAAGTTATGAAGAAAAACTATGATACTGAAGGTAAGACCATATATATTATTATTCATGTGTGCATTTCAGGGAATCAAAACATCTGATCTTATTTCTGCAACTCATCCAAGAAATATTGCTTTGAATTCATGGATTATTCAAATATTTATATCAAATCAGTTATTTTTTTAAAATATATTTGTCTTCATTATTTGAAGTCATGAGAAAAAAAGCATACATATGTATTGTAGATCTTTTAAGCCACAGTGTATTCACCTCTTATGCACATATTACAATTGTTATTGTAAGTAAGAATTCAAGACAATTACATATCATACCATTATGGTAGTAGTTGTAATGATTGTAATGAAACATATATAGGCCAAACCAGACGACCCATAGAAACAAGGTTCAAAGAACACCTAGCACATTTGAAAGTTGGTAGGCGAGTTGGTAGGTTAGATTAATCGTGTTTAGCTAAACACAGTGTTTAGCTAAACACATGTTCAATCAAAATCATAACACACATATTAATAATCTCAAATTAGTTAAGCAAGTTAATTATGTTGGGAAATTTGATGCATATGAAAGCTTAGAGTTATTTAAGAATAGTAATAGAGTAATGAATAATGATAATGGACCTATACCATTTAGCCCTCTGTACAGTTTAGTGATATAAGACCAAGGTTAACATGTAAACTCAACCATGACTTACATTAACTTGGCAATTAGTGTCTTTTACGGTTGGGTGGACATATACTTAGCATATAAGTAGCACACTAGGATATAGAACATTCAGTTTTTATCTTCTCCTGAGGATGCTAACATAGTTAGCGAAACACGTGTCGAGGCGTAAAATAATCGGTTTGGTTAATAAAATATATTTCGCTTGAATAAATCGATCGAAACTTCTGAAAACTCATTTATAAAAATACATTTATTTATGTATCAAAGAATTCCAAATTCTACGTTGAGATAGAATGTTCTATTCTTCTAGTAAAAACGTTGAACAATATCAAGTGCGAATGTACAATTACAAGACTAACCTACACACAATAACAATAACAATTATATCTAAGGAATGGGGTTGTTTCCTATAATTGCGCATAATAGGAATGAATAGAACGACTTGGCCCCTAACGTGGGGTCAGACGTGTAGATCCGAATCTTGTACATTGGCACACATGTGACTAAAGAGGTTCAATAGATTCGTAGATGAAATCCATGGTAAATGCAAATGAGAAATCACTATATTATCTTTAGACATTTACATAGATCTAAAATTCTTGGTGAAATTTGGCGCCCAACGTAGCCAAATTGGGGTTCGTTAAAGAGGAATGGGTAGAAAGTATAACTGAGTATAGATAATTCGATGTGTCTGATTTCAGAATTCAAAAGTGAATGCATAGAATACATCCAGTGCTTGTGCTACTTGCTGGAACATCCGGCTAACAGGAACATTGAACGGTGTGCAAATTGCCTACCGCTTCTCGTCAAAGTACTCAAAAGCTTGGATAAAGCCACAAACGTTGAGATAGAATGTTCTATTCTTCTAGTAAAAACGTTGAACAATTTCAAGTACGAGGAGAGTCTCATATTGGAACAGCTGAAATGCGATGTTGTTCAAGTAAGAGAAAATAAATGAAGGAATGTACAGGGTGTCCCACTTGAATGTGAAAAAGAGATCCTCTTAATTTTCAACATATTTTCGTTATTAAAAAACTTTCCTGGAATCATTTCTTGAATTTGTTGAGCACAGAAAAGTTTTACATTTAAGTGGAACATCCTGTACATGGATGTACCTATAATAACTGATTTTCTTTATGCATTTCACAGGTGGTGTTATCAAAATTACACTGGGTGGTTGGCAATTCAGAGACATTGAAAATTGGACATAAGAGAGTTAGGAAAAGAAAAGGATCTCAAGCCATGTTGACGGATTTGGAGTTCTATATTGAAGATTCTTTGGATTTCGAGTTTAGTTTTTATAAGGTACCTATTACATTCTATCAATATCATAGAAATGATCATTATTTCAATAGATGTTATATAATTAGTTGCATCCATTGATAGCAACTCAGTTTTATGTATTTCATCATCAAAAGTGAAACCAATATTATTTTTCTCGTTTATCTATGCCAAACACTGTGCTGCTCGGACCTAAAACTAAGTATCAATTTGAAATTCGAATCGTGAGACGAACATGGAAAGAAGAGTCTGTATATTGTTTTTAACATTCGTAACTGGAATGCGATATATTTTTGTAATTTATTATTTAATCAACGAGGAGAGAAAATCCCAAAAAAATTTGGAATAATGATTTTCTCTGCGTTGAAAAATACTGTATATACCTAACCCATCTAGCGTCTACCTCCTTTGCAGAGAGGGTTTATGAACGCAAAGTTGGTACTCTCCCCTCGTAAGGGTACCTGTCGTGTTTCCATAGAGACATAATGGTGAATATCTGTCTATCTGTTCGCTTGAGAATCTGGAAAATAAATCAATATATCGCCTTCCGTACGAGCATGGTGATCTGAATTTAAAGAAGTATACTATGGTCATTTTCCTCTGTGGATCGTTCCTTCAGTTCGGCTTGACTGGATGGCTTTCTCGGATTTTGTTTCAAGTATCAAACACTGTGCTTCTCGGATCTGCACTGCACATCACATATCAAATATCGAATCATGAATCAAAAATGATTATTCTTAGATGCTCTACATACATGGATGTTGAATTATAAACTCCCCTGAATATTTTTGCAACTTTCGTAGTTGGATTGCAACATATAAGTTTTGTTTCCGAATAGAAGTTTCCTCAGTAGGCTCCATCCACATTTACATTTAATGTAATTTATATTAAAGACCTGGAACCCCAAACACTGTAATCAATCCAAATACGAGATTTCAAATGTCAACAGAGTGCTTTTGAATGACATTACACACGCCATTATTTCAAATGATATTCTTCCTTCTTTTCACTAAATATGGATAAATCACAAGAAAATCATATTTCTAGTTGACTCAATAATAGAAAAAAATGCGACTTACATTGTGATATATATAAATTGTCCAATGATGAAGAAAGAAGGGTAAATTGTTTTAAATTCAATCCAGAAGACAGGCGGAAAAGAAGGTGAAATTTGTAACTTAATAGTGAAATATCTTAATAAATAATGGTTTGTTCACATTTTCATTATCAAATTCGTGTTTTTCAGACAAAAATACGTAAGTACCAAAACCTAGCCTAAACCTTATTCGTCTTCCTAGGAATACTGACTGAACCTCGTTTTCTTATGTCTATATATATATCAATATTATGAATGGCTTCCTATCTGAATTGAATAAAATTAATTTCTTCACTTTACTATATTCATTAAGAATATCGATAAATTTACCCACTGACACGCCACTGGAAACGTTATTTCGAACCTATCAACAAAACCACAAAGTTTTATTGGAATTGATGAAAAGACATTTGAGTAATAAAATGGAAATATCGTTACCCTGTATCTCAAAAACGCAGCAAGTCAAGACATATATTTATATGAATTTTTTTCCTAAAATATCACACCCTGTATAAATTTCATGCACAATCCTATAAATTCCGACGTCTCGCTGTTCCAGTCGTGCAACCGCTGTCTCCTTTCGCCCCGATCCCCGCCCCTCAGCGACGACGAGTCCGCCCTTACCGCCCATCGGGCGTACGACCGCAGCCCCAGCCCCTGTTCGAGCGTCGCCAGCAACGACGCGCGCACCTGGTCGCCGCCCCCGCGTCTCAGTCCCAGCCCTTTCTCCACGCCCCGCCCCGTCTCTAGTCCCCGCCCCTTCTCTAGTCCCCGCCTCTTCGCGTCAGGGGGCGTTGCCGACGACTCGGATTCGGACGACTATTCGCCGGTGTGCAGCGAGGCGGATCCAGGGGAGGAGTTCGCGTTGGAGGAGGAGGAGGAGGAAGAGGAGGTGTCGATGGTGGAGGAGGGAGAGTTCGAGGAGACGGAAGAGGTTTCTGCTGGTGAGTCGATTTCACCAGTCTTCTCCTATCTATCATTTTGCTAAAAAAAATATATATAAAATGAAAATATTATAACCCATTTCAAGTAATCAAAGTGTGAATGATTAGTAGATATTTTGGTGGATAGTCATGATATTTGTTTCAAATCATTTTTAATATCATTATTGATATCGCTAAGATCATTTGAAGTACAGATTATTGTTGTATCATTCGCCCTTGTATCAGAGCTGTTGTTGAACCTGTCGAAATGCAATACTCATATATTCCACATGACAATCAAAAAATTGGATGTTCCAGGCGCCAATAATTGTTCAGTTGCTGATAGGCTTTGAGTTACATAAAGCGAAAAGCTATCTTGTTGCGGTTTTCGTTGGTCTGTTGAGATTTAGTTTCTCTTCTTCATCGTGTAGTAATATGCATACCATTACATTTAATTTTTTCGTTTGTAATTGCGATATCCATTGATACTCTGAATCACGCCCTCTGGCGGCAACGGTGATATGAATATGAAACCAATTCAAATCATATTTGATAGAACAGGAAGAGACTTTTTCAACGAGCCCAAGATTGTTCAATTTTGTTGAAGATAACCAGAGTTACAGATGTTCAGAAAAAACATAATTCGACGTCCCCCCACCACTTTATTCGAGATATTATTTTTTCCATTCATTATTCGTTGCTGAGATATGGCCGACAGCCGTTTGTAGTTGTTCACCCTGTACTTCTCGATTTTTATTTTTTAAATTTCCTGTACCACTCTGTACCCCGGAAATGGAGCAATTTTGGACTGAGGTAAGTTACTTGAATCGGATTATTTTGACCTCAGGACTATGTATAATTGATTAACAAAAATATTAAATTCTGAAAATAGTTTTATTCAACGACGCTGGATTAATTTTTAACTAGAAGTGATTCAGTTCAACATAAAATGACAAAGATTTTACATATTATTTTCTTCAATAGTAGAAGTAGTATGTATATTCTACACACCTCTATACAGTGTGTCCCACTTACCATGCTCACCATGGGTATCTTTTTAACGGTGAGAGATACGAGGTCGGTTAAATGACACCAAATGTGGAGTTTGTCAAGGCCAACTATAATGTGAAAAAATATTTTGATAAAATCTATTCGTTTTTGTTTTATACGCAAAAATCAGATTTTGATCATTTTCATGTCTCCTCCGTAACTTCTTTATTTATGAAAATATTCAAATAGGAATTTCACATTCTAATGGCAGTTTTTCAAAATGATTTCGAAAAAAATATGAAATTTATACCAACTCTTCTAGAATTTGAGATATTAGCACCAACTTTAGTTTTTCAAATGTAGGTCATAGCTCACTATGACTTAGTTACAAATAATTTTTTTTTCTCTTACAGATGATATGTCGCAGTAATAGTTTTGTGTTGATAACAACGGAGTTATCGTCATTTATACAAAAACAAAAAATCATTTGGAAGTCGCCATCTTGAATTTATAAATTTCAATCAAAAAATCATGATCTCCGACCTCGAAAACCCCCACTTATCAATTTTTAATGGAATCGGACCAAATATTGTCCGCCATCTTGGAGCAGCCATTTTTTTAATTTCAACAAAAATTCCATAACTCCGATTAACTTGAAATTTGGCAGGTGTTCATAATTTCGGTGAAAATACATTATGGAATTTCTGTTGAAATTTTAAAAAATGGCTGCTTCAAGATGGCGGACAAGATTTGGCCCGATTCCATTCAAAATTGATAAGTAAGGGTTTTCGAGGTCGGAGATTATGATTTTTTTGGTAAAATTTATAAATTCGAGATGGCTGCTTCCAAATAATTTTTTGTTTTTGTATAAATGACGATAAATACGTTGTTATCAACACAAAACTATTACTGCAACATATCATCTGTAAGAGAAAAAAAAGTTATTTGTAACTAAGTCATAGTGAGCTATGACCTACATTTGAAAAACTAAAGTTGGTGCTGATATCTCAAATTCTAGAAGAGTTGGTATAAATTTAATATTTTTTTCGAAATCATTCTGAAAAACTGCCATGAGAGAATGTGAAATTCCTATTTGAATATTTTCATAAATAAAGAAGTTACGGAGAAGACATGAAAATGATCAAAATCTGTTTTTTGCGTATAAAACAAAAACGAATAGATTTTATCAAAATATTTTTTCATATTATAGTTGACCTTGACAAACTCCACATGTGGTGTCATTTAACCGACCTCGTATCTCTCACCGTTGAAAAGATACCCATGGTGAGCATGGTAAGTGGGACACACTGTATAACCTATTTTCGAAGTTTTACTCACGCAGTTCAAGATTCATTAACGATTGAAAAACTATGATTTTTTGTATGGATATGTTTTTTTCTAGAAAGTCCTCCATATGAAGCGAGCAGCACTAAGAGCCTCAAAGCAAGACTGATAGTTGAGATCTCAAAACTCATCCTTACTTATTCTCGAATTCGACCGCCCTTGCCGGAATTGGGGAAAGAAGACTTATTGTTGGCTTTGATAAAATGTTCAGATTATTCTTCGCTGCAAACGTCAGTGACGGTTATCAACGCTATATGTCGAATTTTACAGTCACAGGTAAATATTTTCTGGCAATTCAAAACGATTTCAATCGTTTTCGGTCTCTGGTTTCAGAAAGTATATATTTCACATTCGTTTTCACATTTTTTCATCAAGTTCATGAGGTAATATTCATTTATTATTTGTATGAATAATTTGTTCTCCAGTTTCTGTCGATTCGTCTATACTAAACTGGTAAAGGATATGCAATTAAACTTCTCGAAAAATGATTTGTCCAAATCAACCATAAAAAAACTTAATTGCAAATTATATGCCACATATAAGCTCAACCTTTTTCTTCGCTTTCGAAAAGTTACAATCTGTATGACGGTCTAATTTTTTTCTATTTTGATAGAATAATTATAGTTATAAACTTATTTGATGAAAACTTCTGCAGACGAAACATCCTTATTGTTGGGCGCCATCTTTCCTTTACATATTTTCACTCCATTATTCGAAGGCTCATTTGTTTCATCTCATGCTAACTTTTCTGAATCATATCTGGTAAAAAAAGTTGTGTTTGCGGAGGAAAGGATTGCGAGGAATTATCGTTTCTCAGGTTGAACCACTTCATCTTACCTTATTCCTAGGCAATTTTCATGATTTGCACAGTTAGGTACCTAAATTATAAAGGAGTGAATAAGAAATTCCAAATTCACTCAATAACTAATAATTATTGATTATTATTATCATCATTAAATAACTCATTACGACCCTATATAGTAATTATAAACTCATTTGATAGGAATGCCCCATTGTTGGGCGCCAATTCTCATCCATCCATTCATTCACAAGTTCGCCGTGACTTCTTTTGCTTCTTCTCTATTTCATCCTTTGTCCATTTATTCCTTTTTGTCATATTATATTTGTTGGAAAATTTACCTAAGGAAACTTTCCCATTATTGCGCGCTAATTTCTAATTTATTTTTTCTTTTCTATTGGAAGGTTTACCTGATTCCTTTGATGAAAACGACCTTCATCGAGAACGTCTATTCGATGACGTCATTCCAGCATCCGTCGTGCGCCAAGTGCGTCGATCACTCTTGCGTTGGCTGGTTGATACTGCGCAGAATCCCCAATTGGCCGAGTCTTTCGTTCTTTTTTTCTTATTATTAGTTTTTTTTTCTTTTATTTTTTCTTTCGTCTTCATTTACTATCAACTTTTCTGAACCATGCCTGGTAAAAAAGTAGTGTTTGCGGAGGAGAAGATTGCCAGAAATTATCTTCTCATAACTAATTTTGAATAATTTTTTCAGTCTATATCGAACAACGTCATCTCACCGTACTTCTAGGCATTATCTGATCATACTCCTAGGCAATTTTCATGATTTACACAATAATTAGGTACTCAAATTATTATAAAGGAATGAATCAGACAATCAAAATTCACTCTATATCAATAAAAATTGACCATTATCATCAATAAATCAACCATTACCAACCTTACATTATAAAATTAGTGATTAGATAGTGAACATATATCACTATGTAGCTATATATGTACCCATTTATTGGAAAACCCCATTGTTGGGCGCCAATTTTGATTCATCCTTCCATTTACAAGTCGGTCATGACTTCTCCTTTTCCGTTTTCTCCCTTCCATTATCTCTCTTCATTTCATATCATTTTTCTCTCTCTTTATATTATTCTAGCTGCCCGGCCCAGCTTCGCACGGTTGGTGTACCATTTAAAAAAAATTAGACCTTTGTTGCAGTCTTTCTAAGCTGTGCGCGTAACTACAGTACATATTTGTCGTTATTTGTTTTAGGCTCACTTATAGCTACTCTAATATACTGACCTATTTTCATTTTCTCAGTATCTTTCGTATTTTTTTGTTGTTTGACGTATTGAAAATGTCAACCCTATCGGTCAAGCCGTTTATTAGTTGGCATACCGACAGCAGCGCCTCCCACCGAATCGAATTGCATTTTTAAATCATCCAGAAAACCATCGAAATACCTATGAACCTATCTTCATCAGGAATAATGTCGGCTTCAAATGGTAAAATAATTTTTCAACTAGGTTCAGTACTTTGGGAGCCTATTCAATACAAACAAAAAAAAACAAACAAATTGTTCCTCTTTATAATATTAGTATAGATAATAGCAAATAGTCACATCCTTATTTGTTGAAAACTTGCCCTAAGGAAACTTTCCAGTTCTTAGGAGCCAATTTCTAACTTATTTTTCTCTTCTATTAGAAGGATTACCTGATTCCTTCGATGAAATCGCCCTTCATCAATAGTGTAATTACTAAAATGCGTGGGAAGTTCAGCTTATGTAATATTAATTCACTCACATGTCGGCCGTGACGCATTTTTCTATTGTCTTCTCATTTTCTATCATATAACACCAAGCAGTTACATGCACGATGTTCTTTGAACATTATAGGGATTCCCTTTCGTGCGCTCCAAGCGATAAAAAAAATGCTTATTTGTTGAAAACTTGCCCTAAGGAAATATCGTATTGTTGGGCGCCAATTTCCATATTTTTTAATAGGTTTACCTGATTCCTTTGATGAAAACGACCTTCATCGAGAACGTCTATTCGATGACGTCATTCCAGCACCCGTCGTGCACCAAGTGCGTCGATCACTCTTGCGTCGGCCGCCTGATACTGCGCAGAATCACAGAATTGGCAGAGTCGGCTGTGGGCAAGGGGGACATAGCGCATGGTTTGTTGCGGGGCAGCGATGAAGACAAGCGGAAGTTGGTGTTGACCATCCCGTATATATTCACGTAAGAAAAGAAAAATAAATAGTTTCATCTGACTCTCTTATCATAAATGCTGGTGTTCCGCAAGGATCATTTATAGCACCAATAATATTTCTATCCATATCAACGATTTGTTGGAAACAACTTCATGTCCAGTATACAGCTTCGTGGATGACAGTACCCTCCATACCGCCTTCTCTTCCAGGGCTCCAATACCAGCCAGGCAAATCAGAAACGAACGAGGAAGAAATGTTGACAACATAAATATGGACTTTGCAACAATTCTCGAATGGGGATCCAATAACTTTGTAGATTTCAATGCAAACAAAACACAAGCATGCCTTTTCTCTAAGAAAGCCGATCTGACTGTGCCCAACATAAGCTTTTCAGGAGTAACCATACTTTTGAAGACATCCATTCCGATGCTTTAACAATGCAATGCATTAACCTTTCTTGGGAAAATCACGTGAGATCAATTGCTAAAAGTGCATCCCAAAAACTTGGTTTTCTGTTTCGGGCCAGGAGCTATTTCACTTCCAGTCAGCTGCTTATGATCTATAAGGCACAGATCCGACCTGTTCTGGAACACTGTTCCCATATTTGGAGTGCAGCACCCAAACATACCCTGAAACTGTTGGATTCTGTCCAAAAAAAGGGCAATTCGTCTCGTGGGTGATGCCTCGCTCACAAACTCACTCACTTCTCTGGAACACCGTAGACAAGTGGGCGATCTGGCCCTATTTTATAGATATTTTCATGGACGATGCCCTTCTGAAATATCAACAATCGTTCCTTCCTTGGCAGTCCCCGTGAGATTAACCCGTCGAGTTGAGGCTTCGCACCACTTTCCAAAGACTCGTTCATCCAACGAATAGCGAGGCTCTGGAACACATTGCCAAGGGAGGTGTTTCCCGAGGCATATAACCTCCAGAAATTTAAGAAGAACATCAATTCCTACCTCATTAACCTTGGTTCTCACGATGTTCTCTGAACATTACATGATATCCCTTTTCGTGGGAACCTGAACATGAGAAAAAAATATGAAAACTAGAGAAACACACTTTCATAAATAGCCAAACCAAAAAGTAACAATTGTCAAAAAAGCGTGGTAACATAATTTTCAAATACGAATACAGTAAAATAAATATACAACATGGAAAATATTAGCGGTGCAATCCTTTGTACCTATGCATCTCCATCAGGATGAGATCAGTTACTCTTATTTGTATAAAAAATTATGTAGTGTGTGTCGGCGAGATGTAAGCAAACCAAGAATAGTTTGATAACAATGTTTGCGAATTTAGCTTCACTTTGTTAAGTAAGGTATATTCATGTATTCTTTTTCACCCAACAAGAATGTAAATATAAAATTTTGAAAAATTCTCTGAATAATGAAGTCCACATCTGTACATCGCAGCGATGCTACATTCATGATATGTTTGCTTTTTTTTGTACATCGCAGCGATGAAACATTCGTAATATCCCATTGTTGCCTCATCGTGACATCTCAGAGATGTCATGTCGCAGATGTGTTTGCTTATGAACATTGCAGCGATGGAACGTTTGTGATATCGCACTGTTACCTAAACGCGACATCTCAGAGATGCCATGTCACAGATGTGTTGGCTGGGAAGAATGACATTCATTTTCAAATTTTGCGCATGACATTTTGTCAGTGTTGCCAATGAAAGAATATTAGTTGTAACTTGGGCCACATTCTGCGTTAAATGGTCTATTCGAATTTAGATCGTTCTTTTCCAGGAATAAATCCATTTTAGCCAAACTGATGTTGAATTGCGGGGGCTTGGGAGTCCTAATGGGCCTTCTCAAAGACGATTCCAGTTTGAAAGAGCGCACTATCAAGGTGTTGTGCGCGTTGGCCGCAAAGCGTCTCGAAATAGGTGAGGAATATTTCGAAAAAAACAATTATTGCTCTCTTTTCCGAATTTAACTTTTTTTCTAAAACAATAAATAAAGTTGGAGTGACAAATAAAAAAAAAAGATGCAAGGAATAGATGTGCCTAAGTGTAACAGAGTCAATTCAAAACCTAAATAGGTGTATTTTTCTTGAAACGTTTCATTTTGGTTTCGTTCAAACGTTCTTGCAACTGAAAAATATTCGGAAAACCTAGAAAAACGTCTGGGTTGAGTTTTAAATAGGATAAAATTGAAATGTTTCTGGAAGATTTCATGTTCAGTGGGTTATGGCGTTACCACCGATACAACAAGGCCTGCATGCTCCGTGGGTGACGTCACTTAGTCAGGCCTAACCAGCGGCTCGAAACGACAAGCGCTTATAGCGCTATAAGGCGACCGCGTATTTCGATTTTAGTTTTAGATCATCATTGAGCCGATTTTGCTGTTTTTTGAAGGGCTTCCGGTTAAAAAAGGATGCCAGTCGCCAACTGAGCCCTTCTTCGCACCCCATTCGATTTTATTATGGAAAAACGAAGTTTTAAAGCAAAAACCAGGATAATACACAAATATCCACCTACAGCAACCCATTCGAATTAAATATATTGGAAAAAATTGTGGTGAAGGTAAACTTCACACCTACTTATACAGGGCCCGCAGAACATAAACTTATCGTGAGATTGATCGAAAGAAAATTGTGGAAAATGTATTTTATTTTGATCGACATGCCGTTTGTCACAATTACCTATATTTATCTTGGAGAATTCCTATTACCTGAAAAAATAACCAATGAGTGTTTTCAATTTTCTGTCGTTGGATTTTTCACCCAAGTGGATCGTTACACTTGAAACCGTAATTTTTAAGGGTAAAACTGCATTTATCATGCGATGGTTTTTTTTTAATTTTTTTCGGTACTCACGTATTTTTGTCTGATAAACCGAATTTTAACATGAAAATGTGAACAAACCACTATTTATTGAGATATTTCAAGAAAAAGTTCGAAATTTTGCCTTCTTTCTCCCCTTGTGTTGGGGGCATTTGAAGCTACTTGCTCTTATTTTGTCATTGGACACTTTATATACTCATGATGTACTTCGATGGCGCATTTTTATATAGAAAATTCAACAGGAAATATGATTTTTATGGCGAGATTTTCATATTTAGTGAACAAGCATTCCAGATGACGACCATTTAATCAATAGTCAATCAAAATTCGAGATGTCAAATGTCAATAGATTGCTTTCGCATGACATTACACACGCCATTATTTTGAATGATATTCTTCCTTCTCTTCACTAAATATGGATTAATCTCAAGAAAATCATATTTATAGTTGAATTATATATAAATTGTCCAATATGATGAAAAAAGAAGGGAAATTTGTTCTAAATGCCATCCAGAAGACAGGTGAAAAAGAAGGTGAAATTTGGAACTTTTCAGTCAAATATCTTCATGATAAATATCATGATAAATGCAGTTTTACCTTTTTTGAGTAGAGTGTCTGTAGTTCATCTTAATATGATAGTTGCAATTTGATCATTGGAATGAATTCTGCATTCATTGTCACGAGGCAAATGACCGTTTTCAGAAAGAAATTTGAGAATGAGAATTAAAAATGCCCGTTTATTATGAACATTCAAGAAAATTGCCTCGAATTCAGAGATGATTTTGTTGACTAAAATATACGAATACAAAACTAACTGCACAATCAAAGCTTTTCTATTTTTCCTCTACTTATACTTTTTATGAGAGAGTAATTGTCTTCTATTATTAATTCATCATTATAAATTGAGCTCTGTTTACTACTGAACTTAGATACTTAGATGGAGTAAAATCCTCGCGGTGAATTGCATATACCCACATTTTCGATAGCTCCTCGTCCAACGGAAAACTAAAAGCATGAACTTTTGAACCACCCACATAATTCCCCCGACAAAAGGGAACACAACACTTGAAAGGCATTGATATTTCGCCGATCACAACACAAAATATTTCACAAAACAGTAATTTTTCCGCCAATTATTTTGATGAATAAACAACAAAAGAATTCGCGATCGTTTCAAAAACATACGTGAATCACCAATCAATTAACACGAACTGACGCGTTAGTCGACAAGCGATAAAATAAAACACTGGCCTCACTTGGTGACGTCACGAGCTGTTTACGTCAGAGTCTGCTGGCCTTGTTGTATCGGTGGTAACGGTTATGGCCGGTTTTTTGCCGTTTTTTTTTGTATTATCACTAGCTCATTATGGATTATTACCATACTAGCCAACCCTAAGGAAGTATCCATTGACGCGGGGAGCCATTCGAGTACCGACCTTCACCCCTCTTCCGAAGAGAGTTCCTGCACGGTGGAGTTCGAACTAGATGACGGGTCGCGCCTCCAGACGAATAGGGCTTTTCTGATGGAAAAATCCGAGTTTTTCCGGTGCCTGTTGGACGGAAGTTTCAGGGAAAGCGGCGAGACGGTGGTGCGGTTGCGCGACGTGGAGATGAAGAGTTTGAGGAGTTTGGTGGAGTTGATGAAGAACGAGGATAGGTGAGATTTTTTAGATTAAATCGTGATTTCTTTGATTTAAACTGTTTTTTTTCAAATTTTTTCCTTGAATATGGATATAATGAACTTCAAAACAGATCGATCGCACTGCTATTTATTATTTCAAAGATCATGGAGAAAGCTATCACCATCGAGCTCATGAAATGCCTGGAACATTCTGGTATTATCAACGATAGGCAATAAGGCTTCCGTCATTAGAGATCAACTGATGACCTGCTTGCATACGTCTCACATATATGGCAGCAATCTATTTAAAAATATTATGAAACCTTAGCTGTGGCACTTGATATCTACAAGGCATTCGATCGAGTCTGGCACCACGGACTTCTCGCCAAGCTTCCATCTTATGGCTTGCCTCACCAGCTATGTTCTCTGCTAGCTAGTTTTCTCTCAAACAAGTCTCTCCATGTAGTGGTCGACGAAGTTTCATTTGACTCTCATCATATATGCTGGTGTTCCGGAAGGATCAATTCTAGCACCAACACTATTTCTACTCCATATCAACGAGTTGTTGGAAGCAACTTCATGTCCAGTACACAGCTTCGCGGATGATAGTACCCTCCATACCGCCTTCTCTTCCAGGGGTCCAATACCAGCCAGGCAAATCAGAAACGAACGAGGGAGAAATAATGTTGAACACATAAATATGGACTTGGCAACAATTCTCGAATGGGGATCCAATAACTTGGTAAAACAGCAATTCCTACCTCATTTCCCTTGGTTCTCATGATGTTCTCTGAACATTACAGGATATCCCTTTTCGTGGGAACCAGAACATGAAAAAAACACGAATAGCCTTCTGATAACCTTGGGGTTCCAAAGATTCGCTGGTCGAGCTAGACGCTTGTGAAACATTGATGATTGCATATGTATACTAGAATATACACGTGGCGACCTGGTCGAAACCACTGATGTGTATACTCAGATGGATGAAGTGTTGAAGAAATATTAAATGGGAGTTCAGAAGCGTAACCATTTATTTCCAAAGGTGTCAAATTCCGTAATTTCACGAATTTTCGATGAAATCGGCTTTCTCAAGAAACAAGCCATTATTTTTTCAATAAGACATTCTCAATGATATCATTCCTTTGTCCATCAGGATCCAGAAGACGGTGCGCGGTCTCGACACCCGCACCCTGCTCGACGTCATCGCCCTCAGCGACCGCTTTCTCTTGCCGCGCTTATGCGCGCGCCTCTGCGACTGCGTTGAGCGCCACAAGATGTCGGTCCGCACGGCGCCCGCCATCTACCGGTGGTCGCTGGAGTCGCGGCTCGACCTGCTTCGGGTGGAGTCGGTCGCGTTCGCTCTGGTCGCGAGGGTGAGCGACAAGAGCCGAACGGCGATGTTTGAGGGGCTGTTCGCGTTGGGGCATGATGAGGAGTTGATAGGGGACATCGAGGGATTGTTGGTGAGGTATTTGAGTAGGTTTCGGGGGGTCGCGGTATGATTGCGTGTGATTGTTTTAATAATATTGTACAGAGATTGAATTAATTATTATGAAAACACGATGTTCTGCATTTGACTATTAGTTTCACTTGATAGGTGAATGTATCTTCATTAGATTACTTTACGGGGTGGCGGGGTGGTTATTGAGTGTACCCTCCCTTACAGTGAAATTACATATCACTGATAAGAAATAGAAACGTTGAAACCTTGAATACTATTTTTCTCCTGAACAATTTTGTGTCGTCAATTGGATGGAGATATGAGTGAATTTTACTGATGGAAGATGCTGAGTAGGGGCATTTTTCAGTTACCAATACTCAAATCAAAAGAGAAATAATTGCAATTCTTTCTCATTAAAACAGCTGTGGTTCTACTCTGCACTAGGGTCTTCCTTAGGGACCCTGTATATCAAATGAAGGCACTACAACAAACTATATAGGGGCATTTTTCAATTTTACTCTGATCAGGAGTGAAATAATTATTGCACCTTTCTCATTAAAAGCGTTTCTTAGGTGATTGTATTCGAACTCGGAAAAATTATGGTACTAGATCGAAACGTTTTTCTATCAAAGATACCACAAGGTAAGAACAGTGAGTCAGAAATTGAATATTTTTTCTAATGGAGACAGAGAGAGCTGTGCTTCTACTCTGCACTGGGCCATTCCTTAAGGACCCTGTATACCTAATTTTGAAAGCCCTACGAAAAAGTTGATTTTTGTGGGTGAAAAAGAAAGAAGGACATTGACATTTTTTCAACTAATTCAAGGTGTCAGAATGGCCTGGAGCGGTGATGTTTGAGAGGCTGTTTGCGTTGGGGTATGATGAGGAGTTGATAGGGGACATCGAGGGATTGTTGGTGAGGTATTTGAGTAGGTTTCGGGGGGTCGCGGTATGATTGTGTGTGATTGTTTTAATAATATTGTACAGAGATTGAATTAATTATTATGAAAACACGATGTTCTGCATTTGACTATTAGTTTCACTTGATAGGTGAATGTATCTTCATTAGATTACTTTGCGGGGTGGTTATTGAGTGTACCCTCCCTTACAGTGAAATTACATATCACTGATAAGAAATAGAAACGTTGAAACCTTGAATACTATTTTTCTCCTGAACAATTTTGTGTCGTCAATTGGATGGAGATATGAGTGAATTTAACTGATGGAAGATGCTGAGTAGGGGCATTTTTCAGTTACCAATACTCAAATCAAAAGAGAAATAATTGCAATTCTTTCTCATTAAAACAGCTGTGGTTCTACTCTGCACTAGGGTCTTCCTTAGGGACCCTGTATACCAAATTTGAAGGCACTGCAACAAAGTATATCGGGGCATTTTACTCTGATCAGGACTGAAATAATTATTGCACCTTTCTCATTAAAAGCGTTTCTTAGGTGATTGTATTCGAACTCGGAAAAATTATGGTACTAGATCGAAACGTTTTTCTATCAAAGATACCACAAGGTAAGAAAAGTGAGTCAGAAATTGAATATTTTTTCTAATGGAGACAGAGAGAGCTGTGCTTCTACTCTGCACTGGGCCATTCCTTAAGGACCCTGTATACCTAATTTGGAAAGGCCTACGAAAAAGTTGATTTTTGTGGGTGAAAAAGAAAGAAGGACCTCTTTGACATCCTTTCAACTAATTCAAGCAGTCAGAATGGCCTGGATCGGTGATGTTTGAGAGGCTGTTTGCGTTGGGGTATGATGAGGAGTTGATAGGGGACATCGAGGGATTGTTGGTGAGGTATTTGAGTAGGTTTCGGGGGGTCGCGGTATGATTGTGTGTGATTGTTTTAATAATATTGTACAGAGATTGAATTAATTATTATGAAAACACGATGTTCTGCATTTGACTATTAGTTTCACTTGATAGGTGAATGTATCTTCATTAGATTACTTTACGGGGTGGCGGGGTGGTTATTGAGTGTCCACTGATAGATTACTTTATTATGGAAATTCATGATTTACCCTTCCTTACAATGAAATTACATATCACTGAAAAGAAATAGAAACGTTGGAACCTTGAATACTATTTTTCTCCTGAACAATTTTGTGTCGTCAATTGGATGGAGATATGAGTGAATTTTACTAATGGAAGATGCTGAGTAGGGGCATTCTTCAGTTACCAATACTCAAATCAAAAGAGAAATAATTGCAATTCTTTCTCATTAAAACAGCTGTGGTTCTACTCTGCACTAGGGTCTTCCTTAGGGACCCTGTATATCAAATGAAGGCACTACAACAAACTATATAGGGGCATTTTTCAATTTTACTCTGATCAGGAGTGAAATAATTATTGCAACTTCCTCATTAAAAGCGTTTCTTAGGTGATTGTATTCGAACTCGAAAAAATTATGGTACTAGATCGAAACGTTTTCATATCAAAGGGACCACAAAGTAAGAAAAGTGAGTCAGAAGTTGAATATTTTTTTCTTATGGAGACAGAGAGAGCTGTGCTTCTACTCTGCACTGGGCCATTCCTTAAGAACTCTGTGTACCTAATTTGGAAAGCCCTACGAAAAAGTTTATTTTTGTGGGTGAAAAAGAAAGAAGGACGTCTTTGACATCCTTTCAACTAATTCAAGCAGTCAGAATGGCCTGGATCGGTGATGTTTGAGGGGCTGTTCGCGTTGGGGCATGATGAGGAGTTGATAGGGGACATCGAGGGATTGTTGGTGAGGTATTTGAGTAGGTTTCGGGGGGTCGCGGTATGATTGCGTGTGATTGTTTTAATAATATTGTACAGAGATTGAATTAATTATCATGAAAACACGATGTTCTGCATTTGACTATTAGTTTCACTTGATAGGTGAATGTATCTTCATTAGATTACTTTACGGGGTGGCGGGGTGGTTATTGAGTGTCCACTGATAGATTACTTTATTATGGAATTTCATGATTTGCCCTCCCTTACAGTGAAATTACATATCACTGATAAGAAATAGAAACGTTGTAACCTTGAATACTATTTTTCTTTTGAATAATTTTGTGTCGTCAATTGGATGGAGATATGAGTGAATTTTACTGATGGAAGATGCTGAGTAGGGGCATTTTTCAGTTGCCAATACTCAAATCAAAAGAGAAATAATTGCAATTCTTTCTCACAGCTGTGGTTCTACTCTGCACTAGGGTCTTCCTTAGGGACCCTGTATATCAAATGAAGGCACTACAACAAACTATATAGGAGCATTTTTCAATTTTACTCTGATCAGGAGTGAAATAATTATTGCACCTTTCTCATTAAAAGCGTTTCTTAGGTGATTGTATTCGAACTCGGAAAAATTATGGTACTAGATCGAAACGTTTTTCTATCAAAGATACCACAAGGTAAGAAAAGCGAGTCAGAAATTGAATATTTTTTCTAATGGAGACAGAGAGCTGTGCTTCTACTCTGCACTGGGCCATTCCTTAAGGACCCTGTATACCTAATTTGGAAAGCCCTACGAAAAAGTTTATTTTTGTGGGTGAAAAAGAAAGAAGGACCTCTTAGACATCCTTTCAACTAATTCAAGGAGTCAGAATGGCCTGGAGCGGTGATATTTGAGAGGCTGTTTGCGTTGGGGTATGATGAGGAGTTGATAGGGGACATCGAGGGATTGTTGGTGAGGTATTTGAGTAGGATTCGGGGGGTCGCGGTATGATTGTTGTAATAATATTGTACAGAGATTGAATTTATTATTATGAAAACACGATGTTTTGCATTTCACTATTAGTTTCACTTGATAGGTGAATGTATCTTCATTAGATTACTTTACGGGGTGGCGGGGTGATTATTGAGTGTCCACTGATAGATTACTTTATTATGGAATTTCATGATTTATCCTCCCTTACAGTGAAATTACATATCACTGATAAGAAATAGAAACGTTGAAACCTTGAATACTATTTTTCTCTTGAACAATTTTGTGTCGTCAATTGGATGGAGATATGAGTGACTTTTATTAATGGAAAATGCTGAGTAGGGGCATTTTTCGGTTACCTATACTCAAATCAAAAGAGAAATAATTGCAATTCTTTCTCATTAAAACAGCTGTGCTTCTACTCTGCACTAGGGTCTTCCTTAGGGACCCTGTATACCAAATTTGAAGGCACTACAACAAAGTAAATAGGGGCATTCTTCAATTTTACTCAAACCAGTAGAAACATAATCGGAACTTCTTTCTCATTAAAAGCGTTTCGTATATCATTGTATTCGAACTCGCGGAAAAATTGTGAGTCAGAAACTGAATATTTTTCCTAATGGAGACAGAGAGAGAGAGCTGTGCTTCTACTCTGCACTGGGCCATTCCTTAAGGACCCTGTATACCTAATTTTGAAAGCCCTACGACAAAGTTGATTTTTGGGACTGAAAACTTGTATTCAGCTTTATTTCGATGTGCTGAACAAGAATCTGAAATCCGTTTCTCTCTATCTCTTTTAGTTTCATAGATAATCGTTTTACTTCGAAAAAAATTAGGTTACTGGATCGGATAGTTTTTTATCAAAGGTACCACAAGGAAGGAAAAGCGGGTCAAAAATTGATTGTTTTTTTGTTTGAGATAGAGAGCTGAGCTTAGATTATCCTTTAAGGACTCCATATCAAGGTCCTATGACAAAGTTGATTCTTGGGTCGGAAAAAGAAAGAAGGATATCACTATTGAACTTTTTTCAACTAATTTGAGGTGTCAGAATGGACTGAAAACTTGCATACAGATTGTTCTTTATGTGCTGAGCAAGAATATGAAATACGTTTGTTTCTGTGTCTCCCCCAGTTGAAATTGGGTACTCTATTAATATAACAGAAATATCGAATTAAAAAACTAACCATAAATAAATATCTATTGGATTATCATCAACAAATAGGTACAAATTGAATTAGAAAAACAGGCGACATAGCAAATTGGAATGAATAATATAATATTGGAATAAAGATAAGTAGGTACCGGGTGATCCATCTCATATCTCCGAAACTATTCAAATTATCGTTGTGCGGTTTGGACTTCTCTATTTTGATATTCTTCAAGTTTTTTTACTGGTTCACCTCCTCACCTGAACTTCCGGTACTACCGGAAACAAACAAGCCATTATTCAGGTATAGGGCAACTTTGATAACATTGCATAATCTCATTAAACCATTCCACAAGCAGTAGTTGTTTCAAAGAGTTTTAACTCTAATAGTTTTCTAGGAGAACATAACTTGTAATACATTGTTAGATAGAGAAAAGACCAGTCTTTCTGAATGTGCAAAAATATACAGGGTGATTCAATGAAATAAAAAAGATGCCCTATACCTGGATTATTGCACGTTTGTGAAACTTGAAAAACATCAAAATAGACTAGTCCAAACCGCACAACGATAACTTAAATGGTTTCAGAGATATGAGCATTTGAAATGGGTCAGAATATAACTGGTCACCCGGTATCATAAAGTAAAAATCTATATATACCCAATTATATCTGAAAATCAATCAAATATACCTTAAAAGAATTCATACAATCAAATCACAAGACATCACATTATTGCAAGTTCACATAGAAAAAAAAATTACATTCACAGGATGAAATTCCAAAATTTCCTGACATCAAATAAAAAACTCCCGTTCCCACTATAAAACAATCCATCATCATCCATTCCGTATCCCCACCTTCCGTGAACCCTAGAAATATTCCTTGGTGTTCACATTCAACTACCCCCGCCCCTCCTCTCCTGCAACCATCTTCGTATTTCCTCGGCTAACTCCGTATTCGGCATCACTTGATCCATGGAAAGAGGAGATCTGTTGAAGGGATCGGTCTGATCGCTGAGAAGATGCCTAAATAACAATCAGCACGTCAAAATGATTTTTCTACTCACATAACTAAAATGGCATTTAGCGTACGGATATGTACCACGCTAAATGATCGATTAATCACGGATTGACGATCTGTGATTCATTCAAAATATTAAACACGTTACCATGGCAACACGATTTCTTAAACACATTACAATGGCAACGCAGTTCATTAAACACGGCTTCGGTAATTTGAGACATGTCTGGCCTGTCAATTGTAGGAACTGTCAACTGTCATTTTCGAATTTTGTATCAGAATTATTCAAACAATTTTCGTTTGTATCCGAATTCTTCATTGAAAATATACCGGGTGACACAGGAGACATGTAGCAGCCTGTAGTTTTTTATTTGAAAAGATAAAATTTTGAAATTCACAGGGGGTATATAATATATGGTAGCGCACTTTACGAACTTGAAGACAATTTTTTTCAACCACCTGTTTGACCGGAAGTGACCCCAACTTTTTTTTTAAATGTCACCCTGTACATTTCTTCAATCTATCTTTTTCGCCTTGAAATTCTCTATCCAACCATGTATCACAAAGTGGCATTTATTTCTTAATTCGCTGTTAAATTGCTTTTTATTCAAAAAGAATAAGTTGGCTGTGACATGAATTCGATGATATATCGACACTTGGTAGGCTTTGAAATTTAAATAGCATTAGTAAACCGATATTATTCAAAATGTTTTGATATTCTGATCAATGTCTGCAGGTTGTCAACAGCTTGTTTGAGTCAAGATGAAAACCTTCGAAAATAACTCATGATATTGAGGAATCTAAGATAGGAACATATTTTTTCGAATTTAGCTACTCGTACAGAAACTATCTGTCTTTTATTTTCGCCATGTACCTATCACATGATCTTCCCATTTGGAATAATAAAACTGAAATTGTTCCTCTTATACGATGATCCACAGGGCCATCAGTCTATTTTTTCATTATAATTTCACTTAGTAGGCGGTGTACCTACACAAAATGTTTTATGTGTTTGACAGTTAATCGATTTCATCAATAATTTTTCTTCTTCATTTGTGTGTTGATTGAAATTGCATATTATCAATAGAGACGGAAAATGTATTCAAGAAACGAAAAAGTCGATATGTTACCAGATCTAGTAACCTAACCAAAGATATGTTACCAGATCTAGTAACCTAACCTAAGATATGTTACCAGATCTAGTAACCTAACCTGAGATATGTTACCAGATCTAGTAACCCAACCTAAGATATGTTACCAGATCTAGTAACCCAACCTAAGATATGTTACCAGATCTAGTAACTTAACCTAAGATATGTTACCAGATCTAGTAACCCAACCTAAGATATGTTACCAGATCTAGTAACCCAACCTAAGATATGTTACCAGATCTAGTAACCTAACCTAAAAAAAAAACGAAAAAGTCGATATGTTGTTATTATGCAATTTTAATCAACACACAAATGAAGAAGAAAAATTATTGATGCAATCGATTATCTGTCAAACACATAAAACATTTTGTGTAGATACACCGCCTACTAAGTGAAATGATTATGAAAAAATAGACTGATAGCCCTGTGGATCATCGTATTAGAGGAACAATTTTAGTTTTATTATTCCAAATGGGAAAATCATGTGATAGGTACATGGCGAAAATAAAATACAGATAGTTTCTGTACGAGTAGCTGAATTCGAAAAAATATGTTCCTATCTTAGATTCCTCAATATCATGAGTTATTTTCGAAGGTTTTCATCTTGACCCAAACAAGCTATTGACAACCTGCAGACATTGATCAGAATATCAAAACATTTTGAACAATATCGGTTTACTAATGATATTTAAATTTCAAAGCCTACCAAGTGTCGATATATCATCGAATTCATGTCACAGCCAACTTATTCTTTTTGAATAAAAAGCAATTTAACAGCGAATTGAGAAATAAATGCCACTTTGTGATACATGGTTGGATAGAGAATTTCAAGGCGAAAAAGATAGACTGAAGAAATGTACAGGGTGACATTTATAAAAAAAAGTTGGGGTCACTTCCGGTCAAACAGGTGGTTGAAAAAAATTGTCGTTAAGTTCGTGAAGTGCGCTACCATATATTATATACCCCCTGTGAATTTCAAAATGTTATCCCTCCAAATAAAAAAACTACAGGCTGCTACATGTCTCCTGTGTCACCCGGTATGCGCAATGTAGACGAAAGTGAAATCGAAGAGAATGTTTTGGTACTTGCATATCTCCAAGAAGTGTAAAAATGAAGCATCCATCTTCGAGAACAATTCATTTATTCTGCGCTAAGCATGATGATAAATGTGAAACAAAGGTTAGTAAGCAATGGACTGGACACATCTACAACTAATATCACCTGTACGTGTCTCGCTGGTTGCTTGCAGTTGCATGTATTATGTTCTCAATTCCCATTCCTTTCGAATTATTTTGTAGGTTAGCAGGAATAGCAGGTATGTTAATGTAATTTTCGAAGTTCGTAGAAAAAGCATAGTATGTAACGCGTTCATAAACTCTCGCCCCGCTCTGTTCCGCTCGTGCTTTAAATACTCGTTACTGAAAGGACGTTACAACTTGTTACATAATATACTATTGTGTATGAATCTGATTCATTTCAATATTCGCATCAGAAATAATAATGATTCATCATGGTTTCATCCCGAGAATAGTTACTGTTATTTATGCATCAAGGATGAATCACTGACTATAATAATAATAATAATAATAATCGTTTATTGTCTGCCAATGAACAAAATAACAAATTCCATGTTTGAACAATTATGTTAGTACAGGGTGATTCACCATAAATTCCCCCCCCCCTCTAGCTCAGTTATTTTTGAACCAATTTCAAAATTTGAAATATCTCAAATGATTTTCGATAAAGTTTTTTTTTGCTACATCAGAAGATACAGGGTGCTCGGAACAAACGATCTACAGGGTAACTATTTATTTTTTTTGAATGGAACACCCTATTCTTTATTGTATTTTTGGATTCGCCCTGAAGAGCTGATTTGATCGATGTATCACACTTGAGGTCTAGCGGGAATAATTACAGAGATAAAGGGTGTTCAAAATCGAGATTTTTTTGTGACGAAACTATTCGTTATCGGTCAAAACGGCTTCCATGTCCGTACCTCAACTCTCGATTTACTATCTACTGAAATTTAATAATTGGAACAGATACAGGGTGATCAGAATTCTGAATCTTGAACCACCCTGTAAATGTTCCAATTAAATGTCAGTAGATAGTAAATCAAAAGTTGAGATAGGGACATGAAAGCCGTTTTGACCGATAATGAATAGTTTCGACACAAAAAATCCTAAAATTGAAAAATCTCGATTTTGAACACCCTTTATCTCGCAAAAGAAGCCTCTTTCGTATAGGGTGTACGCACTTTGTATACCATTACTCAATTAACACACAGGGTGAGTCAAAAATTAAGAATAAATCATGGTTCGAGTTATTTCACCACCATCAAGAAGGCTTTGAAAAAATTTTCACCTCTTTATTTTGTTTTTAAAGACGAATGCATAAAAAAAATCGGCCTACAATTTTTTTTTTAAGAAGATAGGTCAAATATCAAGTGCGTCACTTTTTTTGGAACTGAGTGTATGTAGACTAGAATGAGAAATTACATGTAGAAATTACGTATAATACGCCGATGTCCTCAATATAACCTAAAAAACAACAAATGTCAGAAATCTAGCGTTTATCCCCAGAAATGAATAAAGATGGAACTATATAACTGTTTCACAAACACTTTAGAGTGAGAGGAGACGAGGATCTGTCCGTACCCTGTTAAGATGACTTCAACGTCAATTTACATCAAGGGAACCATCGATCGACAGATCGAACAAACGAACGAATCAATTAATTTAAGGAATATATTATTCGATTTAATTATTATTATGATCAGTTACCTGGCAATGGTGCTCCTGTCGACGGTTTGTTTGGAACTGGGCAGAATGACGGGGTCGCTCATCAACGTGGACATAATGGGGTCCAAAAAGTGCTCTGGGGCCTCGCTCGACGCTTCCTCGTTCGCCTGATTCTCCCTAGACTTTTCCGCCACCTGTCAAAGACGATCAAAACAGAAGGGAATCATTTTCTATTCTTGCCATAAACTACTATTTAGGGCGCTAATGCCATTTAAAAAAGTAATGCGACTCACGCTATCGCCCTTGGTCCAATGGACGTGCGCATTCAGGACCTGTCATATACAGGCTGTCCGGAATTACATAGAAAGATTTCAACCACAGATTCTAGGAACGAAAATAGTTTAACAAGTTTATGAACAGGTGTCCAGAAATTGCCCCCTGGAGAGTTATAGCCATCTAAAAATGAACCTGAGATTATGTTTTTTTTTATATTTTCGAAACCCTATTTGATACAATAACCAAATTTTGTACATGTGCCTCACTTCTCATGCCCAATTTGAAAGTGTTAATTATTTGCCGAGATTTTGATCAGGGGAGTAGGAACTCTACCTACATAATTTTCGTATGAGAATATCATATCATTTACTCAAAAATGGTACTCCTGTTTAGTTTTGATAGCACTCCATTTTCGAGATAAATCGATCATGAAAGTCTGCTACATAGTAAAAATAGTACCTTTTCTTAATAGAGTACCTAACATATTATTTTTCTATTTATTTTTTTTATTGCACCCCCTCTTATAAGTCAAACATCAAAAGTAGTTGTTAAAAGAAGGGGTATTTTTCATCAATCTTTAATTTTTGGGAGAATTTGATACTTAATCTAAGCAAACCTCACTTGAATAGACAAGTGTCTTTTCTGTTTATATAACTTTCGTATGAGAATATCATATCATTTACTCAAAAATGGTACTCCTGTTTAGTTTTGATAGCACTCCATTTTTGAGATAAATCGATCTTGAAATTCTGCTACATAATAAAAATAGAACCTTTTCTTAATAGAGTACCTACCATATTATTTTTCTATTCATTCTTTTTATTGAACCCCCTTATTTTAAATCAAACATCAAAAGTAGTTGTTGAAAGAAGGGGTATTTTTCATCAATCTATAATTTTTGGGAAGATTCGGTACTTGATTTAAGCAAACCTCCCTTAAATATACAAGTGTCTGATATGATCCCCACCATTCGCGATTTCATTCATTCATCCGTGTTTGGGCGTTTTGGATTGTTGACATATTTATACTCTTTAATTATTTATCAATTTCGGTGTCTATCTATATCACATTAAATGTCATCTCCCATGAAATGTAAAATGCCAAGCAGTGACAGCTGTCTAATAGAGCATTACTCAAGAGAAAATCAGATGGCTACAAGCCGAAGAAATAAAAAATGTCGCTATTATACTATACCTATCATCATTTAGTTCGAGCACTCACCGGCAAATGTACAAGTGTCTGGTATTATCCCCATCATTCGCGATTTCATTCATTTCGGCATTTGGATTGTTGACAAGTTTATACTTTCTAATGATTTATGAATTTCGGTGTCTATCTATATCACATTAAATGTCATCTCCCATGAAATGTCGAATGCCAAGCAGTTTCAGCTGTCTAATAGAGCATTACTCAAGAGAAAATCAGATGGCTACAAGCCGAAGAGATAAAAAATGTCGCTATTATACTATACCTATCATCATTTAGTTCGAGCACTCACCGGCAAATGTACAAGTGTTTGGTATTATCCCCATCATTCGCGATTTCATTCATTTCGCCGTTTGGATTGTTGACAAGTTTATACTTTTTAATGATTTATGAACTTCGGTGTCTATCTATATCACATTAAATGTCATCTCCCATGAAATGTCAAATGCCAAACAATGACAGCACTGTTTGATAGAGCTTGAATGATTTATGAATAAGTATCGGTGTCTATCTTCTGTTATTCACCCTGAGGAGAATTGCATGCCCATCGTTGCTAAGCAAACAGTGAAAGAGACAATCATTTCTTGCCAGCATACAGCACACCGTTTGGATCGTTCTGACTGGTCTTTTGGAATCGCCTAATACGTATGTTTGAGCAAAAATTAATATGATTCCAGGGGGATTTTGATATGGATGAATTACTTTTTGCAACACTCCACACGCTTTTTTATGTAAATAATACGTCTATGCGTTGTTCAAAATCGTTGAATTTCAGAGTTCATTTCAAACGTAACGTCATGGCCGCCATTTGGCGATACGTCGAATAAATGGTGACGTCAGTTTTTATGCTGTTTCGTTATTGGTCAGATAATCTCCCATTTCCACTCATGAAGCAAGGTTGTCAAGTCACCAATCAAAATCAAGTTATCAAAAAGATGTTCGAGTCCTGTCGTTGAATAAAACCTAATAGGAGGAACTTATAGTTCATTGTTGACTTTTTCGAGCAACCAGCATGTCCAAATATTTCCTAGTCTCCATAACAAAATATCATGTGAATGTTGGAGACTTGGCAACATTGTGCTGAATGTCGAGAACTGACAAGACCACGCCTACAAGTCGTCCGTTATGCCCGTTAAAAGGAGCTATAAGCTCTTGAAGCCAAACGAGATAACCTCTACCAGAACATCACATCCTGTGTATAATATGGTATTGGCACAAAAACACAAAACCTACCTTTTCGGCAACTTCTTTGAGGTCCCCGATGAGCGCACCACCCCCGATCCGTACGAGCACCTCCTCGGCCAAGGCGAACAATTCGGGGCTGTAGGAGCGGCCATCTTGCGATACGGCACACAGAAAGGCGGCGCTGTCTTTCAAGTGGGCGTAGATCTTGCATATCTCCAGGACGGTGTCGGCCGGCCGGAAATGGTACTCGCTAGCGTCCTTCACCTAATTAGAAGCAAAAATATTGGCACTTTATACGGGGTGTTTCGCGAAAAAAAAAGGGGCTTCGCTGCTAGGATAGGTGGAACTGCGAAATAAGTTGACTCAATAAAAAAGTTTCGTAACGGCATTCCTGTTAGAGCTAAAAGATGTTGAGAATATAATTTGTATACACTTTTCTTTATGTCGAAACAACTGGCAACATTATAATGAAATTTTGTATGAGTATGTTTTGAAAGCTGACTCATCATATTAATTTATTTTTATATCGGACTCTCATAGAAGGCGCTATAATTACGCGGTTCGTAATGAGTAGTATTAAACAAAGCTTTTTTGAGGTTAGATTTTCTAGTCCAGATTCTATTAATCATTCCAAAATTACGTCATTTGACAGTTTGCTGAGGGGCAAACGTTGAATTTTGTCAAGATTTGTCATATGAAACCAGAATTGGTGGGATCGTTTTCCTTGGAAACCGAGTTGGAACCCGAAAGAATTTCATAATTTTGTTTGGTGAAACTGTTTTGTGGATGTGGCAGGGATCTGCAGGGATATATAGGGCTATGCTCATCAAAGGTAACCTAACAGATAGTTTGTGTGCCCCTCAAGAAACCATGTCAAAATCACGTGTCATGAATGGTCAATATGAACTTCTGGTGAAACTCGATACTATGTACCATTTTCGGAATATTTTGTGGGTATAGGGAATTTCATCATGATTTTTTAATTTTTTTTTCACGATTTAGAACACATACTGGGTGAATTCAGCATTTTTTCAATTTTTTTTATGATTGCGGTTGACCCAGAAAAAAATTATTGAACTGAACCTAAATTCAAACGATAGCTCGAATGCGCGCGAAATATTGATGGCATTTCATTGGACGAATACAAGGTGCGTCATACACGTCGGACGGACATTCTCATATTCGTCATGTCACTTTGTCTTGTCACCATTTGTCATTGCATTTGTCACTCAATAAAAATTATAATATGACACTGATAGATCACTGAAAATGAAATGTACTAGATTTCGAGGTTAATCTGTTTCTTCTTCTATGGGTTGCGTGCAAGAACTGTCAGATGACCGACACTGGAGGCAAAACATTGAAACACAATGTCACTTTTCTTATTTGTTTACAAGTGATCGAAATAGTTTTTCACAATTATTTTGGCATATGAATCGTATTTTTCCGCTATTCATCAATTCGCTCATGCCATCACATTGTGCTGTTGTAAAATGCACAAAAACTGCAGCGGAAGATGAAGGAATCCGGATGGTACATTGTGATTTAAAAGTAAGTACTTACTATAGTCACTCACCTATAGTTTTCATTTTTGAAATTTGGTAATTTCTCTGATTTCTCATCGGAATTCCTTCTGCGATAGGAGCTAATAGAAATACACCTGAAATTTCTAAAATAATGCAAGAAGATTGGATTCGTGCAATCAATCGGGAGGACCGGTCTGACATGCTGACGATCGTGTGTGTTGTAGACATTTTCAATCTATGCAGCATTAGCTTGTATTGCAGAAGTGGCAGAAGGTAGAAGGAATTTTAATAAGGAATGACAACATTTCATAATGATAACTATGTGAGATTACTATTTACCTGAAAAATCATATTCCCTAGTCTCTTGCTGCATTTTTTGTGCATTGTACAACAGCACAATGCGAAGGCATGCTTGAATTAATGAATAGCGCAAAAAACACGATTCGTATGCCAAAATATTGTGAAAAACTATTTCAATCCTCTGATTTCTCTGTAACCAAATAAAAAAGTGAGGTTGTGTTTCAATAATTTACAGAAGAATGAGGTTGTGTTTCAATATTTTGCCTCCAGGGTCGGTCATCGTGCACGCGACCTATAGTTTGTTTTGTAGCCATTTTTCTCTCAAGTCACAGATCACCCAACCACTGTGTGCTCGATTTTCGTGTCTGTGGTTTTGTGCAACGCATCCTCTTTGGGTCGTCAGAGGGAGCCTCAAGAAAATACGAGTGACGTCGCACCGCGGAAAATGGTCGTTTGGAACTATCTCAATTTGTAGCATTTTTGAAGTATTAATTAAACGGTTGTAAAGGAATCAATAGATGAGAGAAAGTGCTATTTGATATACTGAGTCATGTATGAGACCGTTCGCCATATAAAAAGGGCTATTTTCAATCATAGTGAAATTGCCTATTATCACCTACCTATTTATTCAAAACCTGATAAAACATTATTCTAAAGTTAGAAGTTATCAATTCAACAAAGAATCACAAGAAAAAATATTTAACTAAACATAAAATGTTCAATCACGTAAAGTATCTGTTCAGAATTAAACTGTTCTATGTTTTCGCAAATACACATTTTTATATATATTTTTCAAATAGTTATATTCAATTCTGTCTTGCAACTGTTGACGTGAATTTACCTCTGTAGCATAGAATTTTTTCTGAAGGTACTTAATTTAGCATCAGAATGATATTATTGTTTGTGATTTTATCTACAACCATGGACACATTCATACATTGCTAAATCGATTTTCAACATTAAATGGTTTCTTGAGGGGCACACAAACTATCTGTTAGGTTACCTTTGATGAGCATAGCCCTGGCCATTCCTGCCACATCCACAATATAATAACAGTTTCACCAAACAAAATTATGAAATTCTTTCTGGTTCCAACTCGGATTCCAAGGAAAACAATCTCACTAATTCTGGTTTTATATGACAAATCTTGACAAAATACAATGTTTGCCCCTCAGCAACCTGTCAAATGACGTAATTCTGGAATGATTAATATATTAGAAGCAAAAATACTGGCACTTTATACGGTTAACTAACTAATCTCACGACAGGAATGAATCTCTGCCCACCTCGGTGTGTAATATACTATTACGCAATTGGTTACGTCAAATAAGACGTTTGAAAACTTCCGTCAGTTTTGAAAAGTGTGGAATTACATGCCAAAATTAGAAATCGAAGTATGTTACGTTAGCTAACCTTGAAATTCTTCTTGTTCGGTCCGACCAAATTCAACAAAAAATAGTTCAACATGGCCGCTATCCTGTCCACCATAGTGGAATGGGTGAAGACGCTGCTGATTTTCGATGTCAATCTTTCCAACGTTCTGATGGTGTCTTTTCCTAAGATGTTGTCGAATTTCGCCAGATTGCCGATGTGCTGCATATAAGAGATGTTCTGGGTTCTTTCTCTGGGACCCAGATCGGCCCATTCACCTCTATCCCTGACAAATTCAAAATGAAAAAGACATGAAATTGGAAATTTTCAATCTTCACTGCAAAACACAATGAGCGAGAATAATAATACTATGACGTAATGACGTTGATCACGATGAGAAAAGGTACTGACATTTTTTCGGAGTCTATATCCCTACTAGTTTTCCCCAAAATGAATTTCTAAAGAAATGTCCCCGTTTGAACAAGATGACAAACCGCCAGCCATACTGACGTCACGGTAACTCAACGCGGCCATTATTTATTTAATGATAAAACTAAGGATAAAACCTAGAATGTCAAGACAGAGATGTATAAAAATTTAACTGGTGGGCTCACTCTTCAATTGTTTCGTCAGACTAACTCTCGATATGGAACAATTGCAAGCGAGTTTTGGACGTGGGGTTCAGGTATTTGCGATAGAGGCGCCATAATCGGAAAATCGTTCAAAGCCTTGGTTCTGTGAGGGATGAATCTATTTCCATCATTGTTCTGTGGTCGAATAAATACTGTGCTCAACATTTTCATTCAAATTTCAATTTGAAATAGAAGCAAGAAATCTTTTTTGTAGCCGATTCTAATAAGCTTCACTTCTCTCATGACATAAACCTATTTAAAGCATGAAATCTGATGAATTTCCTCTTTGAAGAACCAGAACGAAGAATGTATCAACTATTGAAATAGACCAATATCGAAAATCATGATAGGCAGATATGGTAACTGGTACTCACCTTAGAATTTATTCACACCAGTTCACGCTAATATTTCAAATCACTGAAATAATACTGTTGTAGAACAGAGATTTTCTTTTTTCTATGGTGGATTAGATATTATACACAAAATTAAGAAACTACGGAACACGTCCCTAACGAACACTTGACCTCAATCTCAGAAATAACCATTTTTTCAGCTCAAGAATATTTTTGACATATTGACGTTTCGATCCGTTGATCAGGAATCAGTTCACTGCTCTGATCCAAATCATATACGGATCCAAATATTTATCGGTCGGTAATATGTTTCCTGTAAATATGGATTGTAACCAGGATGAGCTTATCGAGATTTACCCACGTCAAGTATGTTTATCAAAGGTTTATCAGAGTAGGCGCCATCGAGAAACTTGCAAACGACCTTCAATAGGGAGCAAGCGCAATTTCTATACATCTCTGTCAAGACTAAGAGATTCTCGGAAAATTTCGTGAATCGATTGTCAGCTGATGCAAGACAGACTGTTTTGACTTGCCATAAGTCTCATCAGTTCCACTGGCCAGCTGACAATCGATTCACGAAGGTTACCTCCATATATTAAACAAATCGATATGCTTACAGAAAAGACACCATGTCAGAATTCTGTAGACTATCGCAACACCTGTATTTCTCAAAGTGGTTTAATGCTCCCCACTAACAGATGGTGATAAAACCTAGGTACTATACTCGAGGATAGGTCTCACCAAAGTTTTGTACATTGTTAAAATTGAAGTGTGATTTCTGAAGTCGTGAGTACTACGTAGGATGAAACCTAATGATGTTTTCAAGGATTTCCTGACTGCACATTCAATGTGACTTTCGATCCAAAATTATGCCAAGGTCTTTTGTTTCGTTGACAACTTCGATCTGTTGGTTGTTTACGTAAAGGTGTTCATGAGGGAGGTTAAGGATTTTAGAAAATAGAATCTCATAGCACTTGTCCAGGTTGACTGATAGTCTATTTGTGAGTCAGTAAGCAGAACATTTATTTAGGTCATCTTCAAAACCTGTGGTAGTCAGATGGTTGCCTAATTTCTTTATATCCTCTCAAATCATCTGCAAATAATTTCATTTTGGAATTACCAAACTGGTCCTCAATTTCGCTAATGAATATACTGAACAGTAGTGGGCCTAGGTGTGATCCCTGGGGTACACCGGACTCAATGAACCTTTTCTCTGATCTAAAATATCTTTATAAAAAAACAATATATAATACATACTGTGCTTGTTGCATTTCTCTCAGTTTGGCCATATGAGCTAGAGCTTCGTCCAATAAAAATATGGCGTCATTTATCAACAAATTGGCGAATTTTAAAAACAATGGCGGATTCACAGCTTCCATGTTTTCTTCTGCTTCTTTCGCTAACGCCCTGCAAGAGAACATAAATTCTTCTAGAAATGTTCTTCAGCTTGATGGAATCATCGCGATTTTTACCTGAAACATTCCATGTGTTCAGGCAACTCCCACACATAATCGAAAACTATATACATAGGTCTGCGATAGTTGAATTTCTGTTCGAATTCAACACTCTGGCCTGTCATCTCGATACCAACGAATACTTTCATCAAATTATTCACGATCTGGAATAAACAGGATAAAACTTCTCTCACTAGTCGAAGCATTCATTAAACATAAATCTTAAAAAAATAATAATAAATGCGCAGAATGCTTGTGCTAGGTATATTTATGGAATCCGTAGACGTGATTCTATTTCACACAAAATCACCGAATCTAATTGGCTGACTATGCGTCAAAGATGGTTCTTACATACTTATGGCTATTTTCATGAGGTGATCCTACAAAAAATCCTAAATTATTTATATAAAAAAATCACATTTCGTGAAGATGTTCACTCAAGAGAAATAAGATATCAACATCACATTTCCGCTCCAAAACATAAGACTGGTATAGTGAGTTAAGTATTTATTTATTTTCATAAGACTTTCACAACAAGTATTGAAATTGTCAATTCAAGGTTGAAACAGTAATAATATTATAACTAGACACTAGCCCAAGATCTGGGAGAAAAACTATGTTTCAAAGATCCTTTTAGCTAAGATATACAATGCTCTACCAGATTCGCTGAAGGTTTTGAATGTCGGCAGATTCGAGTCTACATTGAGAAAAAATATACTTGAATAAGGTACAGTTTTGATTCAACTCCAATTATATAAATATGATATATCACTCCACGGTCAGTCTAATATAATAGATTTCTTCAGCTCCGTCGTCACCCAATTTTTCACTCGTTATTTACATCATTTATCATTGATAATATTAATAAACTCATACACCTATCATTTATGCTATAGATACCTGTCGTGTAGAAATATTTACAAATTTTTTCATTTGAATTGAGCATATTTTTTTATTTATTTTTGTATAGGGTTGAATGGAAGGGCAGCCTCCTGCATTTTTCGAATGTGTGTGACTGAATTCCTCCCTTTTTTACCATGGTATAAATAAAGAATTATTATTATTATTGTAAATGTAAATACAAAGCAATTATTCAACCTGGGTTGCAGATAATTGAACGTCGTCTTCTGTAAGAGCCAAAAGAAGAGTAATCAAGAGGACTCAGATTCGGAAGATCTGCTGACCATATATCGTCACTATTACTAAAATATTGCACAATAAATAATATACCTAACAACAAACTACAACTTTCAAACGAAGACTATTTTTCAACTATTACTGAGACCTAAACAATAAATTGATGCCAAAGTCGAACTTGGATTATACAGGATGCCTGATGTTTGGTTTTCCCAAGAGAGAGTAATTTGCAGATCTTAATTCAACTCAACAGTCCTCAAGTTCAAAACGTTTGACAAAACACCAATTGTTTATGGAATTCAACTCGAAAGAATCACTAGAACAAATTTATCTCATTGATGTACGTACTTGTGTGAATAATGGTATTGTGACGGTTCTATGATATCGTCAATATTTCATCTGATTGTTGAAAGAATTCTACGGAAGGACCGTTAACCATATAAATACTACTTTCGGCGGCGCAAGGGAGTTCGTTGAATACAGATAGCACGATATCAAGATGGAATATTATTTGAGTGATTTGAACAAAGTTAGATGATTTCTGTACTCAAATTGACGATATTATCAAAATCTTCATGTGACGTTAAGTATACTTACTTGTAGCCTATGAGGATGATCAGTAAATAGCCTCTGCCTTTGAGACGACCCTAGATGGCTCGTTGTTTGCTGGTCTTCTTTATGAAAAGGCAACAGGGACTCGAGACCTTATTGATGACAATGATAATAATAATGATAAAGATACTTCACAATGTTAACTCAAGTATTGCATTGTTTACTAACTCTGATAATATATGATACACCAACAATTCATATACATATATAAAATAAGAGAATCATTCACATTAGTAGAAATGTTCAAAATTAAAAGTATGAAAATTTCAGGATTAAGAGATTGAAATCCAATTTTATGTCAACAAGAAACTATGAAATTCATTATCACCAAACTAGGCAACACGATTTATTTCATCATAATGTTGCTGCTGTTCAATAGGTCAAAAAATATTCTGATCTATTTGAATATAAAGGGTGTTTTCGAAATTGGGGCAGTAAATAAAATAAGCTGTTTTATGAGACACGATATATCTCAAAAGTAATTTTTTTTTATTCTCCAAAAAATGTGCTCTCCCACCATACTACATCTTTTAACCAATATTGAACGGCCGGCAACATTACAAAAGTCATTGATACTTCCAGTACTTGTGATCTCGCCGAAAGCAAACGCTTGGGTATCAAGCTCAATATCTTCTAAAATATTCTTTTTCGACAAAAATTTGTTCTTTCTCCTGTCATCAGATGGAAAGTTATCTAATGACCTTGACGACCGCTAATCATTCATTCAATTTATCGCTCAAATATCGGAAATACCCTCTAAATTATTCGATTATATAAAACATTGCAGAAATGTAATCAAATTTGAATATAAATTCATAAAAACTAATAATTTCTGGACGAAATGGATGATTGATTAATGATTTTTTTTCAATTTATAAAATACTTATCAATACTGGTTCTTGTTGACCAATATAAGATGATTGGTACACATTTGATATTCAATTAATTCAAATTTTATATAATTTCCAATCGATAAAATGTAGTTTCAACTTGAAGGAATAGCTAGAAGATTGGACTGACGAACGAACCAAAATTCGATAAATTAATGAGTAAATAGATGGATGAATGGATCAACAAAAAAAATCAACATGAATAGTTATTATACCTTCTGCCAGTCTTGCCCTGACATGTGGGTTCTTGAGACGGTGCTCGGAACCGATGTAGATCAGAACGAAGGTCAGCACGGGACTCAGCTTGTCGTAGCCCTGTTCGCCGAACACTTTCGGGGAGAAACGACGCAAAAACACCAGGAACGACACCACGTTTTCTACAATGTACTCTGGAGTGCATCTACCAAAGAGATAATAATTTGGAGGTTTCCATTGAGATGTTTATAATTCTTCTGGTGAGCCCACTCTTCAATTGTTTCGCCAGACTAGAGTTCCTAAATGTACTTGACACTGCTGTTTTGACGTTTTTTGTATATTAGAGTACGGACACTATGACAAGCACTGACAATCAGACATAACCACAAATAAATTGATGGAAAAAGCGGGAACTGACAGTACACGGACGTACATGACATAAATTTCAAAGGTTTGACGAATTGAGAGAATTAGGAGAAAGGTGCAAGTTTGTGCAGTTTCCAACTGTGAGAACACGGGAAATGAATTCACTCTATGCGAATTTCCATCGGATAACGTAATTCTACAAAAATAGAAACAGAAAATTTGCGAGGTATCCAAATTTCTTGGTAGGATATAGAACATTTTTCAACCCATTTTTATCAGGTATACTTCAGAACGGAATATTTGATGTTGAAGAATAGGATCGTATTGAGAGAAAGAGCCGAACCCACAATTTATAAACTGAGCGAGTATCGAAAAGAACCTTATTCCAATTCAGAACCAACAAGATACGAAGAACTTGCAGATAAAGAAATTCATTTCGAACATATTTTTAAAGAAAAAGACTTGTGAATCGATTTTTTAGAGCAGGAATATTCAAAAAATCCAAGGTTTACGAGTGGAAGAGAGTGAGGAATTCAGGAAACAAATAGAAGAAAAAATAGAGAGTTGGAAAATAAGTTAAAGCAAAAAGATGTACCAGATATTAATGTATCTATATCAAAGAGTTGAATATATTATTTGTGTATCGCTTCTTCAAAGTTGAAAATGATCTTCCGATGGCTGGGTTCAAACCAACAATCCCCTTTAGCAATGTGAACGGTGATCTATAGTGAGTCGAGCGCTGAAGTCCATTTATACCTACTTCCGTATGTCTTGGAGAACCTATATTATTTATCCTAACTGAAATCAGCTGTTATTGTTGCCATATCATTTGTTTATTTATTAATTACTTATTACCTACCACTCTTGTACAAGTGAAATTGTTCAATACGAAATTTATCAGTTTTTACCCCATTCTGAACTTTTGTGATAAAAAAATATTCAACTGAACGTATATATAATATATACCTACATATAAGAGACTTATTTTATAGGAATAGTATATATGTATTTCGTTGGTATATATAAACATACTAACTTGATATCGACCTCTATTAAGGTCCTTTAGCCTTATCATTCAATATTTCGAGAAGAAATAATTTTTTAATCAATTTATCGTACCCTTTTACCCACTCGAGGAGACGCTATGCACTCTCATACAAAAATCAAAGACAGAGAAACATATTATATGGATGTACTCTTCCCAGGACTTGTGGAGGAAGGAAGATGCGAGGATCCTTTATCTAAGCGAAAAACATATTCTTGTCCTTGTCTGGCAAAACATATGATTTGCTTCGAAATCGTTTGTGGTTATGTTTGATTGTCACTGCTTGTTTACTGTCTACTGTCCGTACTCTAATATACAGAAAACGTCAAAACAGCAGTGTCAAATACATTTAGGAACTCTAGAAATGACATGTAAATAAAAATCTCTATCTTTTTGTCTCTCACTAGTCTCGCTGCATTTTTTGTGCAATTGTGCATTGTACAGTAGCATCATATGATGGCAAGCTTGAATAAATAAATATCCCAAGAAATACGATTCATATGTCCACATAATTGTGAAAATATATTTCGATTCTTTGTAGACCAATAAGAAAAGTGAGGCTGTCAGTGCTGTTTTACCTCCAGAGTAGGCCATCTGTCAAATGTGCACGCGACTGATGAATTATTTGTTGCGGTAGTATTGAATTCGTACATTTTGGTTGCGCAGGATACTAAAACGCTAATGTTATTCGTGATCAAGTCACTGAATATCAAAAAATCTGAAGGGTATCTCCCATGCAGTAATGAATTTGCGCCTTCGAAGTACCCACCCGATGTTAGATTAGATATTTGTCATTTTCATTTCATCATCTAAATAATCCGAGACTTTGTCCCAAAAGACGTATTCTAACAATATCTGAGGTACCTACGTATAAAGTTTCATGTCTGATTGTTGGATATCTTCTGTCCAACAATCATGTCTGCCAAAATCGTAAAAATTTGTTTATACATATATGAAAAGTATGCTATGACGATCGGTTGAGTAGTTTTGGTGAATGCCCGATGAACAAACTTACATTCACATTTATAATATTAGTAGGGAAGGAAAAAAGGAAGTTGGGATACTTACTTGAGAGTATTTGGTATTTTATTGTCCAGTGGAAAATTCACCGGCAATTGTTTGAGGGGAGCGTAGCTGGAAGTGTCCTTGAAATTATCATGTACAGCAACTTGACACAGCCAATAGGTGGTGGCTGATATCAAATCGAACAATTTACGAATCAGGTCGGGACTCGATAAGGCACATTTCAATGATAAATATCTGAAATTCACCACATGAACTTCATTAAAAAAAATCAGCTGAAAAGCATCCAATACACTCTACTTAAGTGTGCATTTGGTCAAATGGGGAAGTTTCCTTCAGATGGATTCTCATAAAATAAGTTCAGTTTTATGTCCACGCTGTTCAGAACGGCGATCGCAGATAAAGCCGACTTGGCGTCGTTGTTGATTATCATAAAAAAAAAAAACAAAAAAATGATATCCCACCACAGTACCCCAATCCTTTCCGCTTTATTAGTGGAAGACCTGCTTGAAAACCCCACTGCTTGTTCTGCTTAATCGTTTCCACGTATATAATATCAATAAACAAGAAACTGTAATATCTATTATGTTTCATGTTAACACAGAGAAGTGATGATCAATTGATCACAGGATCACTCGCATTCACGTGCAGCTTCATCCTCAAGAAGAACCTGGAGATCAAAAATCGACAAACTGGTGAACAAAATCATACATAACCACAAAATCAGAACAGCTGTCGGTGTGCCTGTCAGTATATTTTGTGTGGTGTGGATGTGCTCAAAGTATTATGCACTGCTGCAAGATATAATCTGAAACTTTCCTAGCAAATAAGAACGTTTCATAAAGAAACAAAATTCATTTGCAAAAAAATGACTGACAACTTATGATTATCATTTTGAACTATAACGAGAGTGAAAAATTATACATACTAGTGCAAAACATGATAGTTTATCTTTATAAGTAATAAACTTCATCCAGCAAATAAAATAAGAGATTTATGAAAATTATGCATGATATTCGACGAAGTAGGATTAAAAAACCTATTTTATCCCATTGCTGTTATGATAATATAGTTGTAATGTATTCAAAGAACAATGGGAATCATATTTTAACTCTGTGTGAATGTGGCTTTTCTTTTTTGTAAGTCATAGGAATGGTGAAGGAGCCAAGTTCCTTATTATTATTATTATTATTATTATTATTATTAAATTTGATCTTACGAAAAAAAAGGAAAAATAAGTACCTATATATTACATTTTTACCAACTTCACAGTAAGATAAAAGCCCCAATATTGGAAACTTCCCCATTATTCAAATGTTTCATATAGTTATTGCCCTTAATCTTCCGTGGAAAATGAATTTTCATACTAACTTTGCTAATTCTTCTGACATTCTGTCCTTGATGGTGCCCACTAAATCCGAATTCCCCCCAGCCTGTTGAAGGGCATCATTGAAAGCCCTTTGTATTCGACCCATTTCCTAGAAACGATTGTTTTTCAATTCTCATGTAGCCAAAAGAAACAATAAATCAGATTTATTTTCATTGATTAACTGAGATGAAACTAATAAAAAAATCATAAAAATCATTTTAACCTACTCTCCTCAAAATTTTTATGAATTATCTTGAATATTTAGAATATTGTGATATTACTGATTTATTTATTCAATTCAATGTACACAGAATATAATGAAATTCCAAATGGTACATAAAGTATAAAGTAACAAAAGACATTAAACATGTTGAAATCTTAAAAAAAATTATAGCAAACGGGCGATAGTAATTATAATGGTTAGGTACTTTCACACAAGATACAAAATACACATAAAACTATCTATGTACAAATTCACACCGCAGCTTCAAAGATGCTTGTGATTTGAGGCGACTCAGTGAAATATTGAAAATATTAAAGGAAGAAGAATGCTAATTGTGAAAAACTGTCTATTTCTAGTATTCCTAAGATTAGCATTGATGAACAATTTTTTCTATTTCTAGGATTAAAACTTAGTTATCAAAAAATTTGTGCAGAAACAATATCAGAGCAAGTTTGCGTCTGTCATCGAGAATTTCAATGTTCACTATTGTGAGCCTCTTAGTAGCATCGAATCCATGAAAAGACATTCTCATTTTGTAGATTATAAATTTTGTGAAGCAATTCTGGACTCTTTCAAATCTTTCCTTGTGAGCAAGATGAAGTGGCGACCAGATTATACTGTTGTATTCCAGAACACTACGTACCAACGATATACATAATGTTTTTATAGATTCCATATTGGATATATTTTGAGTATGCCTTTTCACAAATCTGAGTATTCTCAGGGCCTTATTGCAAATACTATTTATGTGATGATTAAAACTAAGATCTTTGTCAAACACAACACCTAAATAACTCAAATAATCAACAGACTGCTTATGAAACACAGATGCTCAATATTCAAAATAAGTTTTCGAATGTCATGGATGAAAAATTTGTATTCTGAAAAACTAATTGATTGATTGTCTCTATTACCCCAAAAAACATTTCTGTTCATAATTTGAATGAAAATTCACCGAGAGAGAGAGAGGGTGTGTGTGTGTGTTGGTCACGTACTTGATTTTGTTTGACGAGTTTATCGACAGCGACCCGATAGCCCAGATCGACGGCCCGATGCGCCATGAAGAAGCATTCGGTGACGAAATTATACGAGTCGGCCATAGGACGTTGTTCTTCGGCCTCGTCGATACTATCGACCGGCAAAAAACACGTTTCTTCCGACATGTCCTTCATGTGGACGTTCTTTTCTTCCGCCTTATCATTCTAGAATTGAAAAAAGAAATAGAAATGCTACTTGTATGAAGGGTGTAGAACTTTTAAAACGAACCATTTTACCAAAATTGGCTACAGAAAATCTGTGAATAACAAATTTCAAAGATTCGCAATGGTCGCGAAAAATTTTTGGGGTATGGTATATCTTTTTGGGGAGTATGTAGCTCCAATTTGCTGGACTCATTTTTCAAATTACAAAAAAGAGCAGTCAGAAGTATTTGTAATATTGGACCACGTGAGTCATGCAGGCAAGCGTTTATTGACAAAAATATATTGACAGTCGTAGCTCTGTTCATCATGGAAACTGTCTGTCTTGCAGGAATTTCATGACGATAACCTGGTGGTTGTATGATCGTTTTATTTATTTATTTATTTGTTTGACTACTTATACATATATTATTATTGTGTGTTTTGTGTACCGATACCAACAAGTATACAGGGTGTCCCTCCGGGAACTGCATCGATCAATATATAGAAAACCATACATGGGCCGAATTTGATAATTTGGGAGTTTACTATTATTGATAAGTGCTATCCAGCTAAAATATTTTGAAGAGTGTGGCACTTATGTACCGGAAGTGGACCCCAACTTTGTTATTTAGTTAAATGGAACACCTTGTATATTATCAAGGTTTTAGATTTTACGCATGGTTCTGAACATGTTTTATGTATAATGTCTAACCGTTTTCAAAATATTTCAAATTTCAAGTTGAAAATTGCGTTTGCAGACTGAAAAATATTCATGATCATTTATTTCGATTGTGTATCGATTTATTCGTAGGAGAGGACCTAGTTCAATAGAATTTCGATATCGATTCGATTACCGTTATACAGGGCGTTCACCAGAAAATGATATAGATCCGGTTGAAAAAATTATTGTAAGTCAATTTTTTCAAATAGAAATCCCTCAATTTTATATTCTCATTCGATTCGGCATCGAAAATGAAGCTGACTTTAAAAAAGGTTATCTATACCTACACTCAGCAGTTTTCGAAATATTGGCGAATTAACATGTCTCAGTTCCAGCAAATCTCGTATTCTTGAGTTTACTTATTCTTAATTGGCCATGGCGCCCGCAGTTGCGATGGAAACAATATATAATTATTATAATTCGTTCAACAGTATTTTGTGAGGGCTTCTGCAGATACCGAATAGCAAATATATCACAGGTTCTTGAGATAACCCTATTACATTCGCCATGAATAAGAAATAGATTTAAATAATCTTCATTCGAATAATTCAAACGAGCCGGCATGATTGATTACAATGACATTTCTGTGGCAGTTATTTCCAACGCAACTGCGGGCGCCATGGCCAACTAAGAATCAGTAAACTCGAGAATACGAGATTTTCTGGAACTGAGACATATTAATTCGCCGTCAATATTTGGAAAACTGTTGAGTGTAGGCATAGATAACCTTATTCAAAGGTAGCTTCATTTTCGATGCCTAATCAAATGAGAATATAAAATTGGGAGATTTCCATTTGAAAAAAATGTTCACAATATTTTTGCATACGAATCGTGTTTTTTGGGCTATTCATTAATTCAAGCATGCCATCACATTGTGCTGTTGTACAATTTACAAAAAATGCAGCGAGAGACGGAAGGAATGAACATTATAGGGATTCCCTTTCGTGCGCTCCAATCGATAAAAAAAATATGATTTTTCAGGTAAATAGTGATCTCACCTAGTTTTCATTATGGAATTTTGTCATTGCAATAGAAGCTGAATCTGCTAATAGAGTGAAAATGTCTACAACACATATTTCGTCAGCATGCCAGACGAGTCCTCCCGTTTGATTGCATGAATCCAATCTTTTTGCCTTCTTTTCGAAACTTCACGAGTATTTCTATTAGCTCCTATTGTAGAAGGAATTCCAATTAAAAACAACAAAACGTCAAAATGTAAACTAAATGTGAATGAAGTACTTTTAGATCACAATGTACCTACCCGAAAAATCGGATTCCTTCTTCTCTCGTTGTGATGGTATGCTTGAATTGATGAATAACCGAAAAAAACGATTACTATGCCAAAATAATTGTGAAAAAATATTTATATCTTTAACAAAAGAAAAGTGAGGTTGTGTTTCGATGTTTTATCTCCAGGGTTGGTTATCTGACAGATCTTGCACGAAACCCATACAGACCCTGATGTAATGTTCTATTATTTTCATTTTGCAACTTTTATTTAGGTTTTAGTAAGATGGTTTATATTAATGAGTCTTACAACCTTCTGACGACCTGTATTCTTCGAGCACCTAGTTTATATTCATTTTTTTGGTGATTTTGTATTTGTTCACTTCTTGTTCTCGAAAAATTATAAGATGAATCTGATCCTCTCTTGTGCCTAGTGATGAATGATACCCAGGTATTTATGATTAAGGGTATTTTACTCAATAGCTATCTCACAATGTTGGTTTAACAAAAACGTTCAAATGGGTAAATATGTAGTATTTTCGTGAGCATTCAGAATTCAGTACCAGGAAACACTGATGTCGTTGGTACTCACCGGTACCGCGTAATAGGTGGGGTCGACCTTGAGTATCTTGCCATCGGCGATGTTGCCGCAAAATGGCTGGCACAGCCCCAACAACAGGTGGCACAAGTTGATGGCGAAGCCGTCGGTGACGCATGCGTACACGGCCGGATTCAGATCGATCATTTGGGCGTTCCAGATTTTGCCACGCGCCGCGTTGGTCTTGAGGCAGCCGCCCAGCCAGCGGAGTGTTTTGTCTCTGTGGAAGACGAAATTAACAGTGTTCTACTCTACATCAATTCAGAATTGATCCGGCTCGGAGGACCAATATGATCTATGCCTGGGAGCAGTTGAAAGTATTTTGATAGTATGATTTTTTTTATGTTCTGGTTCCCACGAGAAGGGATATCCTGTAATGTCCAGAGAACATCGTGAGAACCAAGGGAAATAAGGTAGGAATTGGTGTTCTTCTTAAATTTCTGGAGGTTATATGCCTCGGGGCACACCTCCCTTGGCAATGTGTTCCAGAGCCTCGCTGTTCTATGGATGAACGGGTCAAAAGTGACCACGAAGGGATGCGAAGCCTCAACTCGACGGATTAATCTCGCGGGACTGCCAAGGGAGGAACAATTGTTGATATTCAGATGATGATTATGAAGTGTATGTGAATATGAATTTTCTTCGTAATTTATTTTTATTCGCGGCCGATTCAGATCGATCATTGGGCGTTCCAGATTTTCCCGCGCACCCCGTTGGTCTTGAGGCAGCCGCCCAGCCAGCCGAGTGTTTTGTCTCTGTGGAAGACGAAATGCTATGTCTTTGGAAAAACCTAAATACTTCCCAACAGCTCCACTCTGAGCTGCCATGGACTTTTGCCAATGGAAATTAACAGTGTTCTACGCGACATAAATTCAGAATTGATCCGGCTCGAAGGACCAATATGATCTATGCCTGGGTGCAGTGGAAAGTATTTCGATAGTATGATGATTCGATTGATATTGAGTTGATGATTAGGAAGTGTATGTGAATATGAATTTTCTTCTTAATTTATATTTATTCACGGCCAGATTCAGATCGATCATTTGGGCGTTCTAGATTTTGCCGCGCGCCGCGTTGGTCTTGAGGCAGCCGCCCAGCCAGCGGAGTGTTTTGTCTCTGTGGAAGACGAATTGCTACAATAGTCTTTGGAAAAAGCAAAATACATCTCAACAGCTCCACTCTGAGCTGCCATGGACTTTTGCCAATGGAAATTAACAGTGTTCTACTCTACATAAATTCAGAATTGATCCGGCTCGGAGGACCAATATCTTCGAAGCTTGGGTGCAGTGGACTGTATTTTGATAATATAATGATTCTACTGATATTGGGTTGATGATGAAAAAATAGTAGATGAAATGCTACAATAGTGTATGGATAATCCTGAATACATCTAAAATTAATAACTGTGAGTCTAAGATACTATATTTAAACAAAGGGGTTCCTCAAGGATCAGTGTTGGGTCCAATTCTTTATCTATTATACATTCAAAATATTGAAAGAATGAATTTGATAGGAAACTATACCATATATGCAGACGATACAGTGCTTCTATATGAGAATAAAAACCCAGTAGTTCTAGAACATATCATAAATGAGGACTTGAAAAAAATTGAGAAATGGCTTTATTCCAATCTTCTTTCTCTCAATTCTAATAAGACTCAATATATGATTTTTCGTCAAAGAAATAAACAAAATATTGATCTGAATATCAGAATAAAAAATGAACGTTTGAAACAAACTGCCCATACCAAATACCTTGGTATTTGGATTGATGAGAAATTAACATGGGGAAAGCATATTGACATCCTCATAGGAAAAGTATCTCCCATTATTGGTGCTTTGAGAAGATGTCCTAAACTTAGTACATATACATCAAATATCATTCTCTATTCACATATACTCAGTCGAATTAACTATCTCATAAATATTTGGGGATCTTGTTCCAAAAATAGTTTCAACAAAATTTCTGTTCTATATAAAAAGGCATTGAAAGTATTGTATCGTCTTCCATATGACACTCCAACGAATCAACTGTATAAGGAAACAAACACATTTTCTTTGGAAGAGCACTTGTTAATCAATACTCTCAAAATTTCCTATTATATCACCAACAAAAAGCTTAAATCAAATTTTATATTATTCAGGAATTCTGAAATTCATGATCATCACACTAGACAATATAACTTGTTTCATCTTGAAGCTGCAAATTCTAAACTTGGGCAAAAAAAGTTTACACATGAGGCGATTTCGAAATTCAATAAATTACCAGATGATATCAAAAACAGCCCAAATATTATGCAATTCAAAAATAAAGTTAAGAAATATATTTATATGCAAAGGAATGATCAAAGCTGAAAGACCATGAATTTCCTTTTTTCTTTTTTTTTCACTGTTTTTATTTTTCCCCTTCTCGTTCACTATAATATGACTGTATCTTAATGATATGTAAGTTTTGTTCACTATTTGTAATTTCAATTATACAACAGTCGATAATACTTCATGAATGATCTTATACCAGGAATTACTGTCTGATCATTCATGTCATTCCTACTAGAAAATTAATTATACTTTATATATTATTTGTATGAAATGTATCAATGAAGAAAAGAATGTAATGCAATAACTGAAATAAATAAATAAATAAATCTCAACACTTCTACCAAAGAAAACCAAGAATGTTCTACTTCACATAAGCTCAGAATTATAGAAACATTCTGGAGATTTCATAGCAACCAACTGCTCTTTCAAGATGATCAACAATAAAATCAGGTTTGAAGTAAATGCAGAGTTGAGGCTTTACCTTGGCCATATGTATTTTTTACAAAACAAAAATCAATCACATGATCAATTTTTTTCATCTCTTGGAGCGCACGTGCGTGCAAATCAAAATGTCATAGGTGTATACATGTGTATACATACCGGGTGTCAACTAATCTATTAGACAAGTCATTACATGTAGAATTTCATGTGTAGCAAAATGATATGAAATGGTATGTGAAGAGAGAAGTTTTTTACAAGTTTTCCACTTTTCAGTTCCATCCAATTTTACCAGAAATGGCTCCGGTTTTAAATTTTTAAATGAAACACCCTGTATAATATATTTTTGGATTTCTGGATCTGATTCTGACATTTTCAAAAGTTTCAACGCCTATTTGTTTTATCAGAGCCACTTTCAAAATTACACAAAATTCCAAGGAACTTTCACTTTCTGGTCATGAGGCTTATGTCAGTGCCATTGCAAGATTGTTTTGTTTTCCAAAAAAGACTTGAAGAAAATACCTACAAAATATTATTCATAATTATCAAACTAGACAACATGGTTTATTTCATCTTGATATCGCTAATACTTCTATAGGCCAAAAAAGATTCACCCACGCTGCTCTCTTGGAATATAACAAACTACCAGATAATATAAAAAATTGCAGAAATACAATAAAATTCAAATACCATCTTAAAAAATTTATCATTTCTGAACGAAATAGATGACTTGTTTTTTTTTTTTTTTTTTTTTTTTTTCCAACTTTTGATTCATATTCAAATTGATTTTTGCTCACCAATATGAAATGATTTGTCAAAATTTAATAATTAATGTTTTCAAATATTTTATTATTCATCAGTTTATTATAATTGTATAGTTTTAGGTATTATTGTTAACTATACTTCCTTATACCAGAACTTGATTCTGACTGGAAGTAACATTTTCAATAAATAAATAAAAATCTTGGCTCAGAAAAATAAATGAATTATCCAGTATTTTAGTTAGTAATATTCAATTCAAGTTTTTATTTTTAATCCAATCACAAAAGTTGCATCATTAGATTCATTAAAAAATAAGTAGGTATTAAGACTCCAGAGAATGTCACTTTCTGATATAGAATTGTCTCAGGAATCCAGAAATATTACAATATACAGGGTACTCCATTTAAAAATTCCAAGAAATCTGGAGTCATTTCCAGTGAAACCAGAAAAGAATGGAAAGTGAATAATTCACATACCATTCACCTATACTTAATATATTTTTTTTACATCTGATGTTCTAGAAATTATGACTTGTATTTTGTCTAATACAATCATTATTAACACCCACACCTCCAATGAATAAATAAAATTGATATATCTCAATATACTCTGAACATGAGCAGTTGTAATATACAGTCAAAGCAGTTTGAATATGAATAAAATTATTGAACAGTTGAAATATGTGAACTGAGTTTGAATTCCTCATAAGAATAAGCTTTCTAATCACCTGACTTGTGCACTACACTTCAGCATTGAGAGGAAGAATTTATGGAGCTTTTCATTGAGTTTTTCCTGGTATACCCAGATGAGGTCCTCAGTATTAGATTGGCCCATCTGGAATAACAATAATACTAATAATTAAATACAAATTTTGAATCAAGATTTATCAAAATGTGTGGTAAAAAAAATTAAAATGGTGGAATACTATGAAAACATACTAATTTTATTTTGTTGCCTTCAATACTTACTTGATCTAATGAATCAGTAAAGTATTCAAACTTTCCTCCAGGAGATTTTGGAAGCACAGACATATTCAAAAAGGCACCAATTGGAGTGACGGCATAGTCTACCCCTACATTTCCATTTTTTGGGGCACAACTGTCAATGAACAATTCTGCTAACAGCTCATTACTTGACATCACCTCCAAGTATTTGTATGTTGATGGTGTCAAATTTGATAAGCTACATTTCACCAATATCTTTACTAGTTTTGAATTCATGGAATGAATTAAGTTCCTCAATGAATCCTTACCTGGAAAAAACATCAAGTTGCCATAGCCAAGTATTGGAATTACTGATTTACTTACTCTTATCATCATCTAAAACACGTTTGCTTATTTCTATAAAAAATGTGTCTGCTTCAAATGTGTCATTGATAATAATGAGCAGCATTTCTTCTGGTATGTCTTGGCCAGAGTAAATATCAGGTTGAATAATGGCTGTTGCAACATTCTGCATTATCTTGTCTCTAATTTCAGTCTCCTCCTCAGGTTTAAGATGTGATTTATATTCTTTCAGATTCTCTAGACATGTATAGAGGTATTTGATAACTTTGATTTCACGTGAATTACTATTTGAGCTGCAGTTGGTAGCACTATTTCTGAGATCTGAGTTCTCATTGCACATGAAGAGCCTCTCAAAAAGGGCATACTGTAGAAGATCTAATTCTAGTTCACTTTTTTCGTGAACGTTGTGAACTTCTTCCAAGTACAGAAGTTCTTCACTCTTGCAGTGCTGTGGGTTTATGGTAAAACCAAAAATATTCTCCAATGTGCTACTGAGACTAGGTTTTCTACTTTTTTTGGAATCGTCATTCTCCATCAATGCTGCAAATGGATTGAATCCCGACATATTTTAGATAATTGATAGATACAGCTTTCGAAACAGTAAACTTTAACTTTAACACTTCAAGTGTTCCCAGTTTCATATGTTTCTACTTATTTTTATTTATTTTTTATTTAGGAATTATAGAATGAACTGTCACACTCACATGTTAAGCTTTGACATTACTTTACTGACTCAATGACCAGTGACTGTATTTTATGTCCTGTTTAAAGATCCGCGAGTCGTTTAGATACGATGAATATTATCACCTTATCAATGTCACTACCTGCGATGCACGCCACTGATCACTCAGATGGGTCTTTTGACCTACTAGGAATCGTGACTAGTGGTACAGTAGACCTACTCGAAATTCTAACTACTGGGACAATTCAACTATTTCGGAAACTATTGAGTTAGGTTATGTTTTATGTGGAAGTTGTCTTCAGTGTTGAAGTTTTTTAATTTTTAATGTTATTTAAAATTATTGGTCCGAAATTTCACTGTGGTACCACACATTATAACTATAACAAATGGCGCAATTCACTAACTTTAGGGTTGTCTTAAATCTTTCCAACTTTTTCAATGATCACCGGCATAGAGCTAGGATTTTTGTAAATGATTGTATAAAAACGGTGCAAGATCTTCAAGACAAAATATCCAGTGTATTTCAAATTAACAATTTCCTTTTGTCTACCCAAAACGAGTATCTACCCCCTTCTGAAGATATCAGAATACTGCAACAGGGTGAAATTCTTTGGTGAGTATTTTTTTCTGGTATTTGAAACCACAAGCTGTATGGAGCACAGATTTGGAGTAACCATCTCTTGCAGCAGAGGTTCTATCTAGTTTTTAAGTTCAAATAGTAAAAAAAAATGGGCTGACAGAACTGATGAAATTTCTAGGGTAACTCCAGTGGTATTTGATGAACATACTTGCAAACAGTCACAATCAGAGATTTCCATCAGTTCGAAAAAATGCAAAAGTAAAAGAAAGGCAAAATTTAAAACTGATGAGCAGTCATCAGAAGAGTTATGGATACCAAAGAAAAGAAAAAAATCTGAAGAAGTAGCTGAGAATGTACTTGAACATATAAATCTGAATAATAAAAAGAAAAAGAGGAAAGATAAAACTTTGGAAGATGCATTTTCTAGTAGTGATAAAAATAAAAAGCACAGGGAAATTGAGCCATGTCATGAATCTAAGGAAATAAATGAAAATAATACTCTAGATGTAGAAGGAAATGGTGAATTGAACACAGATAGACAAAAAAAATCTAAGAAGAAAAAGAAACACAACAAATTAGATGATGATATGGAAATGGCAGTAACTGAAGATGCTGGTAGTAATAATGAACCAAATGCTCCTAAACAAATTGCTAATCAACATGTGATTGAGGATATTGATGAAACTTTTAGGAATAATAAACTTTTGTACACCAAAAATTCACCATTACCCACTATAACTGAACAATATTTGAAACAGAAGAAAATAAACATTGTTAAAATAGACTATGTTGTTGGAAAACCACCATCAAAAGATGAGAAAGAATCAAATGTAATAATTGAGGGTGAAGAGACTGAAAATCAATGTTGTGAAAAATTGTTGAAACCAATAACTAAACATACAGGTGATCAGAATGGAATTGCCATACCTACTGAAACTGTTCCAACTAATATATATCCTAACAAGAATGAAACAAAAATAGATGGGGAAAACAACCAAAATAAGTCCCAAGAAAAAGAAACTATAGCTGAAATACAAGTTTTCAATAATTCTGAAATTGATAATGAAAATGAGCCCTTGCAGGGAAATAAAGACCATATAGTTGATCTAGAAAATATTGATGAAAGTGAGACAAGGCATAGAGAACTTTCATCTGTCCAATCCATTGGCAGTGATCAGAAGAAAAAAGATTCCAAATCAAGAGCAGAAGATGACAGAAAACCAAAATATTTCTTTTTTAATTCACCAAGTGTTAAAGATATTGTTAGACCATCTCCATTGAGTAGGAAAGAAGCCCCAGTAACATTTGATGAAAATGGGAAACAGATTTTTGTACCAAAATTCTTCAAACATCCTGTTAGTTACATTGATCCTCAATCTCTACAAAAATTAGGAAGTGATGATTCCAATGAAAAAATAGAAATAGTTCAATCAACCAGCATAAAAATCCAGGAAAATGTAAAAGAGTCTTTGCCTGGAGAAACAACTACATCTCCAAAGAATATAACTGGAAATGTCTTAGAGGGAACCAGCCAAATGTTCACTTCATCAATACAGAGTGAGATAAGCAAAAGTGTTTTGGAGGAGTCCAATGCATTTTCTGGTATATGTCTGAATGAAACAATTGAGTTGTCCAAAGATGAAAGCTGTGAGCATAATTCTTTGGGAATTTCTGGGGTTCACAGAATCACCCCTGATCACCATTCCTCAAGGTTTTCTAGATCAAAGCATCAGATATCTGGAATTGGTAAGTGAAAATAAAATTTGACTCCAATTTATTCATTCTGTTTCAATTTGATCAAATTTTTGTGTATATGGAGAACTAATTGTAGCATGATTTTGAAAATTCCTAGGAAGCTTCTGATTTCTTCAGAAGTCATCTTAATAGGACAGCAGTGTGTATTTTCATTTTTAAATCCCTCTCATGATTGAGGTTAAACTGTCAAACTATTGAATTTGCAAATAAACATATAATATTATTATTATTATAACTATTATTATTATCATTTTTATTATACCTGAAATAAACCATTTCTCCAAATCCAAAATTTCAGGCAGTTATGCAGAAATAGAAATTATGGGTTTTTGTTATAGTGGATTCAATTAAACCTAGGGCTCAGTTTTGAAATAGAATGGAATCATGAGAACAAAAATTGGGTTCTTATTTTAAATAATTGAGATTTATAATGTTTTATTATATAACTTTTTGGGCCCACTTTTCTGTAAATTATTTATTGGTTGTGATCATGGTGATCCTTTCACTTCAAATATTCATGATGCAATCACAATGCTTATCACAAAAATATTGTAATTCACTTTTTATTAATCTTTCATTCACCCAGAGGCGGATCAAGGGTATATTGCGCCCCAAGCTGAACCAAAATTTGCGCCCCCTTTCCTAGGCCTCATTTGTCTCTTTTAACACGAATATGAATTATGAAATGAGAAAAAAAAACAATTGAAAAAAAAATGGAATGATTTTAAATAGATGTTTGTTCCATTATATGTCAAAAAACGTGAAATAAAAATATTTTCTTTATCACATAACAATCATAACATAACAAAAAAATTTGCAATTGGAACAAAACAAGCCGTCAATATGACATTATCAACAAAAAGATTTCTTCCTTGCTTTCGCGTGAGCAAATTCATTTACAATTTCCGCAAAGTCTAATTTCCGAAAAATTTCGTTTTCAATGGCAAGCAATGCCTTTGAATCCAAATTTTTTTTTTACTTTGTGGATCACAAATAGGTTTTAACTCTTCTCAGCACAGAAAAGGATCTGTCACCGCTGCAATTTGTCACAGCAGTGCTTACGTGCATCCCTTAAAAATTCTAGTTTTATATTTATCCTAACAAAAGCGCTCTGGGCTCGGTACTCGTGAAGTCGTACATCGTACAATGCTACGTATATTCTATATTCCGACTTTTCAGACTTGCGGAGATATATTTTTTTAAATGCTACCATTTTTGAGATTTTTACTATTTTATGAACTATGATTTTGCGCCCCTCGCCGCTCGCTTCTTTTGCTTCCTGGTTAATCCGCCTCTGCATTCACCTTCTAATAGTGAAATGGGAAAATAGGTACTTTTAAAAATTCGGATTGAAATAGACCTTAGGTACTCGATACCATTCAAGAACCTCTTTTCAAATTTTTCTATCGTTTTTTTATGTTTTTCTGATAGTGCTGAGACATTGAGCTTCGCTCACTCTGTACAATATATTGTGACATTTGAATGAGAATATATAATTCGCGAAAATCACGAACCAATAGATGGCTCTATTAAACGTCAAATCAACGTCAAATTTCAAACTGAGTATGAACAACAAAAACATTGCCGTATGCACTCATTGCAAATTGGTTAATTCGAAATCATTTTGCGAAATAGTGAATAATGAGTTGAATACGTACAAGGTTTCCAGTATGGAAAAAATTACTTTTTGTGCAGAGAAATTGCCATTTTGATGTGGACAATAGTGGTATTCATCATTGATATCACACTACAATTCCACAGTTTTCAAACATAGGAATGGTCGGAATGGTCCACTCAACACTTGCATGGACTGGAATGGAGCCATATAAGCAATCAGCTATTACAACAATATGGTATAGGTATGGAGAAATAATTGAATTCATCAAAAAATATCACTGGCTTTTATGAAGGAGATGGAATTCAAGTGAAGGGGCTGGGAAAAGAAGATATGGTTGGAGAGGCTGCTCAGAATGAACAATATCATCGATTTACATAGACAAGGATCTCCAGCAATTGAAGACTTGAAGTTATTTTCAAGATCAAATCATTGCAACCAACATTTATACAAGGATTGTAACTGTGCTTCAGAAAATGTATATTATATTATTATAAGGTAGGTACTGGCTTCTTCATTGTAAACAATAAAAGTTCATGCAATATTTCGAGTTTTTTCATCAGGGAAAAATGAGGTTCTGGAATATGCACTTCAACAAATAAATTATTTTCAAATAAAACACAGAAACACGAAACAATGGTCGCCATATTTGTTGTTCATACTCGCAAGACTTGTAAAGTTAGCCACCAGAGGCCGCACACTTCGTGATTTTCGCGAATTTCTATTTGTGTAAATACCATTTGATTGGACTATCGGCAACAAGTCTAAAAAGTCGAAAACTGTTTCTATTTTACGGTACCGAATCGATCTCTTAGGCTCAATGTTGAAAGAACTGAGAAAAGCGGACTCCTCGAGGACCTCATCGATAGATTCTAACCTCGACAGCGACTGTAGCGAGTTCGTGACGAGAAGAAAAAGAAAGCGCGTCAGAAGAAGCAAAAAATCGCGCAAAACTCAAGAAAATATCATCGTGGAACCACCAAGTATGCCACCACCAAAACCCATGAACGTCAAAGGAGCGCCGACCATTCACATTAAGTTCGACGACGACGGGGAAATCGACCTTAAAGATTCCAAGAAGTCAGATGTTCATGTTGTGGATGACGAGGAGGTTGAAACTAACCTACAGGATATTTTGACAGCACCCTCGATGAGTAGCATGAAACCGAGAGTCGGGGATATTATAGCTTTCAAGGTATAACATATAGAAAATAGGAGACCACAGGGTTTCTGATTGATGACCACATTGACCGAACTTGAAATGGTAACGTTTTTTATTGAAGTTCAAAGATATAAAGTATAACCTCAAAACAATCAAATTACTCAAAAAATGGGAAATGGCATCTACAGTCTTTATAATTGAGTGACTCAAACTGCTTATATTTCAACAAAATAGCATTACAACACTGGATGATTCACTTGAGTGTATTATTTCTGATATATACACTATACAGTTCAAAATTATCATTTCATTCAACAAAATAAGTCTTAAGGAATTGGCGAGTGGACTGATAGTGAATTATTGGCATTCAATTACTCCACTGTGTCGTTAGGAACCTGAATTAATTTTTGCAACAATTCTCACTCTCTTTTTATGTAAATAATGAATCTATGCGTTGGTCGGAGACTTGTTGGAGACTTGGCAACATTGTGCTAAATGCTGAGAACTGACAAGACCACGCCCAGAAGTCGTTCGCCGTGGTTGTCAGGTTCACCGATGTCCTCTAGTGTGAATTAATATATAATATATATATATGTTAGCTTGATGGACGGTTATTAGAATAAAACACTCTGCGTACTCCACGATTTCCACTATATTCACAATAGGCCTTTTCGGAAACCTACTCGGATTGATATTGGTTGACTCGATCCTCAACCTGCACGTTCGTTAACCTAACCCGAGTTGCCTACCCGTGTTCGTAAACCTCAGTGTTGGCTACTCGATCATTAACTCGGGTTCGTCTACAGTAACCCTACTGGAAAGCAGGGTTCATGACAGTCTACAATGACACCGTTGCGCATTACCAAATAAGAAAATTTGGATATGTTGGTTTGTTTCCCTAATTTGTTTGAACCATTAACATTAATCTGTGATTTTATTAGTGAATTGTTCGAGCTGAAAAAAAATAATATCAATAAAAGGAAAAGTGCAATCTTCCAAACACTAACAGCATTAACCTTCGACAATTGTTTTGATGATGATGATGATGAGATGGAGGAGGAAATATCACATTTGATGTTGTCTTCTGGTGTAATAAATAAATACTCTCCTAAACGAAGACGTGTTTGTATTGAGAATTATAAAGATGTGATTTTACACATACTACTCCAATACAAGTAAAATGAACAGTTTACATAATTGTGTCACAAATTCATCATAAAAAAAAATGATTTTACAAATTTCCAGTGTCATTTTCACTTAGAGAGAAGCGCTATTCGAGACATTCTTGAGAATCCACATATTTCACATCTACCTAAGATTTCCTCGTTCTGCATTTCTTTGGTTTTCAAATTTCAAGTGGTGTTCTCAGTACTGTGTTTTTATTTGAAAAGTTCCGTAACCTAATACGTCCGTGAACTATATTATTTGGGTAGGTGATCCGAGTCAGATTGCAGTAATCCGTCACGTGACCTCTCTGGATGGAGTCAGCGACCCAGAGTAAGTTTCCGAAAACGCCTAATAGGTATCAGATACAACCTAGCCGTATCACGGCTACTTCTTAACTACCTAATATTACTCGTACATCGATTAATTCTACCCAAAATACCCGTCACCTTTAACATAACCGCGTGTGTCATCAATAGATCAACACTCATTAATCTAGAAGCACTATACAGGGCGTATATGTACGTAGCTCCTGGATAGGATACTCTCTTACATATATAATAAGTCACAAATCGTAAGGGAACATTTTGAGACAATTGAATTTTTATTGCTAATTAGGAGTTGAGTTAGGGGTATTACCAATACTCAATTGAGAATTTATGAATTATCGAATGACTAATATCTCTGAAATTCACAATCTTATTTGCTATGGTCTGCCTCTACTTACGAAATCGTGGCGGCAATTTTCACTCGCTGTAAATTTCTAGCCGTTTCAAAATTACCGTGGCATTATTGATGATTTTATCCTAATATATCTGGTTTTTAAGATGCCAGGTAATGTGTTATTTTCAGTATATTACCCATTGATCAGTGACATTTACGGTTTCAAAGGTTTTTGTATACAAGCCACCGATCGAAACCATTCGTATTTGTCATTGTGATTAGTCACGTGATACTGAGAACCAGTCGGTGAAGCCGGTCGACAACCAAAAACTCTACCAATTACTGTCATCTATGTTTTTCAGCTTGATTGTGCCATTAATTTTAATAACTTTATTCATTCAATCAAATATTGTAAATATACTCCTTATACAGTGTGGAGCAAATGAAAGGAATTGATTCGTTTCTAGTCACACTGTTTATTTTTGAAAAATGTCCTGAAACTAACACGACAGGATTTTACAACACTGGATTAGTCCGAAGTATGGCAACCCTGATCGCCATTCTGGCTGTCAGTCAGCAGAAGAAAAGATACAGACGTCTGAGTTGTCGTTGAACATTCATGTTTTCATAAATATTTCATTCGTAAAAAAATCTCAATTATTAAAATTGTGATAAGTGTCTACCGACTGTATTATTCACTATCACAGTGTTAAATTGGCGCCCAACGTGGGGAACACATTTTTGTGTAGGAAATATTGGCAGTTCAAATGGGTTGCTCAAAACTGTACTTTTTCCAGTGGCGTAGAAGTCGGGGAGGAAAACACTCACAACCCCTTCAAAATCTTCACCAATTATGACCCAAAAAAAATATCCATAGAAAACAGCTTTTATTATGAATAGAAAATGCATACGAAAGCTGTTTTTGTGCGATAAACGGTTCCAGAAATATTCGCAAAAAACGTTTTTTTTTTAAATTGCAATACCCTGTATCTGTAAGTTAATATAAACTTTTTTTCATATTTTTGAACGAAGTCCTGGAGTCCTTTGCAGAACTCGAACGTGGATCACTCTGTCTGTTCAATTTCCATATTAAATGTGGAAAATTGGGAATTAAAGTCGACTTGGTTCCTCAGAAATCAATAGTTTTGCTATAAATTCATTTATTCACTACTTCACCATAGCACTCAATTTAACGAACGCACTGTATACAATTCCTATTCAATACTACTACTACTACTAATACATTATTGTTTTCAGCTTTCCATGGAGATTCCAAAATTGAATAATATATAAGGTGTTTCATTTGATAAAAGAGTCGCGGCCGTCAGAACCCAAACGTGGATCACCCTGTATATTCAATTTTCTCTTATAAATGTGGAAAATTGAAAATAAAAATCGATCTGTTTCAGGCGATTTCTCAAAAATTGGACAGTTTGGCTAGAAATTAATTTATTCATTTCATGTGCACCACACTGTATGTGAAATAATTCCTTGTTGTTTAGTAATTGATATAAAACTTCAGCATTTATTCGCACCAAATGAAATTAAGCTATGTTAATTTGGCAGCATCGCCTATGGCATAATATTTCTAAACAACCCAACTAAATTTTGTGATTTGGCAACGTGGCTGATGAAAATATTGATGTGAATGAGAAATGGAAATGGACCAAAGATGGATCCTTGAAGTACCCCACTTATAATTTCATGGCTTATGCTTATAAATTCCTTTTCCATAACTTTCTAAAATTCAAATTGTCTTTCAAACGTAATTCTTTCAGATATTGAAAATTGGTTCATGTTATCAACCAGAACTATCTTCACATATAACAGGAAGGGTTACAGAATACCATATTGAAAATAACCAAATAGCTCTTGAAATAATTGGTAAGTATCATCTCCATAAGTTTCGAAAAGTACCGATCAAATATCTCGAAAATCATTGATGAAATAGAGCCGTTACAAAATGTTGATATATTGTTACCACATTCTCCGTTTTTTTCCTGAATTAACATGAAATGTTGTATAATAAGAGACGTTTAAGAATTTATTATTTCAACATTCCTATACTCAAGGAGAAATCAAATAAACCATAATAGTAGCAGAGCCGGGTGTAGATTTCTACCGTCATTTGGTAACGAAATGATATACAGGGTGACATTTTTAATCCATTTTTAGGCGGACTAGACCAATGTAAGGAGCCGGATGGCAAGTTCTCCATGGTATTAGATGGCGATGAGAACGCGAATTTTGAAAGTAGACATCGTGAGTACAATTGGACGGATCTACTTGAACCCAGACTTTTGTTTCCTTAGCTAAACATCACGTAATCCGTCCCTTCTTTCAAATGCAGTCCGCGAAGGTGGTTTTCAAAGTCACCTCCGGTCGTGTCCTAGAATTGTGAAAAATTACTATTTACTAGAAAAAGAACAATATTTGTCGATTCCGATTTTCCAAAGTTGAAACTTGATACCGAAGAAATGCGAATGTTTGTACTGATGAATTTTGATGAGTAAAAATCTATTGTTCCTTCAATATACATCTTATTGAGATACGTTTTTTTCTATTTTGATGGTTCGATAAACTGTATGTTTTTTGCAAGATAATGAGATTTCTATTGATATTTACAGGATGTGATTCAAGTTTCAACGACCGATATTTTAGGGCTTCAATAGAAATTGGAAAAGTTATGCTGGTTTTCAAAATAATCATTATTGGGCTCATTAATTACCCATTCTTCAACTACCTCTCACTGATAATATTTTTTTCAAATTAGGATATTCATTACTCAACTTCAAGCTCTCTTGAAAGCTTGGAATTTTCTTTGATAGACAAAATTTGTCAGCCATAAAAGAATTTTTATGAATTGTATTGTATCCAAATATCGGATTTGTAAAAGTTGGTCAGAAATTGTAAATCAATATCTGATATTCTCTGAATATAAATTCATTGTGTTGGACAATCCCTGTGATAATAATTGGAATCTCGAGAAAATTCGATAATTTTGAATCACCTAAATTCATGAGAAGCACCAGAGAAATGATGGGTTTATTTGAAAAACATTTTATGTATTTTTGCATTGTTCATTACTTTTCAAAATGTCGGTAAAACTAGATCACTCTGTAGGTGGTTAGGAATTGCAAATATTTCGAAATTTTCCTAGATTGTTCAACGTGTATATTTATTTATATTCCCTTTTTATGGGAATCAAACCATTAATTTTTGTAATATACAATAATTCTTGTTGCTAACTTATTAAAATCCGTTCATTTTCATAACCATTTGAGCATATGTGAGCATAAAACACATCGCAATCATTTAAACGCAAAAAACAAATGCATTTTTACTATTTTAATGCAAAGATCTACTATACTACTTATACCGTTACTATTTCAACGTAGAAAACAAATGCATAACTATAATGTTATTGCAGAAAACTACTTCAAGACAAAAAAAACAAATGCCTACATCCATACAACGCAGAAAACAAATGCATCTCCAACATTTTAATGCAGAAGACAAATACATCTATACCATTTTCACGCAAAAAACAAATGCATCACAACCATTTTCACACAGAAAACAAATGCATCTCTACCATTTGGACGCAGAAAGGAATCTCTAGAAATTGCATATCTACCATTTTACTGCAGAAAACAAATGCATCCCTACCACGCAGAAATTGATCTCTAGAAATCTTAATGCAAAAAACAAATGCATCGCTATCAATTTAACGTAGAAAATAAATATATCTCTACCAATTACACATAGAAAACAAATGCATCCCCAGCATTTTACTACTACTTCAACAACACATAAAACAAATACACTTTACCATTTTAACGCAGAAAACAAATAAATCCCTACTATTTTCACACAGAAAACAAATGCATCCCTACCATTTTGACGCAAAAATGAATCTAGAAATTTTAATGCACAAAACAAATGCATCTCTACCAATTTAACGCAGAAAATAAATATATCTACCCATTACACACAAAACAAATGCATCCCTAGTATTTTAACGCAGAAAGCATATGCATCCCCCACATTTTGATGCTGAAAACAAATACATCCATATTATTCTCACACATTAAACAAATGCATCCCCACCATTTTGAGGCAGAAATGAATCTCTAGAAATTTTAATGCAAAAAACAAATGCATCGCTACCAATTTAACGCAGAAAATGAATATATCTCTACACACAGAAAACAAATGCATCCCTAGCATTTTAACGCAGAAAACAAATGCATCTCCCACATATTAATGCAGGAAACAAATACATCCATATTATTTTCACACACAAAAAAATGGATCTCTAGCGTTTCAACGCAGAAAACATGCATTCCGAACATTTTAACGCAGAAAACAAATACACCCCTACTATTTTCACACAGACAACAAATGCATCCTTACCATTTTAAGGCAGAAATGAATCTCTAGAAATTTTAATGCAAAGAACAAATGCATCGCTACCAATTCAACGCAGAAAATGAATATATCTCTACCCATCACACACAGAAAACAAATATGCTTCCCTAGCATTTTAACGCAGAAAACAAATGCATCTCCAACATTTTAATGCAGAAAACAAATACATCCATATTATTTTCACACAAAAAAAAAGTGGAAGCCTAGCATTTTAACGCAGAAAACAAATGCATTCCGAACATTTCAAAGCAGACGCATCTCCACCATTTTAACGCAAAAAAAATGCATCTCCCACATTTTGATGCAGAAAACAAATACATCCCTATTATTTTCATACAGGAAAAAAATGGATGCCTAGCATTTTAACGCAGAAAACAAATGCATTCCGAACATTTCAAAGCAAATGCATCTCCACCATTTTAACGCAAAAAAAACAAATGCACCCCTACCATTTTAACGCAAATCACAAAAGGCGGCCGGGCATCTCGGAAATGGACGATATCGATGCCTGTACCGTTTGTCCTTTTTTCCGCATCGAACGGCACGTATTTGTGTCCGATCTTGTTCCTGTCCACATCGCAAAACGCTCCCACCTTCATTCTGTTCTCCTCCGACAAGGACTTGTACAGTTTTCTACCCTGTTTACCTGCATTCCAAATCGTGAAATGGGGCCAATCGTTCAGGACTACCCTCTGCAGTCTTTCTATTCTGACCGTGAAAATTGTGTTTCTGAAAGGGTGTCAACGTAATTATTAGACGTGCCACGGTTTTAAGAGTTCTGAAGGTGTGATATTCATACTTGGCAGGGCGGTGTTGGATTCAATGGGCGTGTACACCTCAGTAGAACTTTTAACACAAACCATGTTTATAATGATCCTTTTATACATAAATAATGATTGACGACATAATTCGATCGAGAAATTAACTGGAATGTTTTATTTTTGGACATAAATTATAGTACCTTCTGAAAACGGACCCTCTTATGACGTAGAAACCTCATCTCGCCATAGTTGAAAGAAAATACCAAACGCCTGACGGAGACTGAGGCAACTGATATATTAATTCTTTCAACAGTGATCTCGCGCTAATTCACTCTAACAGAAATCTTGTAGCATTCATCTCTGTCTGGAATAGTCTTGTTTCAGTATTAGGGTTTTGACGTCACATCATCGCCTCGTTTTCAGAGGTCCGAAAAATCGGGGATTTCAATAATTTTGTATAAAACGTAAGGAGCTCACAGCAAGAAACGGTTTGCGGTGCATCCCCAACTTTTGATTTTCAAATGGGACCCTCTATTTCATTCCATAATCGGTTGGGGATTATCATAAAATTCAAAGATACTCGCTTTGATAGGGTTATTTCAAATAATAAGATATCCAAACTTCTTTTTCTGTCACACTCATCTATACTAATATTATAAAGAGGAAAGATTTGTTTGTTTGTTTGTTTGTTTGTTTGTTTGTTTGTTTGTTTGTTTGTTTGTTTGTTTGTTTGTTTGTTTGTTTGTTTGTTTGTTTGTTTGTTTGTTTGTTTGTTTGTTTGTTTGTTTGTTTGTTTGTTTGTTTGTTTGTTTGTTTGTTTGTTTGTTTGTTTGTTTGTTTGTTTGTTTGTTTGTTTGTTTGTTTGTTTGTTTGTTTGTTTGTTTGTTTGTTTGTTTGTTTGTTTGTTTGTTTGTTTGTTTGTTTGTTTGTTTGTTTGTTTGTTTGTTTGTTTGTTTGTTTGTTTGTTTGTTTGTTTGTTTGTTTGTTTGTTTGTTTGTTTGTTTGTTTGTATTGAATTGACTCCGAAACTACTAGATCGATTTGGCTGAAAATTGGTGGGGAGGAAGCTTAGAACTAGGAGAAGGTTATAGGATAATTTGTATCCTGGTATCATTAGGAATTTCAAGATGGCGGATCTAATATGTCGTCGGACGAGTTTTGTAATTATGGTCCGATTCTTTTTAAAATTGGTACCTAAGGGTTTTCGTGATCGGGGATTATGATTCCTCCGTCAAAATTAAGAAATTCAAGATGGCGGATCAAGAATGGCGGATTTCGTAATTAGGATGAGATTCTATTCAAATTTGATATCTGGTGGTTCTCGGGGTCGGAGATTATGATTCTTTCGTCAAAATTAGGAAATTCAAGATGGCGGACCCAATATGGCGGATGAGTATTGTAATTATGATCCGACTCTCTTCAAAATTGTTATCTGGGTGTTTTCGGGGTGGGAGATTATGATTGTTTTTTTGTCAAGATTTGGAAATCCAAGACGGTGAAACCAATATACCGGACGAGTTTTGTAATTATATACTGATTCTATTCAGAATTGGTAAGTGGGCGTTTTCGGGATCAAAAATTATGATTCCTTCGTCAAAATTAGAGAATTCAAGATGGTAGATCCAATATTGCGGACGAGTTTTGTGATTATGTTACGATTCTATTCAAAATTTTCATCTGGGGTTTCAGGAGTCGGACATTGTGATTCTTTCGTCAAAATTGGGAAATTCAAGTGAACTAAAAAGAAGTTGAAATAAATGGTAGTTTGAAAATCCTTTAGTTTTTTAGATAGCGAAACTAAAAACAAGTAGAAAATGAAATAATATTACATTAATGTATGTTCTTGATGAATATTGAACTCAAAAAATATATTATAGAAATAATGCATATAGCAAAACAGCATTTGCGAGGTCCGCTATAGTTACAAATAATCACGAAGATATCCAAACTTCTTTCTCTGTCACACTCATATCATATCATATCGTTTTCCTTAACTGATTATGGAATAAAAACTATTTGAAAAACAAATATTGAGGCCGTTTCCGGTGAAAACGGAAGTGATGAGAGAGTATGAAATATTGCAAAAATTCTCAATTTCTCATATTCTACACTCCTGCCACATTTGAATCTGAACCCTTCTGAACTCTGGAAACCATGGATATTGTCTAATGAATTTGTTATTGATACCCGGTATAATGAAGGTTATCCGAAAAAAAATCGTATTTATGTTTGGAAAAATGAAGTTGATTGAATTGGGTACAAAGTATTCAAATATCTCTATAAATTTTTTTTCTTGGACAATAAAACATAATTTGATTTCAAAGGAAAAAAACACAAACACTAAGTCGGTCGACCACAAAGTTTAATTACAAAAGTTTCTGTGACTAGTTTCGGCTCAAGCAGCCATCTTCAGACACAATATATAGTACCTATAAAAGGACACGTGGAATCACATAATTGATTCAATTGAAAAATGAATAGCAAGGGTCATTTGGCCAAAATTCAATCCGGTGAAAAAATTGGTATTCTTTCGAACCGACTGAACAGCCAAAAGAACCTAATAATGATTAGATTCAACATTGGCAGAAATTGGAAAAACCAGCAGTTAATTCACTCCCATGAGTTTCATCTTAGAAATCTTTCAAGATGAAACTGCTGGTTTTTTCAATTTCTGCCAATGTTGAATCTAATCATTATTAGGTTGTTTTGGCTGTTCAGTCGGTTCGAAAGAATACCAATTTTTTCACCGGATTGAATTTTGGCCAAATGACCCTTGCTATTCATTTTTCATTTGAATCAATTATGTGATTCCACGTGTCCTTTTATAGGTACTATATATTGTGTCTGAAGATGGCTGCTTGAGCCGAAACTAGTCACAGAAACTTTTGTAATTAAAGTTTGTGGTCAACCGACTTAGTGTCTGTGTTTTTTTCCTTTGAAAAAATCTGGACCACTTTGAGAAGGATGGATGGTTTCCATGACTTATAATTTGATTTGAGTGAATCTGTATATTTTGATGAATTCTCCACATCAAAAAAAAATTTGTCCCATCTTTTGAGAATAACACCCTGTATAAACGATAAATTTTCATTCCATATTGGATGGAGAAAAAATAATATTTCAATATAGCAATATTTTCAGTATTTATTTTGAAATCGGCCTATTTCCCATTTGCTATATTTGAGTTAATCATATTAGACTATATGTGAGTACAATATACTTACTTGTGAATTGAAAATGTGGTTTGATCTGCATGAAAACTATAAACCAATAAAAAATCTTCAACCCTGCAAATTTTTCCACCCAAATCAAGATGTTTGTTGAAAAATATCAAATCTTCAGGTGTTCCCTTGTCACTTTCAACAAACCCTCCAACTCTAGAAAGGAGAATGAATACAAAGTTATGATCATTTTCATTGAAAGTAGATTACTTTTACTTTTTGAATATGGATTTGTGCATAAACCATGTTGGCATGATAACTGTGGGGCCATGTGAAGTGTAAACTTGTAAGTTGAGATGCTCTTGAGTCAAGGAATTGGCCCATTTAGTGTAGCGTGGTGTAGAATTTTCAGGGGCTCTTCTAAACTTACAACCTATTATCTATGGTGAAATATATTTCCTGTTGATTCATCAGAGTAAGAACCCGTAGAAAAAATCCTTACCACATTTTTTGTATTTTTGAGTGCTGTCTCATATTTTGAAGATTTTCAAGCCAATTTGAAGCAAATAATATGAATAAAGAGATACATCAGTTATTACTTACAATGTCTTGGAAGCACAAATAATTTCCTGAGCTCAAATTAACAGCTCTGTTTTTCGCATATCCCACTGAAAAGATAATAATTTGTATACACTTCACATTGTTCTACCACTAACCAAACCGATTTTTTACACCTTATATCCTGCAATTTTTTATCCCAAGAACATATCTGTAAGAATGGTAATTGACCGTTATTTTCGCATTCAAAAGTGAATTAATTATGCACTTGAAAAGTCGGGAATATTTGAAATTAGTTGTAATGATGATAAAAGATATATAGGCCAAACCAGGCACCCCATAAAAAGAAGATTCAAAGAACACTTCGCACATTTGAAATATGGTAGGTTAGATAAATCGTGTGTAGCCGAACACATTTTTATTCACAATCATAACACACATATTATAATAACCTCAAATTAGTTAAGAAGCAAGTTAAAAATGTTAGTAAATTAAATGCATATATGAATAAAGCTTAGATATATACAGGGTGTTTCAAAATTCAGTATCAAGATTTTAGGGGCATATTTTTCAGGTCAAAATAAGACGTTTTTGTCCATAAACATGTGTCCGCAAACGCTTCGTTACCGATCTACAGAGCGTTAAAGTTAAACAAATACACGATATGAGACATCCACCAACTTTCAAATAATGTCAAATGCTTCAAAGCAAACCTAAACGTCAAAATGAAAATAGCAGTCAAAGCCCACTAATTCGCTTTTTCATTGTTCCGTTGAAAATTTTAATTAAATGTAGCGAATCACAAAAATTGATTTTACTTTTTTCTCGATGACGATCGCAGATGCGTGAAAATTACAAGAGACAAAAAAATTTATAAATAAAACAAAGAATTCATTTCGTATCTCAGAATTCACCAGCGGCGCACCACAAAAAAGTTTATGGGGTAAAAAAGGGCTTGACCCCTGAAAAAAATATCTCCCTGTAGATTCTCACAATCACTCGGCATGCTGGATGATGTAAGCCATAGAACGTAACCTACATTCCAAATTTGATCTTAATATCTCAAAAATTGAAAGAGCTATGAAGAAAAAAATAAAAAAATCTTGAAACTTTAACGCTCTGTAGATCGGTAACGAAGCGTTTGCGGACACATGTTTATGGACAAAAACGTCTTATTTTGACCTGAAAAATACGCCCCTAAAATCTTGATACTGAATTTTGAAACACCCTGATTTAAGAATAGTATAATAGAGTAATGAATAAGGATAATGGACCTTTCCCATTTAGCCGTCTGTATAGTTTAGTGATATACGACCAAGGTTAACATGCGTGAACTCAACCATGATTAACATTATATAACTTGGCGTTTATTGTCTATATTCACGGTTGGGTTGACATACTAGTATATATAAGTAGCACACTAGGATAGAACATGTGTTTGAGGTGTAAAAAATCGGTTTGGTCAGTGGTAAAACATTGTGGAGTGTATTATCCTGCCAAAGGTTCCAGTCTTTAAACTAAACTTTTGGTTGAAAATTCCTTCTAAACAAGAATTTATCCATTTTGCTCCATTTCGAATAGGTATTATAATACTCTACAACGAAAAAAGGCAGCATAGAAAAATGAGTATAATTAACTTGCTTACGATAAAATTATTTATATCATTATTCATGAGTTTCCCTGGCCCAGGGAAAAAATCAATTTGAATTTTTTGAGATTTTGATTTTCCACCTTCTGATCTTCTTCTTCTTATTTGACCGAATCTAGTTATTTAGGCTAGAGTCAAAAGAGTAATACCATCCAGTGACTCTAATTTAGGTAGTAAATTATTATTAAGGGAACTTTGCATCATTGAACATAGCCACAAGAGGCAAGGCAAGTGAAAAATGTCAGAATAGAAGAGATAACTGCAATCTGTGAACAACTGACATGCGCAGTTTGATTATCTCGCTTTAGGTCAAATGTCTGTTTGTTTTTGTTGTGATTGAATAGGAAATCATATATTTAAACATGTTCCTATCAAATTGTCTAGAATGTTGATGTTAATATAACATTGAAATTATTTCATAAACTACTATGGGCAATTGTTGTCGAATGCGAAAAGCTAGACGGTAAGTAGACGTGAGCCTTTTTCATTTTCCTATTTCAATATTTGTTTGTTTATAGAAAAATAGTTCTTTTATTGGTTGGATTAGATAACGCAGGTAAAACTAGGGCTGCAAACGGATTAGCAGGTGATCCTCTGAGCTCCCCAGTTCCCACAGTTGGTTTCTCAATCATAAATCTAAAGTATTCCAATTATGATGTCAAAATCTTTGACTTGGGAGGTGGATCCAACATAAGAGCCATTTGGCACAAATATTTTGTTGACGTACGTTTCAAATAGTAGATTTTTGCATTGGGAAAAATGTTTTTATTTTTGTAGGCTTATGGCTTGATATTTGTTATTGACTCAAGTGATTTTTCCCGTTTTAATGAAGCCAAAATGGTGCTAGAAGATATTCTATACAGTGACAAAATTGCTGGTAAACCACTGTTGGTGCTAGCTAATAAACAAGACAATGAAAATGCTCTAGATGAAATTGATGTTATTGAATATCTGAACATTGAACAATTAGTGAATAACCGTAAATGTCCTACATTAGTCCAAAGCTGTTCAGCAACAGAAAATGATAGCAACAAGGTGGATCCTGGAATAAGAAAAGGATATGAGTGGCTGCTCAATAACATAGATAAAAATTATGAGAATCTGAATAAAAGAGTAGTGAATGATGTTCAAGAACAGGAAAAACAAGAAAAGGATGAATTTCTGTTGAAATTAGAGAGAATAAAGAATCAACATAAAAGGGAAGAGATTAAAAAGAGTGAAGATGCTATAGAAACATATTCAGAATATGTGAAAAAAATCAATATGAAAACTGAAGAAACTGTTGTTGCTCTTGAACCAACAATTGCATTTGAAGATATTGATAAAAAAAGCAATTCTAGCATAACCACTTCATTATCATTCCCCTCTGTATATGTGAGTGAAAAAACAAGGGAAAGACCCAAATCTGCAGTTGAACTTGTGAAACACCAATTGCAGCTCAAGCCCAAGTTGCGAAAACTCTCCCTGAAATCAAAATCCAACAGGACAGCCCCCATGAATCTTTATGGGGTGAAATTGCCCCACTCTGCTGGGGAAACTGACGGAGTGAAGTCTGTTGATAAACGTACCTTGAGATCGGCAGACGATTGTCTTTTCACCGTTAGTAAATCGGTTTCAAATAAACTGGATAACACAGGTGCAAGTGGGGACCATGGGATTCAGCCGAACGTTTTTGAAAAAATCATGTTGCCTCCACTGAAAAGAAACAATGATACAGTGCCTTGGAATGCTACGAATGGTGTTATGAGTGTTGTTGATATTGAATAGTTTTGACATCACTATATATGTTTATATTGTTCATGCCCTAAGTCAAACACAAATATTTTCTAGTCTATTTTATGATCTCTAATTTTGTACTTTTCGATAGTTGTTTATTAATAAAATGCGGGGTCCTCGTGAGTTTGGCTAACGATTATTTAATTTTTGATAAAATATGATTCAAAATAATCAAAATTCAAATTCGGAATGTTTGTACCATATCACCGTTAATTTGGTTCATTTGAACTACTACCAGTACTTAGCGCCTAAGAGCTTGAAGAATGATGGAAATAATTAGACAAAGAAGAAGAGTGAGAAGAACCTCAATTTGAATTCACGGTTAATTTGAACTACTAGGACTTTACCATAGAATCAAAAAGCTGTTCAAAGCACTAAACGAATGAAAAGAAGAAGAGCGAGAGCAACCTCAATTTGAATTCATCATGAAGGATGTCTTCTGCTTCTGTAGAAGACGATGTTCCACAATTATCAGCAGAAACGTTTGCTGCCTTACAAGAATTTTACAAAGAACAGGAAGAACGTGATAAAGAATGTAATGCAGGAATAGTAAATAAAAGTGCAATTTTTGAAGAAGATTGGGTAAATACTACTGAAATATATTCTATCACAAGCAAATGGAGCTGGATTTCAATTTCGATTTCCTTGTTTTCAGCAACTGAGTCAATTTTGGTATGATGATCATACAATAGAAGTACTAATTGATGTGGCTATAAAAGTTGTAGGGTTCAATGGCAAAATAGCTCTAGTATCTTGTCCAACTCTGTATAGACCATTGAGAGAAAAATCAACAAATTGTGAAAGTAATGTTTGGCCAATTTATTTGATTGTTTGTTGAAATGGTGTGCTTTTTCAGTTACCTTATTTGAATATGACAGAAGATTTGCAGCATATGGTGAAGATTTCATATTTTATGATTACAAATCACCACTTGGAATACAAAGAGATAAAGCAGATTACTATGACTTGGTCATAGCAGATCCTCCATTTTTGTCTGAAGAATGTTTAACAAAAACAGCTGTGACTGTTAGATATCTCACAAAAAACAAAATAATATTGTGCACAGGTAACACATGAAATTGATGAAAATAAAAACTTGGTAATGAATTAATTATTGATACATCTTTTAGGAGCTGTAATGGCAGATTTGGCAAATAGGTTATTAGATTTAAAAAAATGTTCTTTTGAACCAAAACACAAAAATAATTTAGGAAATGCCTTTTGTTGCTACTCAAATTTTGATATGGATTCATTCTTATGATAAATAAAGAACTTTATCATTATTTGATTTTTTATTTCATCACTGATATGTATGCATGAAATGTCAATCCATATAAAATATAACAAAGCAGTGGTCACTCAACATTTCAGAAAATATCTAATATAAGGCAGATAACAATAAATATAATAAATGGTTGAGTACATATAAATAACCATTGTTTGCTGAATATGGAGAAAAAATCTACACTAAATTTTGTCTTCATATTTAGCAGACAGTGTAAATAACAAGCATATGAGGTAAATCTACCGGGTGTCAACGAATCTATTAGAAAAGTCATAACTTTTAGACCATTAGGTGATGATTAGGTGTATTAAAATGAGATTTGGTATAGGTAAATGGTATGTGAAGAGGAGAGTTTTCACATATTTTTCACTTTCCGGTCACTTCCGGTTTCACCGGAAATAGCTCCGGTTCTAAATTTTTAAATTTATATTGTAACATTTTTGGATTTCTGAGACAATTCTGGATCGGAATGTGACATTTTCAAAAGTTTTCATGCCTACTTGATTTTTTCGGAGTCACTTCTGAAATTACATCTAGGTGTCCATGATCGGAAGTAAACTAATCTAAGGACTTCAGATGATATCAGGAAATTACAATCACGAAGTTTTAGTATTTTCGTCAGTAATATTCAATTTATGTTCTTATTTGTAATCCAATCGCAAATAAATTAGTATCGTTAGATTCGTCAAAATATTCTTTTTTCGGAAAGTGCTTGTCAAAATATGGTCGCCATTTGAAAAATAATAGTTAGACACGAAAATGTATTTTTGCCAACTTGTCTTATTCATATCTATCATACTTGTCACTAAAACTTCGCGATTGTAATTTTCTGAAATCACCTGAGGTCCTTAGATTAATTTACTTCCGATCATGGCCACCTAGATGTAATTTCAAAAGTGACTCCGAAAAAATTGAGTAGGCATAAAAACTTTCGAAAATGTCACATTCTGATCTAGAATTATCTCAGGAATCTAAAAATTTTACAATATAAAGGGTGTTCCATTTAAAAATTTAGAACCGGAGCCATTTCCGGTGAAACCGGTAGTGACCGGAAAGTGAAAAATATGTGAAAACTCTCCTCTTCACATACCATTTACCTATACCAAATCTCATTTTGATACACCTTATGGTCTAGAAGTTATGACTTGTCTAATAGATTCGTTGACACCCGGTATATGATAGAAATTTCATCATCAAATTTTAATCAAGCTGTAAATGTTCATGGCCTCTTCAAGATGTCTCTATTATACCAAAATGAAAGCAAAGCCACTAATATTATAGTATGGAAAATCTGTGAATATGTTATTATTTGCATTTATAATTTGATTTGAGAAATCTGATCCAAATATGTTTTTTTTTTCCAAAATGGAAGCAGTTGTTGGTCCCATCTATCATAATTGAGGGGCTTTTTCTTTTATTTTTGTTTTGGTAAATACAAAATAACAAAGATTTTAGCTAGTTGCATATAAATAGTTCTTTGGAACCTTTTTATAAATCAAGGAGAATAATTGCTTGCCAGTCTGGTAATTTGAAGTGGAACATCTAAAATTGCACCACTTTCTTTCACTCTGTACAATGCAATTTCACTTCATACAATTTTGATTTTTCTTAAATTAGTTAAATCTACTGCAATTTCTTACAGAAACTGACTTTTCAATCACTCTACCAGCCATTTGAAATATATCCATATTTTTGGGTTCACATTTTGCCTGATCACATTATAAAAAAAACACATATTTAACTGAATCTGATAGAATTTTTCATTGAACCTTGAAAATAAAGTTCAATTCACCATGAATATATCTCATTAGTTGAATTTTCTTTCAGTGATATGGAAAAAAAATGCATTCAAAAATATTATTCAAGAGCTGAATGCTGATTTTTATTTGTTCATGATGTACACCTACATAAAATTATCTTGGTATATGAATTGCTATAACTACCAAAATAATTCACTTTTCGTCTATAACAATAAACGAAACATTTCTGCCCATGTCTCAAATCACAAGTACCTAATTTATAATAATTCGTTCTAATAATGTAAATATTGCACAGTCTTATTTTTTTAACGGGCTCATTCTGCCATCATTTACCTATCTTAGAGCCATGTGTGGCTACAAACTACAAAAATTCATTGAATCTAGAAAATCAAATTTTTTAATTAAACCGTTCACTATAGAGGTATTACCATTAGGTATCTGCTGAATAGAAGACTTTTTTGGCTGAGCAATAATTATTGTCTATTCGGGCAAATGCCAATAAAAATCCTTAAATAAATAATTGCTAAGGATTGTCCTTTATAGATTTTGTAAAAATCTGTTGAAAATTCATGGAGATCGCTATTTTTGTATTCGACTGAAAAACTGCTTTATGATTAAATAATTGTTTTTCTGCCATCGGCTCAATGGTCGTCCATTTTTGTTCCAAAATTAGCACTTGAAGTTGACTGACACAATGAAATTATTAGTATGTATGGTGCTAGGCAATACTTTCAGTATCTAGGAGCTAAAGTTGAAGTTTAACTCCAAGGAACTAAAAACGTGTCGGATGACAGCTGATATGATAGCTGCTTTGATACTGACATGCTCAAGTGACTCAAAATAGAGGAATTTTCATTTATATATTATTATCTAGATATCAATTATTTCGATTGCAGAAAAAATAGCATATTTTATGCAGATCAAAAGTGACTCTGTTTGACTCGCAAAAATTGCGGGCTCGGTTTCGCGGTCGCTCCGCCTCGCAAACGCAAATATCGCTTGTCAAACAAAGTGTCATATTTGATCCTAATAAAACAATGTACTATTAATGAATATATAACTTCTTTGATTTCTTTGTGCCTCAGTTTTCCTTATATACTGATACCTCAGTATATATAACCTCTTACGAGAAATAGGTTATATACTGTCGTGGTGATACCTACATGAGAAGAATTCCTTTTCTTCAAACAAGTAATTTTGAGTTTCAGAATAAATCTCAATCAAAACCACATAATAATTCAAATAGTCCTCAGATACAGGGTCGTAATACCTCAGTAGGTACTCACATTGTATGTACAGGGTAGTTGTTTATATTTTACTCGATAGCTGTCTCAGTAATTATCGGTCTTACAGAAAAATTCAAATAGGCCAATATGAAGTATTTCTTACGGGCATTCAGAATTTAGTACTAAAAAATGAAAAAAAGCATCATAAACCAAAAAATTTTACGTATATTTTGAATGGAACACATTGTAATTCATTTTCCTAATCGATAGAGCTCTTTATTCTTCTGATTTCGAATATATATATATATATATATATATATATCTTACTACTACTACTTACTATCACAATACATCGATTTGGAAAGAGAATTACCTCACCCTACTCGAATCCCATCGGCAATCAACTAAATAGGTCCTTACCTGTCTCTTCCAGAGTTTTGTTGGTCAGCCTCTCAATTTCACACAACAAAAACTGTGTGTCTGCGTCTACCTGTTAGAGTACAACATAATATTACAAAAAGAAGATTCATTTCATTGTGAAATACCAAAGGGGAAATAATTCTACAGCATATATCTACTATTTCTATATATGGCGCATCGCCTATACCATATAACAAAAATATTGTCAAAATGAGAGGTACTTTTTGAATCTATAAGGACGGAAAGTGAAGGATGGAAACAGCCAGGTTGCCGTGCGGACAGAGCATATAACTACTACTCATATATGAATCATCCAACTTAACGAAATCGACCAATTCGCGAAAATCACGAACCAATAGATGGCTCTATTAAACGTCAAATCAACGTCAAATTTCAAACTGAGTACGAACAACAAAAACATTGCCGTATGCACTCATTGCAAATTGGTTATTTCGAAATCATTTTGCAAAATAGTGAATAATAAGTTGACTTCGTGAAATACGTACAAGGTTTCCAGTATGGAAAAAAATTACTTTTTGTGCAGAGAAATTGCCATTTTGATGAGAACAATGGTGGTATTCATCATTGATATCACACTACAATTCCACAGTTTTCAAACATATGGAATGGTCTGAATGGTCCACTCAACACTTGCTTGGACTTGGACTGGAGTGGAGCATATAAGCAATCAGCTATTACAACAATATGGTATAGGTATGAAGAAATAATTGAATTCATCAAGAAATATCACTGCTTTTTATGAAGGAGATGGGATTCTAGTGAAGGGGTTGGAAAAGAAGATATGGTTGGAGAGGCTGCTCAGAATCATCATTTACATAAACGAGGGTCTCCAGCAATTATGAGGACTTGAAGTTATTCTCAAGATCGAATCATTGCAACCAACATTTATACAATGATTCTAATTGTGCTTCAGAAAATGTATATTATATTATTATAAGGTAGGTACTGGTTTCTCCATTGTAAACAATAAAAGTTCATGCAATAATTCGAGTTTTTTCATCAGGAAAAAATGAGGTTCTGAAATATGCTCTTCAACACTTCAAATAAATTATTTTCAAATAAAACACATAATTATGAAACTCAAAGCAGTGGTCGCCATATTTGTTGTCATTGTTGTTCATACTCGCAAGACTTGCAAAGTTATAGCCACCAGAGGCCGCACACTTCGTGATTTTCGCGCATAGGCGTTGATGCCGACATATTGATGCCGACGTAGGGAAAAATAATACGAAACTTGTCAAACCAATATGGCTGTTTCCATCCTTCACTCTCCGTCCTTATAGATTCAAATAGTATAATCCCCGATCACGAAAACCCCTATGTACCAATTTTGAAAAGAATCGGATTATAATTACAACACTCGTCCGCCATATTGGTTCCGCCATCTTGAATTTCCAAATTCTACCCGAATTTCCGAATTCTAACGAAAGAATCATAATCTCCGACCCATAAAACCCCCAGATATCAATTTTGAATAGTATCGGACCATAATTACAAAACTCGTCCCTATATACAGTGTGTCCCACTTATCATGCTCACCATGGGTTTCTTTTTAACGGTGAGAGATACGA